GACGCTCTAGATGTCACAATTTAATCCGATTTTAATAAAAGTTGAAACTAAAAGACATCGCTCACAATCTGATTAAAATACAGATCTATATTTCGTTTCGTTGTTTTATACTTTCGATGGCCTACACTGCATGAAGATCTGACCAGTTGGTTTGGGAGGTTGCGTCAGGGGTCATTCGAGCGGCTTTTGACCCTATGCCGCCAGGCCTTTTATTAACCAATCAGCATTCATGTTTGTAGTGGATTACCACGCTTGCCATAACAGACCGTTTCATTGGCTAATCCCTCACATCATCCAGAACACGTCAATGATAACAACTCTTCCAGATCCTAGTGTAGTAAAGACAAGTAAAATGAAATTTTGAACTATAAAAAACGAAACAAAATAGGATCTGTGTTTTAATCAGATTGTGTCTCTCAAACCGGAACTTCCTGATTGTACGAAAACCGCGATTTTAGCTTTAGTCACTCTAAAAGGTCACAATGTTTATTCGATTGGATATATCACCGTTACACCCTAATGACGGTTAAGTTCGATTTTTTTTTTAAAGCCGGACTAAAATTGCCAAACAAAATGACCGCTCCTGTAAGCAAACTTTTATCTGATTTTGATGAAATCTAAAATATATGCTTATATCCGACAGATCTGAGCTCCGTTCCATATCGAGCATTTCGGAACGTAGAAAATCAGGTTTGTTGCTTGCGAACCCTCTAGAAGTCACAAATTTTATCCGATTTTAACAACAGTTTCAATATATCACCATTACACCCCAATGATAGTTGATTTCGAAAAATCGGACTAAAAGTGCCCTACAAAATGGCCTCACCTTGTACGCAAATAGTGTAAAAATATGTAATACCGACGTTGTGGAACCTCTAGAGGTTACAATTTGATAAAACTTAAAATATATGTTTATATACCAAAGATCTCGCCTTTTTCGATATTCCCGCATATCGGACCATAACTTCCTACATTATAGACCCTGATTTTACGGAAAATCGCGTTTTTAGCTTGTGGTCCACCTAGAAGTCACAATTATTATCCGGTTTTGATGAAGCTTAAAATATATTTTGATATCCCAAAGATCTTGGTTCCTTTTGGTATTGTCGCTGGTCAGATAGTAACAACCCGGATTATGGTTCCTGAGTGTACGCAAAATCGTGTTTTTAGATTCTTCTCTGTCCATCTCTTCCACATTTGCACGGCAACAACCTTTTAACAAACGTTTCAATGAAGACCAAAAAAGACCAATTTTTGGCAATTGGCCATTTTTCCAATGAACGCTTAACAAGACCCAGAATAGACAGATTTAATCGCTCAGTAAAAGATCCCTTGGCAATTGGAATTCGATATAATAGTAAGCGATAGTGCCGGGCAAAATTTCCCTCATAGCACACTGTATGGCGTCATAGGTCATTTTTGACTTATTTTTGAATTCCTTGGTATCAATTTCCTATAGGCTCCTAGTACATTATTAACCCCAAATATGAATATTAAGCGAGTTATCATAGACATTAACGGATTTTAGGGCGATTTCGGGGGTCCAAACAAAAAAGCCCCCTAAAAATTTTCCCCAAGGCCGACCAAGGGGGAAATTTTTTCTGAAAGGCTACTCACATTACTTGTTCATATGAAATAATATTCGCTTGGGTAGGAATTTTTTCCCACCAATTATGTACCTCAACCAGGCTATGAGCATTCTTGATATAATAGTAAAAAACAAAGATATTGCAAAATGAATATATTGAAATTTCATTCAAATTACTTTGTTTTGAGCGATTTATCACTGTTTGTAGTTTTGACAAGATGTACGCATTGATTGGTTTTGCTTCTCTATTTTAAAATTAAAACATTACATGGTTGAAGCATTCTAATCTACTTATAATCGGTGCCATCCGATCACCTAGAATATGGGCTTGTCATGTTAATAAATATTTAAATAATAGTTATAACTATTGAAGCCAAACGAAAGACCGGCTCCGGCTGGGCTAATAAAGACGTGCATACACCATACAATTTAAAATGCTCTTATATCGAATTCCAACTGTCAAGAGGTCTTTTACGTGCACTCCAATGTGTACACCTGACCTCGGTTATTTGTCCCATCCGAACGACTTGACAGTTGTCCTTGGCATCCCCTCGTACTGCATCGCTGACAGCGGGAAACCACGCCTGAAAATTTACTTCTCGGCTAACACCAGAAGTGAACCAGCAATCTTACCCACTTAGCCACCGTGTACCAGCATCTTTAAGAAATCAAAATATATATAACAGCGCTAGATAATGTCTATCAATTTGATTCACGGCAAAAGAAGATGGTGGCGTTTTGTAACATACGGAGCAGCATCTACTATGCAATTTTCAGTTCGTCATATCTTTGTAAATAATGAATGGAACTGAATCCTATTTGAACGGAAATTTCTATTAGAGAATCATCTTTCACAATTCTGCAATGGATTCTACAGCGTCAAAACCCTGCATGGAATCTTTCAAAATACATTATGCAAGAGCTAAATCTGCCTATTGCAGGTCTGTCTTTAGGCCTCAAATGTTATCTAAATTATAAGTTAAACATTAATTAACTGATCCAGGCCATAATCAACTCTCGATGGCATCAGATTTCTCCGATATTAAATAGATTAGAAAGGTTCAGCCATATTTTGATTTAATTTAAAAATGGAGGAGCGAAACTGAGCTTCGAACAACCAGTACCGTATTTGCATTATTGCACACCACTTGTCAAACCTTCAAAGGTTAATATCTTCGCTCGCAATAGAGTAATTTGAATGAAATTTTCAAATTGTTCATTTTACATTATTTATTTTCGAACTATTATAGCAATAATGACTAGTTCTTTATCTAAATCTACATAGTGTATCTTTAATAATCAGATTGTTATTAATGTTTCTCAATCTGCATGATTAGTTTCTTACATAAAGAATATAGAAGCGTCATTAATTGTTTAACATCCGTCACCCTGGCATTATTTTATAGCATTGTTCAGGTTGAAAAGGGCGTTTGGTTTTGAAAGAATCGGACGATCTAAGGTTCTATATACATTATTTATTTATCTAATATCCCGTTTCTTCATTGATCTTTTAACAAAATGATATCTTCCTTTTAAGCTGAATACATGTAATAAACGCTGGAGGAATTTATTTTATTAATGGTTTTAATCATAATTTTTTCATAAAATAGCAAACATAACATGACAATAATAAGAATATGATACAAAGCTAAAATCTTGTAATATATAACGTGCTTCGTGTACGACTTTATTCCCTTGAAGATATACAAGAATAGATTTGTATACTTAGTAGTACTAAATACATGTATTTAGTATGTTTCTTGTGTAAATTCCCAGTGTTTTGTCAAAATGATCTCTGATCTCTGTATGTGTGTCGGGGGATGGGGGGGGGAGCAGATGAGACACTTGTCCAGGGTCCAGAGCCGAGAGGGGCTCGGATAGGTGCTGAGTAATGTTTTAAAAGAATTGTTGGTAAAAATTAATGAACAAAATACATTATAACTTATTCGTAAAGTAGACGAAAATCGGTTACTTTCCTGTGTGTTGGTGGGATTAGAATCCGATTATGTCAGGCCACTTCGGTGAATTAAATATTATAATCCATCTCCGACCAGTTTGAAGCCCTCGTCACCATCAGGGTATCCGGGACCGTTAGGTAATTGGGCCTAGTCCGGGCCTGTCGAACCGTACAATAATTGTGAGGACATCAGTGTTGATCGCTCTAGACAGACTCAATAGTTTATGTGATTAATTTTTTTTATAGATGTTTTTGTTTATCCATTTGTTTGCTGGCTTAAAACTTCTTATCAAAATCATGTACAGCTGATTATTATTACATGAGTAAAACTAAAACGTAGTACATGTATTTGATATGTCACATGTTATTTTAGCGAAGTCATCCCCATTTACCCCAGATATACACCAAAATGATGCTACAAACCATGTATCTTTCAAAGATTTTCGAGCCCATGGTTGGGCTTACGTATCTCTGAATTCTGGTTAAGTGGACATAAATCCTCAGATTCATGTATGCCTATGTGTGGGCCTATTGTTGTAAATGGCTGTCGGGCTGCGACGCAGCAAAACTTTGGTCAGTTCTCACTAAAATATAATATTTGAAGGAACTCCTCATAGATATACCCTTTAAAGATTTTGATTGGTTGGGCTTACGTATCTCTGAATTCTGGTTAAGTGGACATAAATCCTCAGATTCATGTATGCCTATGTGTGGGCCTATTGTTGTAAATGGCTGTCGGGCTGCGACGCAGCAAAACTTTGGTCAGTTCTCACTAAAATATAATATTTGAAGGAACTCCTCATAGATATACCCTTTAAAGATTTTGATTGAATCAGTGCGTGGTGATTTATTGCTTTAGATCCTGCTCGTATCTATACCCGTAAACTGACCGACACGAAATTCATTAAAACGAATAATACTAACGCAGTGATTCATTGTGAATATATCGAGTAAGTGGCGGATTAGCTTTATTAACGTCCGCTTACACCGAAGTGACGTTCGTTCGTTCCTAGAGTTTTCCGTCCACTTCCACCATAGGGATCTTTAGCAATGGGATGAAACTGGAGGACCAGTAGTAATCCCCGGTTGTACGTGACAAGAAGTAGGGTTGCTTGTCTAACCTCGTGGGTTTTCTCCGGGTCCTTCGGTTTCCTCCCACTGCCAAATACCCCTACGTGCAAGCGAATTATTGAAATTAAATTAAACCATATGTTAGTTCTGCAATGATCTAGCCTGTATCGAATGGACGTTAAACCCAATATCTCTCTAACTATTGTCCGGTTGCCATGTCCGGTATTATATGATTGTATAGTCATATCCTACAGGTATAATACACAGTACACCGTACATATAATATTCATGATATATTCAATAACATAGTCTACATGTCACGCCTCATCAATTTCCACTCAGTACAACAAAATACCAAACATACTAACTAGTCCTTGACAGTTATAAACGGTGATTAACTTTTACACTAGGAGCGGTCGTGCAGGATGTAACACAACTAACCGTGTGCTTAATGGACAAAATCAAAAGTTGAATTATTGACAACAGAAGAGAATCATAACAGGTAAATACGACCAGTGTTTTACATGTTAATAATAATACACAAAGTACAATCTAGTGTTCAGGGTAAGACAAATTTCGTAGAATTCGACTTTAAATGGTGTCAGTATATAAATATTCACACACTGTATGCGAATTTAATTTTAAAAGAAAGTGAATTGACACACTGAGGCGTGATATATACGAGTGATCTAAGGAACTGTGGATATAATCAGTGACTTATATAATCCAATAACCTATACAGTAGTAAATTTACCTAGTAATCGTTGATACAATCGGGGATATATCAGTGACATATACAATCCATTAATCGATAATGTAACATCCACACATCCGGATTCATACATTGGGGCATAAGAGATTGATACACAAATAAAATGCATGCTTTGATTACAATATTGTGTCGCAATAATGTGACTATTTAAGCTGCCACGCGGGATTGCGCCAGGGCGATATACCTTCCCCGCCTTTGTTCACTCAATTTACAAACGATTTGGTGGACAAATGTTTCTCTTTATTTCTTGAGTTTCTTGAGTTTAGAAAAAGTATTAAATGAAATGGGGTTTAACGTCCTACTGTTATACCCCGATTAGGCTTATGAAGATGGGCATACCCAATACAGTGTGCTATGAGATAAATTTTGTCCATTGTCCATTGAATTCCAAATGTAGAGGGTTATTTTACGTGCGCACCAATATGTACATGAATTTCGTCCCATCAAAAGACTCGAACATGAGACCCCCTTAGTTAGCGAGCCAACGTCTAACCCATCAAGGAATCTCGGCTCTCCAATTTTTTATAGTACATTTACTGAACCTCCAGTTGATTAAACATGCATTATGCTAGAGCAAAATCTGTTTATTACAAGTCTTTCTTTAGGCCTGAAATGTTATCTAAATTATCAATTAGACATTAATTAACTTATCCAGACCATAATAAACTCTTGATGTCAAGGCTAGCCTTCGATGTTGGCTGGATTAGATTCCTATATGCCGCTAACGGCCGTTGATAATTAAATCAGAAAAAGTGGATAATCGAGACTATGCTTTTTATATAAATGATTTTAGTACTGATGACCGAGATTAATTAACTTATCCAGACCATAATAAACTCTCGATGTCAAGGCTAGCCTTCGATGTTGGCTGGATTAGATTCCTATATGCCGCTAACGGCCGTTGATAATGTAATCAGAAAAAGTGGATAATCGAGACTAAGCTTTTTATATAAATGATTTTAGTACTGATGACCGAGACTATGCAAAATTTTCACCCGCTTCTTTCTCAGCTCATAGTGGATCAATTTGACTGAAATTTTCAGCAAATTACCTTTACACTATCTAGTTTTTAACTATTATAGCGAGAACTGCCATCTCCTTATCTTATCGCCCATAATGTATCTTTAATAAATTTAAAATTAAACTTTCTTGTTTGTGAACAGAAATAAGAAAAATCATGTAAGAGACTCAGAACACAAGAGGATATGAGTAGTGAATCTGAATCTGGTGCTGCCGTGGAATTAAAGACAGTTGGTGATAAAGAGATTCCTAGTGATGGTTCACATGAGATGTCAACCAACAAAGCTGTGGATGATACTCCACGTCTTGATTACTATGAAGAACAGGTTTGTATATAATACAAGAGAGAGAGAGAGAGGGAGAGAGAGAGGGGGAGAGAGGGAGAGAGAGAGGGGGAGAGAGAGGGAGAGAGAAAGAGAGAAAGAGAGGGAGAGAGAAAGAGAGAGAGGGAGAGAGAGAGGGGGAGAGAGGGGGAGAGAAAGAGAGAGAGGGAGAGAGAAAGAGAGAGAGGGAGAGAGAGAGGGGGAGAGAGGGGGAGAGGGGGAGAGAAAGAGAGAGAGGGAGAGAGAAAGAGAGAGAGGGAGAGAGAGAGGGGGAGAGAGGGGGAGAGGGGGAGAGAAAGAGAGAGAGGGAGAGAGAGAGGGGGAGAGAGAAAGAGAGAGAAAGAGAAAGAGAGAGGGAGAGAGAAAGAGAGAGGGAGAGAGGAGAGAGAAAGAGAGAGAGAGAAAGAGAGGGAGAGAGAAAGAGAGAGTAAATAATTTGTGAGAGAGAGCGAGATAGTTTAACGTCCACTCGACGCAAACTAGGTCATTTCGGTAATAACATATGGTTCAATTTTATTTTAATAAATCCCTTGCGCGTCCGGGGGTTTACCAGGGTGGGGAAACCGGAGGACTTGGAGAAAACGTACACTTGACACACACACTAAATCGTTTGAGTTGTAACATATGGTCCAATTATATTTCTATAATGACAGGGGTTTTTGTGTGTGGATGGAAACCGGAGTACCCGGAGAACTCTATGTTAAGATGTTAAGAAGAGGCTTGTAATAAAACTGTGTAACTGCTGAGGGTTATATGTACGTACACGTCAACATGTACACATGACCACGTGTGGTTGTCTCCATCAAACGACTAGACGCTGTTTGTTGTCAAACCCACGGGACCCCTTGACTAGAGCCTTACTCATTGAGTCACTGCGTCGAGAGAGAGAGAGAGAGAGAGGGGTGGAGTTTAACGTCCACTTGATACAAACTAGGTAATTTCTGGACTAACATATGATTCAATGTTATTTCAATAATTCGCTTGCACGTAGGGGTCTTTAGCAGTGGTAGGAAACCGGAGGACCCCGAGACAGACGACCCTACTCCTTGTTACGTACATTCGGGGAATCGAAACCAATCCACTTGACCCAATGACAGACCTTATGATACAACGCGCACGCGCCAACCATCCGGCTATCCAATCCCCCCCCCCAATTCACCGCGTCTCGCACCATACAACACTAACTTATTAGCATCTTTTACAAATGAAATCGATTCAAATAAAAAAACTAGGCCCAAATAAAGGGACATTATGGAAGATTAAATAAAGTGCACTGTAAAGTTAAAAAAAAAAGATAACGTGACGAGAATTTGCTAAAAATTTCGGTTAAATTATTTCACTCTGATCGGAGAAAAACGAATTTCAAAAACACTGTAGCTCCGATTGTCATTGTTACCCTTGTTATGACAAGTTACAAAATCTCGATTATCCATTTTTACGATTATCATGCGCAGTCGTTGAATCGCAGATCGGATTCAAATCTGTTTAAAAATTGGGACCATCAGATGACATCGCGAGTTGATTATGGTCTGGATAAATTAATTAATGTCTCATCAATAATTTTTATAACATTTTTAAGGCCCTAAGAAAGATCTGCAATATCCAGATTTAGCTCGTGCATAACATATGTTTAATGGATAACAATTACCATGGATTATTTCACTGTGGCGTTTTAAAAGAGAGTGAGAATTAGGGTTTAACGTCTACTCGTCATTTGGGAACTTTGGTTCATAACCAAATAATGTTTTATTTGATTATGTTCCATTTTTAAACGTGCAACTTTTCTGCAACAACCGGGATAATGAAATCGTTGCCAACAGCAACACCGCGATATCATCCATTCGCAGAGTTTAGGTCAGTGACCAAATATGCATGGTGTCTAGCTTAAGGGTTCAATTTGATTTGTAACATCGGCTTTCTGCCTTGACGGAAAGATACTCAATAAATTTAGACAGAGCTGCAAGTCAGTGGCAGGCTTTGTTAACGCTTGCGCGTTTGATCATAAGGTCTGTCATGGAGTCAAGTGGTGTAGGTTCGATTCCCCGCTAATTGTACATAACAAAGAGTAGAGTCCGCATGTCCAACCTCTGCCCCCCCCCCCTCCACACTGTTAAAGACTCCTATGCGGTAGCGAATTGTTGAAATAAAATTTATTTCTCTCTCTCTCTCTCTCTCTCTCTTCTCTCTCTCCATGTTTAAGACTACACTGTGTATAAGAAATGCTTCTGACAGTGTCAAAACTATATACCAGTGATTCTCAACCTTTATTTGCCAACGGCACACCTTGGAACACATGAACAAATAGCGGCACATGTGGCTAAATATATATGAAAAATATTTGAATTTTGAAAATTTAAACATGGCAAGTCATAGACGGCATTTTTTTAGAGTTCCGTTAAAAATTTTGCGGCACACTTAGGAAGATCATTGCTATATACACATTATCCGTTTCGCCCTAGATCTTAAGGCCCTAGGTTTTAGTCTGGGCTATTAATTTATTTCCAGGAAGAAGAAGACGAAGTTCGCTGGATAAAGTCACATGTACAGAAAAAATGCCAATACCATAAATATCTTGAACCTCTACACACACGAAGTAGACTTGATGAGTTAGTAAAAAGTTTTTTTAAAAGTATAATCTCTTCATTAATTCATTTTGATTATTGTTCAGGATTAACAACCCCATATGTTACTGTTACTAAGGTATAATTCACACATTTAGTAACATTCCCATGTTAATGCCGTGGAAATATGCTCATTATGTCCATGCTGGTCAAGGAGAACTGTCTATGTTATGAATATACGTCGTATCGGCTTCGCTGCCGAGAATAATACCCCCATTTCACTGAGCTGCGGAAAGCTGCGGTACTCACGGACGCCGGCGGAATGGCTTCTACGGAAGAGCTTCGGCATTTTTACGCGGAAAAGTGGAAAAATAATTCCACGGAAAATGTCCATTTCACACGCTCTCGGAATACCTTCGGAACAGTCACGGTATCTTCGGAACACATACGGGTAAACTATGGTAGAAATCACGACGAAGCGGCGGAGAAACTGCGGAACAATTAGGAATGCGCCCAGATCGTCACGGAAGATATTCGGACAACTTGCGGGCTACACTCGGCAATGGCGGAAAATACGCGGGATAACTGCGGTAGCTGGCGGTACTAATCCGTTTGGCAAGGTAAAACTTCGGAATGACTGCGGAACAAGCGCGGACCATCTTCGGCAACCGCGTTTCGTCTCAGACCATTCGCGACGTACCTGCGGAAAATCGGTAAAGATCAAAGGAGGGCACCGGATTCCGCCGATAAAATCACTGTTTTGAAGACAGAAAGAACGTTTGCGGAAAAATTTGTTCGTGCTCTTCCATTGTTAAACCGGGAGTGACCCCTAACATTCGCAAGTTTTCCGCTGTTATTCCGTATACAAAGGCAGTTGCCGCATGTATACCGCAGACATTCCGTCACTTTCCGCGGGTGTCAAATAGTCACGGATTACATGCGTTCGTGTAAGGTAAAATACGGAAGACCTTCGCCTGCGAAATAAAAGCGCGGTATAATCACGAAATGTTACGGATTAGACGCGAATGAGATACTGAAGTGGCCTAAATAACCTGACGCCATGGATAATGATGCATTACAGAGCGGTGTGATGACGGGTTAGTCACGGATTAGGCGAGGTTAATATACGACTCGTTTGCGGACTACCTGCGGAAGCCGCGAATCAATTGCGGACTGTTTGCGGACTTCCCGCGGAACAATTTGCAGGGTATAAAATCCGTGCAAAGTCATCCTTCATTCATAGATATTTCTACCTCGTCATCCACAACAGGTATTGCAAACAATTGTTTTAAGATGCCAAAGGGGAAGCCTAGTTGTAAAAAGAAGGGTGCAGCAATTTTATAGGCGAAATCACGTGCAAATCATGTGCTCTTTACCAATTTTTCCGCAGGTACGCCGTGATTGATCCGAGACCAAACGCTGTTGCCGAAGATCGTCCGCACTTGTTGCGCATTTATTCCGCGTATAACGCAAGTACTCACAGATTATTCCGCAGTTCTACCGTGCCAAACGGATTAGTATCGCCAGATACCGCAGTTATTCTGCTACTGCCGGGTGTGACCCGCAAATTATCCTTATGTCTTCCGTGCTCATTCCCATGTGTTCCGCAATTTTTTCGCGATTTTTTTCCCGCAGCTCTGCCGTCGAGGTAGAAATATCTATAAATGGAGGTCGGCTTCCCACGGATTCTATACCCTGAAATTTTTTTCCGCGGGAAGTCCGCAAACAACCCGCGATTGATTCGCTGCTTCTGCAAGTAGTCCTCGCGTACCGCATGCAGTACTCAAATGACCCGTATATTAACCGCGCCTAATCCGTAACTAATCTGTCGTCAGGTCGGCTATCCCTCGTTCTTGTGCGTCTCATCCGCATCTTTTCCGTAAACATTCCTTGATATACCGCGCTTTCCTTTCGCAGGCGAAGGTCTTCCTTATTCTTCCTTACATGAACGAAGGTCATCCGTAACCATATAACACTCGCGGAAAGTGACGGAATGCCTGCGGTATACATGTGGACAACTTGCGGCAACTACGTTTGTATACGGAATAACAGCGGAAGACTCTCGGATCGATCCCGATTTAATTGCGGAAGAGCACGGAAAATTTTTCCGCAAACGATATTTTAAGGAACGTTCGCGGAACAATTTGGGCTCGCAAAAGTCTGTGGACGACGAGGAATGACTACGGATTCACTGGGCTTCCTGGCGGAGCCATACGGAGTGAGAGGAAAGACTTACGGACTTTGCGGTACACTTGCGGATTTCCTTCCGCAAGTCCTCCGTGGCCCAGTGAAATGGGGGTATAACCAACATGATGAAAAATGTGTGACCTATTTGATACATCAGTTCTAATGTGTTTTATATCTGTTATACACACGGGGACAAACAATGTAAATGGAAGCAGAATAAATACTTCTCATCATTCGAGAAGATTTGTCGATGTAGGAATTAAAATTTGATCAACTCGCTTGGTGTCTGTTTTCAAGTGGAGCTAATTATAAACAAACAACGGACGTTTCGTAGACGACAGGGAATTAGAACACGAGGATAATAACGATATCTGATTCTTTAATAATCTTTAAGAGTTATTATGAACGAAATATGATATTTTTTATTGATGAAGAGAGCCACGGTGGCTAAGTGGGTAAGACGCTGGCTCGCTAGCCTCGAGGTCACGGGTTCGATCCCTGCATTGGCCGAGAAAGTTCATCCAGATTTTTCGGCGTGATTCCCTCTTGTCAGTGATGCATGGCGGAGGGCCTGACTAGGGCATCTGTCTAGTCTTTCGGATGGGACGAAAAACCGTGGTCCCGTGTACACATTGGCGTGTGAGGGAGAGAGAAATGGCGTTTAACGTCCACTCGACACAAACTAGGTCATTTCGGGACTAACATGGTTTTAATTTTATTTCACTAATTCGCTTGCGCATAGGGGTCTTTAGCAGTGGGAGGAAACGGGAGGGCCCGGAGAAAACCCACGAGGTTGGACAGGCGACCCTACTCCTTGTAACGTACAACCGGGGATTCGAAACCACGCCAGTCGACTCAATGACAGAGTTTATGATACAGCGCGCGCACGCTAACCATTCAGCCATCCAACCCGCCACATTGGCGTGTACGTAAAAGATCCCTTACAGCACACTGTATGGCGTATTCCTGTCTTCAGTAGCCCAGTTCGGAGCAGAACCGTAGGACGCTAAACCCCATTTCATTTCATTTCATTATGAAGTGATATCGATATAGATTTAAATTTTATATTTTAGTAAGGTGGTTGGTTTAAACCCCGTGTGTACTTGTGGTAATCTCAGAAGTCAACATGAATCCACTGATGTTTTTGGTGAATTTGAATTTGATAACGATGATAATCAACTTGCAAGGGTAAAACATTTTTTTGATATAGATAATATGTTTAAATTCAAATGCAAATAAAACGTTTCGGTAGTATACAATGATTTTAGTGAACACATTAGAAGTCATCTGTCGGGGAGGGGTAGATGTCATCTAAGTTTGAAGAGAGAAATTAAACATGTACAACGTTCGATCTTGGGATATCTCTCTTGTGCGAAATTCGAAAGTCATGTAGATATCCCGTATGATTAATGTTTTATTAAACTAAGGCTGTAGAAATACATATAAAAGCACATTGAAAATTATCAAAAAACACACATTTATAACTACACTATATAACATATTCAAAACTCTGACAATTCAAAACACGAGAAATTAAAAGAAATTACGAACACTATAGCGAAACTTTTGTTAAAATATTTTCAACAAATAGAGCATTTTTATGTCTTAAAATTTGCCAGTTACATATCCGAAATTTTCGTTTGAGTTTTTCTACAATAGTCACACCGATAACAAATTTTCTTTTAATGATACAGTTTATCAATAAACTTAACCAGAAATTTATATAGTTAATGAGTTTACGCTCTACTGACGTCGGTAAACTTACCCAATCAACATTCTTAATCTCTTGAGCACTATAACACCAAGGTGCTAATTAAGTGGTGAGATTAACAGAATTTATTCCCATAAAAGATTTAATACACAAGCCGTACATTACTAATGTATGGACTAGTCTCTGTGGTTCTAAATTATAACACCGAGAGAAATATTAAACAAAAATTAACAAATATATTATGGCGTGGTTGCTATGTGATGTAGAGTTAGAACATAACAATATCTTTAACTTGCTTTTTCTCAAAACTATCTTTTCTGACTAGTGCGACCTCACACGGATATAGATTAGTCAATTTACAGTTTAATATCAGTTATCTTTTTAAATAAAGCAACCGAACTGCAGTCGCCTTGACACCAAAAGTTTTCCAATATGAACTCTGAATAAGCTCGTGCACGCTTGTACATGTATAAAAGGAATTGCTCCTTTGATCCAGAAGGTTGTCTACGATATCACCCTAGGTGGAAGTGGACGTAAAAATCTAGAAACGAAAGCACGAACGAATGATCGAGAAGGGTTACTTGATTGAACGGTACAGAGGTGTAACTTGGTCATTTCTACATAAATTGTATCATTATAATATTCTAAAAAAAGACACCCAGGCTTGTAAGCGAGTTGTTCGGATCTTACGAGTCATTCTGATCACAAAATTAAAGATAAGGTATATGTGACCCCCCCCCCCCCCCTATAGCATACTGAGTCGCAATGAAGACATTGATTTATTTTTATTGTTATTTTCACATTCTCCAACTCATTACCTTCAATTTGATGTATAGTTTGTTTGAATTGGGCAACAATTGACTGAGCTGTGTCCATTAGAAACTACCCAACTCACAAAAGTAAGTTTTGAGAAAAAGCAAGTCAAAGATTTGGTATGTTCCAAAACAAAATCCCATAGCAATCAGGCCATTTATTTGCTGTTTTGTCGTTGAATATATCTTTCCATGGATTTTCAGGGGTGCTGAAGACGAAAATCGTAGTCAAAATTTGATCCGACGATTTCCGAAATTCATTTGCTATTTTGCCGTTTAATGTGTTTTTTTGATTTAGGATTTCAAGGGTGCTGACGACGAAAATCGTAGTAAATGCACTTCTTTCGTAACGAAACATCCACAACACATACGACATAATATTCACATCATAGTAGTCTGTTGTGTACATTGTATAATAGGTGTGCCCCCACTATGCCCACTTTTGAAAAATAAGGGATTGGATTAAGTCCAATTAATTCTTAATTGGATTAGTGTATTAAGCGGATTAGTATATTAAGCAGATTAGGATTAGTTGATTGTGGGCACTTGGAAGGAAAAAAAATATAGATATTACTGTATAAAGTTTTATTTTTATTTTTCTGTTTGATATATCATACATGATGAAATATGGCAGTATGACTTCTGTGTGTCCTTATAAAGACAGTGTAATGTGTGCTGAACATTATTCATATTATATTCAAGTGTAATCATGTTATTATAAAATTCATCAATTTAACGATTAGAGTGAGTTCATCTCGTCAATCATAAGACTGAATATTTAGTCACTTCCAGTTTACTTCTGCAAATGCAGGTGAACTGTAGTTCATATATCAGGAGATATGTGCTAAGTACTGACCACACTAATTAATTCCTTGTTAATCTCTCTATTGTTCCCTCTAATGTTCGTCGCCTGAGTGAAACTTGTTTTTATTAGAAAAGTGGGCATAGTGGCATGCGACCGTATAATATAACTTTGGTGAGGTTAATCTCATCAATTAATTAACACATTAGCGCCAGCTGGTGGTCAGGAGATTAAGATTGTTGATTGGATAATCATCAAAAAAGCCGCCACAGCTGTACGCGTGTTCATTAACGAAATGAAATGGAGTTTAAGGTCCTACTGTTCTGCTCCTATACTGGGCTAATGAAGACGGGCATACGCCATACAGTGTGCTATGAGGGAAATTGTGCCCGGGCAGCGGCACTATCGCCTACTCTTATATCGAATTCCAACTGCCAAGAGCTCTTTTACGTGCATTCTAATGTATACACGGGACCTCGGTTTTTCGTCTCATCCGTGTTCATTTAACACGTGAATTAAAATAAGATTTTGCGTGTACGATATTTTCAGGTACCATAACGTTATCAAAATATGAGTCCCTATAGAAATATCAATTTCATAGTCAAGAAATGCTTACGTTCACTTCCGTGCATTTTGGCTTTGATGTAAATATCAACAATATTCGACCCATGGTGAATTTTAAACAATAATATCCAAGATGCATTCCATACTAGAAGCGACAGTAAACAGAATTCGGCAATCTATAAAGAAAATTATTGGCCATTTCGTTTATTTCCTTTTAAGGCCTATAAATTATGTTATGAGATATCAAATAATCACCACTTGGATTAATTATTCGGAGTAAATAATGTAAAATGAAAATATTGAAAATTTCAAACAAATTATTTCGTTCTGAAGCAAGTTATCAATGTGTTTAGTTTAATTGGGATTTGGCCTTGCTTTTCCATTTTTAAATTAAATTTTAAATGACGAACCGTTCTAATCTAGTTAAAATCTCGAGTATCCGATGCCATCAAGAGTTGATTATGGTATGGATAAGTTAATAAATGTCTAATTAATAGTTTATATAACAATTCAGGTCTAAAGAAAGTCCTGCAATAGGCAGATTTAGCTCTTGCCTAATGTATGTTTAAACACACACAGAGAAAGAATATGATCTTGTAAAAGAATCACCACAATTATTTCTAATAGCATGATACGCGAAAAGAATGTATACCCCCACCCCCACCCCACTATTCAATCTTATATTGTCAATTTGGTTTTCTCATTTCCAGTTCATGAAAACTGATGATGTCCAGTTACTCCCACAACTACTGACTAGAAGTCAACGAAGATGGAACAACCCAAGAAAACTGATTTCTATCGTAGGAGGAAATCACAACATCCTAATGTCGAAACAGTCAAAGGAAATATTACGTCACGGTTTTACAGATATTGCAGAGAAATATGAACGAAGTAAAGTCTTCATATCTTATGATGTGAATTTGTTTTTTTCACTTTGGGACCGTTCTGCGTGTAGAACAGTTTACGGTCTTGTTATTCTTGGTCGAAGTGAATTGTTTTATAATACATAAGAATATATAGAGAATCTCTTAAAAATCGTTTTTGATATCAACACAAGTCGATAAAGTAAAATAAAAACCGAGGCTTTAGATATATTTTGATATCAAAAAAGGCGAGTAGGAGATTTTATTTATCACCCAATCCTTTCTTACATGCAAAAATAAATAAATATAATTTACTGAACCTGATTACATTACGGCGTAGTGATACATCATTGTTTTGACAGCAATTCAACCATTGCAAAGTCCTTTATATTGACCCAATGTTTCCATCATGGCCAATTGAATAAAAATAGTTCCTTTTTAATAAAGAAAGAAGAAGTTACTTTTAATAAAAAAATAAATTGTTCATTGAAAATAAATAAAGTAGTACCTTTTTAATTCAGCAATCAAATTCATGTAAAGTGATATCTCTTAAGGAGATATCGCAGTTGATTATGAAATTTATCACACAGGCGATACCTACTTTAGAATGTGTTATTGGGTGATAAAAGGATATTCTAATATTACTAATGACTGATTCGGTTGTTATTGTGGAGTCGTTGAGTGTATGGTGGAGACGAGATTGAAATAAAATGAAATACTGTAACGTCCTACTGTTCTGCTCCGACTGGGATAACGGAGAGGATGGTTACTGGTAGTTTTTGTTATGCAGTGGGGCTTAACGTCCGATTGGGCTAATGGAGACGGGAATTCGTTATACAGTGTGCTATGAGGGTAATTTTTGCCCGAACAGCAGCACCACGGTGTACCCTTATTTCGAATTCCAACTGTCACGTTCACGCTAATGTATACTAGGTTCCTCGGTAATTTATATGCCATCTATCAAACACATTAATCAAAGTAAATCCGAGAAGAGAGAGAGGAGGAAACCGTACGACCCGGAAAATCCAACGAGGCTGGGCAGGTGACCCTACTTCTTGTCACCTTGTCACGTACAAGCGGTGAATCCAAAGCACACCATTTGACCCCATGCCAAACCGTATGATCTAAAGCACTCTCCGTATGTCATTCGGTCACTCAACCGCCCAAAGGGGGGTGGATGGCCGAATGGTTAATACGTGCGCGCTGTATCATACGGTCGTGGTTTCGATTCGCCGGTTGTTCGTGACAAGGAGTAGGTTCGCCTGTCCAACCTCGTGGGTTTTCTACGGGTCCTCCGGTTTCCTCCCACTGCTAAAGACCCTTACCCTTCTCCCTCTCTCTCAACCGCCCAAACTCACGAAGAGTAAGTGAAATCCGTACCTTTAATTTATTACTGGATTTATCTTTTACTGGGCAATGGCGGTCAATAAACCGGAGAAGAAAACTCGAATCCGTCGCATTGATCTGTAATTTAATATTTCCCTTCTTTTATCCTGTAGATATCTGTTTTGTAACGAATGGCGTGAACACCACAATCAACAGACTTGTTGGTAAATCATGTAAGAAGATGAATTTATTAACCGGATCTAACGGATATATTAAATTGACACCTGTTATAGGAGTTGTACCTTGGAGTAACATTCCCAATAAAGACCAGTTAATAGATAGACAGGTAACTATAGTAACAAGATATTTCATTAATAGTTATCTCCCCTTGGTGTAACATTCCCAAGTAAGATCAATTAATACACAAAGGGCGGAGCAAGGTATGTCGTTAATGGGGTTAATAGATACATAGGCAACTATAGTAACAAGATATTTCATTAATAGTTATCTCCCCTTGGTGTAACATTCCCAAATAAGATCAATTAATACACAGAGGACGGAGCAAGGTATGTCATAAACGGGGGTTAATAGATACATAGGCAACTATAGTAACAGGGTATTTCATTAATAATTATCCCCCCTTTGTATGATATTCCCAAATAAGATCAATTAATACATAGAGGGAGGTAATTGTAATACCAAGGTATTTTATTAATAAAGTTAATCCACCTTAGATTATCTTACCTCAGAGTAATTCACATCTAAGATCAGTTAATACATAGAGAGTTAATTATAATAACACGTATTGCATTAATGAGGTCAATTGACCATAAGTTATCTCCCCTTGGTGTAGCCTTCCCGACATAGAGAGTTAATTATTTTAAGACGGTATTTCATTAATGGGATTAATTCATTGTAGGTTCTCTCCCCTTGGTTAAAAGTTGATATTTTTAACCGGACGTATTTTGTTTAATTTATGTGTATATTTTAGGGTAAATGGCAGTTTAAGTACAGTCAAATATATGATAAAAATAGCGTGAATTTAGAAACAAATCATACAGATTTCTTCTTTGTGGATGATAATGACGAATACCGAATGGCATTAGAGAGACAATATTCAATAGGTAAGTTCTAAGGCACTCAGTCAGCAACAATCCCGTGTGGGTCGAGAAATTTCATCAGGATTTTCCAGCGGTGCAGGACAGAGGGCCTGGCAAAGGAAAACGTATAGTCGTTCGGGTATACATTGGCGTGTACATTCGGCCACTGTGGTTTGGTTAAACCTATTACCTCATGAAAACCGTGCTATGAATATAACTTACTTAGATATTTATCCAAACTTTAAATCTCTAGACCATTGGATGGTTGTGATTTTCAACGGATTTAAACATGATCACATGATTTAGTTAAAATTAAAAAATGGATAACTGAAATCGTAGCAACGACGTAACTTCGACTCATGACAAATGATTATAAGTTTAACTTATGGCAAATGATTATAAGTTTAAATTCAAATTTTGTCAAATGATTATAAGTCTAACTTCAACCTATGACAAATGATTATAAGTTTAACTTCAACTTATGACAAATGATTATAAGTATAACTTCAACCTATGACAAATAATTATAAGTTTAACTTCAACTTATGACAAATGATTATAGGTCTAACTTCAACTTATGACAAATAATAATAATAATGTATATTTATATAGCGCCAATTCAATCCAAAATTACATACTCAAGGAGCAGTCATGACACTCTGTACACTTTACACTATTTACACTAGTAGCTTGATCACACGTATGAGTATAAATGAGTTTTCAATTTTGTCTTATAAAATGATTATATGTTTAACTTCAACTTATGACAAATGATTATAAGTCTAACTTCAACTTATGACAAATGATTATAAGTTTAACTTCAACTGATGACAAATGATTATAAGTCTAACTTCAACTTATGACAAATGATTATAAGTCTAACTTCAACTGATGACAAATGATTATAAGTCTAACTTCAACTTATGACAAATGATTATAAGTCTAACTTCAACTGATGACAAATGATTATAAGTCTAACTTCAACTTATGGCAAATTATTATAAGTCTAACCTCAACTTATGACAAATGATTATAAGTCTAAATTCAACCTATGACAAATGATTATAAGTTTAACTTCAACTGATGACAAATGATTATAAGTTTAACTTCAACTGGTGACAAATGATTATTACGTTTAACGCTAGGATCATTGATTAATAAGTTTAACCTCGGAGTGCTAATATTTACGATGACTATTCCATTTGCTAGGTATTTTATTGGTAATACGGGGCGGAACAGAAGCCTTCCCGTTTATTGAAGAAACAATTAGAAATGGTTTGAGAATAGTTTTTATAAAGGTGAGAATCAGCTTTTTCATTCCACCCTCGCTTATACATGACAAGGGGTAAGTTCGCCTAACCTCGTGGGTTTCCCCCCATTGCTAAAGATTCCTATGCGCTAGCAAATTATTGAAATAAAATTGAAGCATATGTTCGTCCCGCAATGACCTAGTTTGTGACGATTTCTTACAAAATCCATACTATGAAGACCTACTCAGGATAAATGTCAACATTTGTTGTTTTGTTTTGTAACTAAACGTCGAAATCTTCAAAATATAAGCTTGTTTCACGATTTCAACCCAAAAAGTCGACGAATTTAGAATACGGATCGGACAAATATGAACTTTACTTTGCTAAAGATTTAATACATATAAAATTATCCATCGATGGTGAGATGAATACTTATATAACCTTATAAATGTTGTTGGTGTCGTTGAAATGGTTTCAAGGGATCTTTTACCTAATACTGAGCAAATAATATTTAGTAAGGGAGGAATGCGTTAAGATTGATAGAAATTGAGCTCTTTAAATTAATAATAGCATTATATTATATCGTTAACCAGTTCCTGATATAAAATGTAGAAACGAACTGGTGCATTGTTATTTCTGGTAGATAAATGTCTTACCGGCCGAGATAAAAAATATAGTAGAAGAAAATAAGAAAAAAATAACCAGAGACAATACTAGGCGATCACAAGGCTATTAAAATATGTAGCAGAATAGAAAGTATGCGTCACACGTTGGATGTGGGAAGTTTTTATGCGTTGTGAACTTTCCACATCTAGCCAGCGACTCATAGTACGGCATAGTGCTACACAAATTGAAGTGATGTTTCACTAACTAACTAAATTAATAATCATCATTAAAACGAGCAAACGCATATAATTATCTTATAACATTGACGTGATGTTTTACTAACTAACTAAATTAATAACCATCATTAAAACGCGCAAACATAATTAGCTTATAACATTGACGTGGTGTTCTACTAACTAGCGCGATATAAATGGAATTATTATTATTATTATTATTAACTAAATTAATAATCATCATTAAAACGCGCAAACATAATTAGCTTATAATATTGACGTGGTGTTTTACTAACTAACTAAATTAATAAACATCATTAAAACGCGCAAACATAATTAGCTTATAACATTGACGTGGTGTTTTACTAACTAACTTAAATTATAATCATCATTAAAACGCGCAAACATAATTAGCTTATAATATTGACGTGGTGTTTTACTATATTAACTTAATTAATGATCATCATTAAAACGCGCAAACATAATTATCTTATAACATTGACGTGGTTTTTACTAACTAACTTAATTAATAATCATCATTAAAACGCGCAAACATAATTAGCTTATAACATTCACGTCGTGTTTTAGTAACTAACTAAATTAATAAACATCATTAAAACGCGCAAACATAATTATCTTATAATATTGACGTTGTGTTTTACTAACTAACTAAATTAATAAACATAATTAAAACGCGCAAACATAATTATCTTATAACATTGACGTGGTGTTTTACTAACTAAAACGCGCAAACATATATGATTAGCTTATAATACTACCGTAAATAAATAAATATATATCTATTTATGATACAGCTGTTCTTACCATTGTTTCACATAAAAAAAACATATCAAAACACGACCCGGGATGGGGGAGGGCAGCCTTAAACGTCCACTGAGCTGTACAGTGCCGGACCCGTGATGGTCACCCCTCAACAAGTTTAACTTTTTATTGCCGGTGTTTAAAGTGAAATTGAAATCGATATTTAAATCATCCAGTTATTTGGTTGTTTGTGTTTTTATTGTAGGGGTTTGGTGGTGTAGCTGATATCGTGGCTCAAGTTTTACCGTTAACCAAAGATGAGGAGTAAGTTAAATAATATAATATTGGTTGATTTATGCATTACCACATTCATTTTACCGACTTCAATGTGGCCTACATCAATTTTTGAACATTCCGCTATGTGTATAAGAGAGAGAGAGAGAGAGAGAGAGAGAGAGAGAAAGCATTTGACGTACACTTGACACACACTTGACACACTAGGTCACTTGATGACTAACATATGGTTCAATTATATTTTTATAATAGTAGGGGTCTTTAGGTGTGGAAGGAAATCGGATGACCAGTAGACCCTCCACCCCATCCACCCCACTCACAGACAACGTTGGACAGGCGACCATAGTCCTTGTCATGTACAAGCGGGGAATTGAAACCACAACACATGACTCAATGACAGACCTTATGATCTAAAGCACGCGCGTTAAACCATTTTGCCACTACCACAAAGATTAAATTATGTGATGGATAATGGCCGAAGACTGTTAGCCCCGAAGTTTTTCTTTGTATTTACATAATGGACAGTCTGAGGCTATTATCAAACTTAAAAAATAGCAGCATAGAGATACAAATAATGGATAGTTTTCTAAAACAACAAGCCATAAAATAATGGATATATTCTTAAAACATCATGCGCATGCTCATGAATGCATGTGACAAAACACTCCAGTCATACCATGCAAGCATACACAGACAGTCCAAAATATTTTACATGGAGACATGTTTACAACACAGTCGAAAACAAATATTAATAATGAGAATATATTATGTGATAAGCATGTGGATACTGATTACATTGGTAATGCACTCGATATGGAAGATAATAGCCGTAATAATTGTGATGTTCTTGATATGGGGGATAATAGCCGTCAAAGTTGTGATGGAAAGGCTCCTCACGAGAATGATTTAGATATTGATAATATTCTTAGTACTGTGGTTAATATGGAGGGTACTAGCCGTCCCAATTTTGATTTAAAATTTGATATATACTCTGGTATAAGTGACAGGATACAGGATCACAGGCACACACCAATTCACGAAATGCAAACTCAACTGTCATTATGGTGTAACGGTGATATATTTGACGTTTTTTATAATCGGATAAAAATTGTGACCTGCATAGGTTTCACAGGCTCAAAACACGTTTTTTTGTTCAATCCGGGGCCATAATCCAGGAAGTTACGGTCCGATATGCGCCACTATCGCAAGGAATCGAGATCTTTGGGTTATAAACACACATGTGTTCAGTTTCATCAAAATGGGCTAATAATTGTGACCTCTAGTGTGTACAGTCAGGGGCCATAATACATGAAGTTACGATCCCATACAAGCCAATATCGAAAGGAACCGAGATCTTTGGATATATAGACCTGTAGAGTGTCCACAAAGAAGGTGTGAAGTTGTGGGCGTATAAAAACGTATCATCGATATAGTGCCGAACATACTATTAAACGGATAAGTGACATATAACGGAGGGATTTAAGTGGAATTCCTTATGTAGACGAACACGTGAAATCCACATTCGGCCATGTGACATTTCGGTAACTATGAGGTTTTAAAGTAATTTCATGTTCTGTAATTTAATTTGTTCAGAGAATAAATTATCCCAAAATACATGTTCATTTTTCAGATACGTGTCTATTATTGGTATTTTCTTAAACAATCGTCTATTATTTATAAAATTGTCCATTATTTATTAACAAAAAATAGACAGTTTTATAAATAACATACGATTGTTTAAGAATAGCGTACATTCCCCTATATACTGGTTAAAAACATCAAAGGGTGACGTCATATCTATGTTTTAACCAGTGATACGAGGCATCGTAATGGAAGCAAATCATACAATGTATCGGACGATGGGCATAAGATGGTATACAGCAAAATAGACAGTTTTATAAATAACATACGATTGTTTAAGAATAGCGTACATTCCCCTATATACTGGTTAAAAACATCAAAGGGTGACGTCATATCTATGTTTTAACCAGTGATACGAGGCATCGTAATGGAAGCAAATCATACAATGTATCGGACGATGGGCATAAGATGGTATACAGCAAATTCGGTTACTACGCAAAGACACAATATCAAAGTACCCCCCCCCCCCCGAGCAGAAAATTCAAACTAAAAATAAAGAATAAAAAAAAAGACTTCTATGCTAATAAAACACACATGGTATATTGTTTTCTTATTATTTAAAATCAAATAATTGATGTGATTTATTTTGGTTTTGTACAGGAGACACAGCCTATTAAAAATACTGATCGAACGCGGCACATGTCTGGGGGTCAGTTACTGTGGTGAAGAACTGCAACAAATCATGGATGCCGTAGAAAACATTGTCCATCACAAGAAATCCGTAGCCGTTTATGATCTCAGTTCAGACAGATCACAAGATTTTGGACGGTTTCTTTTGTATCAGATTGAAGAATCCCGTTATGGTAAACTAAGAGAAATTACAGCCCAATCTGATTAAAACACAGATCTATATTTCGTTTCGTTTCTTTTTATACTTTGGATGGTCTACACTACATGAAGATTTGCCCGGTTATAGTGGAAGGTCGCGTCAGGTCATACGAGCGGCTATTGACACTATGACGTCAGACTTTCAATTAACCAATCAGCGTATCAGCGTTGATGTTTCTAGTGAGTTACCCACAGTTCCGTGCACCTCACGCCAAAAAACTCGCCGTAACAGACCGTTTCATTGGCTAATCCCTCACATCATCTAGAACTCGGGTTATATAACAACTCTTCCAGATCCTAGTTTAGTAAAGACAAGTAAAATTTTGAACTATCAAAAACGAAACGAAATAGGATCTATGTTTCAATCAGACTGACTACAGCCCTGATGACACTTCGCCCTCCATTTATAAAAGATGCAGTATATAAGATATAGATAAAGAGCTGTAATATTTCAAACATAGATAAAGACAAATTAATATATTCAAAATTTCAGTCAAATGACTCGTTTCTGAGCGAAGTTATCAGGTTTTGAAATGTTCTTAACATATCGTCTTTGATTGGCATATTGAACATATTAACACAAGGTACAATTTTATGGATACACAATTACTGAATTTAATACTAAGCGATGTTTTGACGAGGATACTCTCGTCTTTATCAAGCAATTGTGTATCCATAAAATTGTACCTTGTGTTCTCAATTATACTACATATTGTAAGTCGGGACCATCCGGGTTGCCACGTGAATAAATGTCTAATCAATAATTTATATAACATTTGAGGCCAAAAGAAATGAAATGTATCTTTAACATATCGCTTATTATGTATCGACAGTGTGCTATGCTACAGTGTGCTATATGCTATGCTACAGTGTGCTATATGCTATGCTACAGTGTTATGCTACAGTGTGCTATGCTACAATGTGCTATATGCTATGATACAGTGTGCTATGCTACGTGTGCTATATGCTATGCTACAGTGTGCTATATGCTATGATACAGTGTGCTATATGCTATGATACAGTGTGCTATGCTACGTGTGCTATATGCTATGCTACAGTGTGCTATATGCTATTCTACAGTGTGCTATGCTACTGTGTGCCTTTTTGTAGAACTTCTAAGTATCGATATGGATCCGTCTGATTAAACGTCTCCTACATGAAATTCATTAAAATAGACCGGTATTTGTCACATCCAATGTTTTAGACTTATTTATCACATCAACCTTTTTTGAAATATTGTAATTATATTTTCGCCGCTCCTAGACTCAACGACATCAGTATTAAAACATGGCTAAGAAGTAATAGTTATTGTTTTTCAGCTCCTGGAATAGCCAAGCACGAATCTCCGATCGGCGGTGACTTGATGATTATAGAGGAAATGAGAGATGCAATTGTCGGTGGTAATAACAGTGTAGCTATAGAATTACTGGAGAGTGGAAGATATGATGTTAATTATTTACAGGTATTTATATAGTCTAACTGACAATCAATCGCATCAACCAGTATATACGCCAAGAAGAAGGGCACACGTCATGCAATGTGCTATTTGGAACATGTTGCCTCGACAGTAGCGTTTCTGGCTACTCTGCAATCGAATTCTATCTGCTAATTGTTCCTTTAACTGCAGCTCAACAAGTATATGCCCAACCTCGTGGATTTTCTACCGGACCTCCCATTTCCTCCCACTCCTAAAGTCCCCTACTCGCAGGCGAATTATTGAAATAAAATTTAACCATGTGTTAGTTCCGAAATGACCTACTCTCTCTCTCTCTCAACAGGTATATGACAGACGCTTGGTTGTTCTTGCCCACCTCCTCGTCTATCACGACTGACACGGGTTAACTAGTCTGGACAATTCTGTCGATCTTTCACTGTTGAACCCGGGACCTTTGGGAACCACTGTGCCCCCCCCCCCTCATAAAGATATGACTAGGCTAATAAAGACGGGTATACGCCATACAGTGTGCTATGGGGGAAAATATGCGCGGACGGTGGCACTACAGCTCACACATATATCGAATTCCAACTGCCAAGGGATCTTTTACGTGTACTCAAATCCGAACGACTAGACAGCTGTCCTTGTCAGGCCCTCCGTCCTGCATCACTCTTATGGGGTAGGGGGGGGGGGGGCACGTCGGAAAATCCCGATGAACGTTCTCGACCAACGCAGCGATCGAACACGGAACCTCCAGATTAGCGAGCCAGCGTCTCACCCACTTAGCCACCGGGATAACACTCGAGGCAAGGAAGAAACATCCACGGAATTATATCATATTGTAATCAGGGTGATAAAGATGAAAGAACTAACTTTAAACTGTGCTACAAATAAACAAATAACTTTAATGCCATAAAATTATTACTTATTCTATTCGGGTTGATGCATCTGAAAAAACCCACCCGAAACAAACATCCGAACCACATATGTTCCACATATTTTATACTATGAACGCCGTCTAAAGTTGCTGATATATTGTTATATTTTATGAGTTTTAAAGTTCATTGGATTAATGGATATATTTCAGGGTAAAGATAGTAACTTCGGACGGAGAATGACCAAGTTGTTATGTAGCAACAATTATGAGTGTCTTGATGCATTTTTTAACAATGGTTTAAAGGGTGGCCAGTTTTTAAGTCTCCGAGTATTAGAAGACTGTTATAAAGCTGAAGGTGTAGATGTTCACACGGTATAACTGGATATTATTATTATTATTATTATTATTAATGGACTAGAAACCATTCCCCAGACGCTACACATCTTATTGTTCTTTTTCGTTTGCTTGGGGGAGAGGGGGGGGGGGGGCGTGACGGCCTTTAAAAAAAGTCCAATACTCTGCCAATTCAAGTACGATGGGCACGACATTTGGCATGCGCATTCCATGGGCATCACAATTTCAAGATGGCTGCGATGACGTCATACCCGGTTTCTGTTTTATGGTATGCAGCACTTGTTTAGATAATTTCCCATTTATGAAGTCCATTTACAATTTCAAGATGGCTGCGATGACGTCATACCCGGTTTCTGTTTTTATGGTATGCAGCACTTGTTTAGATAATTTCCCATTTATGAAGTCCATTTATAATTTAATCGATTTTGTCTTACGGTTTATAGTTTACCTCGTTTAGGAAATGCAATGAAATAAAATGGGTTCAACGTCCTACTGTTCTGCTCTGAATGGGCTAAGAGGGACATATATCGAATTTCAACTGCCAAGGGATCTTTTACGTTCACGTCAATGTGTACACGCCCCCCCCCCCCCGACACACACACCCACACACACACCTGAACGACTATAACTCGTTTAGGGGTTTAATCACAAAAAAACATAATTTGGAACAAAACTACTATTTTAATTAGATCGTTTATGGTTTATAACGTACAATATTTGCACTTCAGACTTCATATCATCTGGAAATCTTAATTCTATGTAATAATCGATTTTGTTAATATTTATTGAGTTTGTATATTGAATATTGGTAATGGTTGATTGATTATATGGTAGTTAGGAGATAAAAATCGACTGTTCAGATTTTAGCGGATCTCCCCGCCTTTAAAGGCTCAATACCACTCTTGTTGTAACTGAATAATATGTCCCAATCTTTATTCTGGTCAACAAATTGTACCATTTCAATTAATTGATGATACAAATTTCATCTTAACACACCTTATTTAAAAATTTTGAAAAATTCAACATAATGGTTTGAAACGTCTAACGTAAACCTTTTCAAATGAAACTTCGATTTAAAAATATTTTCGAACCCTCTGGACAAGTAAAATAGGATGTAATGGATAATTTACACAACAGGTAGGACACTTAAACATCTAGTACTTAGATAGAGATATTATTTATTTTCTGGAGCTTTCAAGCCAGCATTAGTGTTATTGTCCCTTTAATGATTTAAAGTAGTTGAGTCTCTAACTAAATATCATCCAAAGTCTTCGACATTAATAACAATTTAAATCAACATTGATGATGTGATCTTATCGGGAAAAGATGGACTTCTGATATCCAATATTTAAGACAAAATAAACATTTTACCACGAATCGTGTACCATAATGTGTTCCAGCGCCATTTGTAACAAGGGAGTCGAAGAACGGGGTTAGACGAATTCCTCAAGTCATGTTAAACGGTGACGCCATTTTCTTATCTGGAGATAAATTCTATCGGCGTAGACTAGAATAACCAGACGCTAGAGATTGCCATTCGATTAAGACTTCTGTCGTATTTCGCCGAACATAACTGATTTGAAATTACAGTAAAAACAGAAACGATTAAATGTAAATCAGTTTATATACATTCATATTGCATTATTATATGTGTTGCGAACCATTTGTGTCAATTCCTAGAACCCAAATATTGGCGAATTATTTTATGTACTTACTATTATAAACTTTCAGCTGGAGGATACCTGGAAAGAATTCATCGATAGTTTAAAAGATTTGGGATACAGATGGCCGTTTGATCTAGGTAGACCAGGTAGGATTATGGGTTGTTTTATTGTAGTAAAGGTTTGGGATACAAATGGCCGTTTGTGCCAGTTTCACAGGGTGGGCTTAATTGTTTTATTGTAGTAAACGAATTTAAGAATGAAAAAATGAAATGGGGTTTAAGAACCCACTTTTCTGCAACAAACAAGGCAATTAAGATGGGCATAAACCATACAGTGGGCTATGGGGGAAATTTGGCCTGTCCTGCACCACTTAAAATAGGAACCACGCTAACAAATATAATCGGGAAACTACATCGGTATTTTCTAGTTAGTGAGCCCGCCCCGTACTCACGGAGTCACCATGGTAACCAGGAAACATAACCCGTAAACCTATAAAGTCCATATTTAACGTCGTTCACCCAATTACCATCGAATCAGAGCGGTATGTAAAAAATCAGTTTATTTGTAAAAGGTGGGGAGGGGGTATATCGAATTTATACCTTTTTCCGGTCGCAGTTGATCGGACGTTGATGAACCTGGAACATAATGAGATCTACTTAAACATGCAAGATCTAAATCTGCCTATTGCAGGTGTATCTTTAATTCTTCTTCCCTTTCAGTTGATGATAAAATAATAGACCTGGAACATCTGTTTGTGTGGAGTGTAGTGTTTAGACGACACGAAATAGCAAAGTTAATCTGGGCAGAATTAGACGTATGTTATATTTTCACCCTATTAATACGAAAGTCACTATAATTCCAAGTAGTCGAAAGAAAATTGAATATAGTCTAGTCTGTATTGTAATTCCTTCTGCTTTTCGGGCAGAAAACATGGACAAGCTCTTTTTTGAAGGTTTCGACGTTTAGTAACAAAAAACAAATGTTGACATTTTTTCTGAGTAGGTCATCATAATTATGGTACGCCATTGTTTGAATGGTAGCTATTAGGCGATAATATTCCAGCTTAATTTTGATTTTTCAATTCATATATAATGTTATCGACATATCAACTGTGATTTGGCAATGCACTAATATCGACAGGGATTATGACAATGTTTCAGTTTTTTCCAGCACATCATGCAGATATTTTCCGGATGACGACCATTTTTTTTCGGGGGGGCGGGGGAGACGAGGTGCAGATTTTGATTAAGTGGTAGTGTTTGGTGTCCATATATATGTTTTCGGGTATTATCGAAATCTTAGAATATAATTTATTAATTAAGTTCTGACGAAAAGTATTATTTATACAGGAACCTGTTGCCGCAGCTTTAGCGGTAAATAAAATACAACAACTTATAATCAGCACCAAGAGGATTAAAGATACGGAAGTTTTAAGTAAATACGAACAGTACTCAAAGTAAGAAATTATACAAGTTACTGTAGTTACCTTCAGAGTTATGTATGTTATTATTCTTACTGTCGGACTTATACTAAACCCCATTTCATTTCATTTCATTTCATATTGAAATTACGTATAGTTGTGACGGTCATTAGCAAAGTGATTTATTGTCATTTTTCTTCAATATTCTTAGTAAGAAATTTAATCAATCTAGTTGCCATAAATATCAATAATTAAATTGGCTTCGTATCACAAACATGTTGACAGTTTGGTTGATCAAGGCTATCGTATTAAAATAGAAACGAAATGAAATGGAGTTTAACGTCGTACTGTTTTGCTCTGAACTGGGCTAATGAAGACGGGCATACGCCATGTCATTTCGTATTTTTTGGGAGCCACGGTGGCTAGATGGTTAAGACGCTGGCTCGCTAGCCTGGAGGTCGGGTGTTCGATCCCTGCATTGGCCGAGAAAGTTCATCTGGATTTTACGACGTGGTTTCCCCTTGTCAGTGGTGCAGAACGGAGGCCTGACAAGGACAGCTGTCTAGTCCTTCGGAAGAGACGAAAAACCGAGGTCCCGTGTATACATTGGAATGCACGTAAAAGATCCCCTGGCAGTTGGAATTCGATATAAGAGTAGGCGATAGTGCCCGGGCAAAATTTCCCCCATAGCACACTGTATGGCATATGCCCGTCTTCATTAGCCCAGTATACATGAAGGAGCAGAACAGTAGCACGTTAAACCCCATTTCATTTCATTTCGTATTTCGTAGCTGATCAACTTTATTTGTTGATTCCAGTGATTTTACAGATTTGGGTATTGAAGTTATTGATGCATGTTACGAGAATAAGATAGCTAAATATAACTTACGTCGGAAATTAAGAAATTGGACGGATCAATCTTGTTTAATCATGGCTTCAGAAACTGACAATAAAAGATTTATATCTCGAATAGCCTGTCAAGAATACATCCGATCTATTTGGTGGCGGAATGACGATCTTCGATACTCGAAATATTCTGTAAGTATCAAGTTTATCTTTTGTAACGTCTTTAAAATTGAATAAAAAAATTCAGAAACGGTATCTAATATTAAGTCGAGTGGACCACACTACACACAACTAAAACTGAAAACACCAACCTGTGTACACAATATCGTCGACTACTGGCTGGCGTTTCGAAATAGCGATAGTCTGACGTCATGTGTCACAACGTCAAAACAAAAAATCAACAATAATAAGGACGATAATCGGGACAAAATTTCGGCGTTTCGAAATAGCGATAGTCTGACGTCATGTGTCACAACGTCAAAACAAAAAATCAACAATAATAAGGACGATAATCGGGACAAAATTTCGGAAAACGCTAAGAACGTATAAATAAAATGAGAAAATAATCTGTGAGTACCGGGTGTATATTATATAGATATTTAGTAAATATCCCCATAAATATCGAATAAATAATTCTGAATATATTCTATAAGTAGCCAGTAAATAGTCTATAGTTAACAACTAAATATTCTATAAGTAACCAGTAAATAGTCTATAGTTAACAACTAAATATTCTATAAGTAACCAGTAAATAGTCTATAGTTAACAAATAAATAGTCTATAAGTATAGCCAGTAAATAGTCTATAGTTAACAACTTAATTTTCTATAAGTAGCCAGTAAATAGTCTATAGATAATCACTAGATATTCTATAAGTAACCAGCAAATAGTCTATAGAATAATGACTAAATAATCTATAAGTAACCAGTAAATAGTCTATAGAATAATGACTAAATAATCTATAAGTAGCCAGTAAATAGTCTATAGATAATCACTAGATATTCTATAAGTAACCAGCAAATAGTCTATAGAATAATTAGTAAATAGTTTATAGATAATTCGGCCCTTTTTAGGCATCTCTTAGCATTTAATTTCAGTTTTCTCGGTATATACTGTATTGGCTTTCACGATGTTGTTCCCAGGAAATGAGAGAGAGGGCTAAGCAACTGAGTACATCACCAGTGGTGAAATTCTCGTTTAATGCGGCAAGTATTATTTTTATAATAAAGTCAGTTAAACATTTTACTGCCCAAATCAATCTTTTAAAAACAACTTCCAGTAAAAAATTTCACTGTATCAAGTAACCTTTAGCAACAACCTCGGGCCACATATATTTTACTGTCACGTATTTGACAACAACGTCCAGTAAAACATTTTACTGTCCAAATTAATCTTTTAAGAACAACTTCCAGTTAAAAATTTCATAGTGTCAAGTAACATTTAGCAACAACTTCAGGCCACATATATTTACAGTCAAGTAAACTTCTTAACTCAACTCTCAAGCATTGTATTGTGTCAAGTAATCATTAACAACAACTTTCCGTCAAACACATTACTACTACAAGTAATATCTAACATCAACTTGGCGTCAAAGATGTTACTGCGCCAAGTAATATCGCTAACTATAACTTGGCGCCATATATATTTCTGCACCAAGTAATGTCGTTAACTTTAAATTGGCGCCATAGATATTAATAGCAAACAATGGTTTATTTTTCAGTTATCGTATGTGATATTTCTTATTCTATACAGCTATCACATGCTAACCAACTTCAATAGTCAGTTCACAATTATTGAAGGAGTTCTATGTTTCTGGGTTTTTACGTTGATTTGTGAAGAAGCTCGACAGGTCTGTTAATGTAATAAAACAACTTGGTTGATCATTATTAAGAAGTTAGTTTTATTGGATAATTTGAAATTATTATTTGAAGTGCTCTCAATTTTAGTTTAGTTGGCTTGTTGTACCATATTTATTTTTTAATTTAAGAAATTAGAGTAAAGGGGGGGAGGGTATTTCAAAACGTTATTAGGAGGGTCTTATTGTAAAACAGTATTAGACTGGCAGAACACAATTTTTATGGGAAACAATCACTGGTTTTATTCTAAAAGCACGACGTTTCGATAAGAGGATATTTGTCGAACGTCGTTCTTTTAGCATAAAACCAGTGATTGTTTCCAATACAAACTGTGTTCTGTTCATGTGATTCCCAATCGCTAAATTTCAATTAATGATTATTATTAGATTGGCTATATCTTAAAACGTTATTAGAGAGATCATATTTTAAAACATAATTGGTGTGTGTGTGTGTGTGGGGGGGGGGGGGCTATTTTAAAAAAGTAATTGAAGGGGTTATATTATAAAACGTTATTAGACTGGCAAAATTTAAAATGTTAATAGAGGGGTAATAATATTAAACTTCATTAGAGGAGTTATATTTGAAAACGTTACTAAACTGGGGATATTTTGAAAAGTATTTGGAGGTGGGGGTAAACTCTGAAACCTTATAAGAGGGGCTATATTATAAAATGTTATTAGGCTGGAGATATTTGGAGGGGTAATATTATAAAACGTTATTAGAGAGGTTATATTTGAAAACGTTATTAGAAAACTGGTAGTTAGAAGTGGTATGGGATTCTTAAATGTTATTAGAGGGGACATTTTATTTTTAAAGTAATTTGAGGGCTGAATTTTTGTGAAATAATTAGAGGGAGATATTTTAGAATGTTATTAGAGGGGACATAACATTTTTAAAGTAATTGGAGGGCTGATGTTTTGTGAAATAACTAGAGAGTGATATTTTAGAACGATTTGGAGGCTGATATTACGGGGTAATATTTTATCTGAAAAGTTGACATAGTTAAACAATTTTTGTTATAATAAGTATGTACGAGTATACGTATACTATTTTGAATTTGTTTCTATTACAGTTTGTAACCAGTGACTCAGTATCTCTGAAGTCTAAGCTAAAGGTGTATATAACTGATTCGTTGAATGTTTTAGACTTAGTGACCATTGTGTTATTTATACTGGGTATTATATTACGGTTTATACCGAACAGTGACTGTTTCGAAGCATCTAGAGTCATTTTCTGTCTCAATCTCGTATCGTTTTATATCAGGTTACTGCGAACATTTGTACCGTACAAACAGATCGGACCTAAACTTGTGATGATTAATAAAATGGTAAGTATTTAGATGTACTGTACTTAATCTGATTAAAATACGTATTGTTTAATGGTCGAGAGCGAGACATTAAGTAATATATTGTAACAACAAGAGGGCCATGAGGCCCGAGTGTTTTTACAACATATTACGCAATGTCTTAAGCTCGAGACCATTAACAAACATAAAATACAGACACATGCACGTGCTTTGCAATGACATACGTCACTCGGGTTCAATATTTTAACTAGTTAAACTTGGCATTTTTATTGTCTGTACGATTATTTGAAATAATGGTACGCCAACATCAAAGGAATACGTCACATCTGTTTTTTTAAAGATTTATATTTCGGTTCGTTTTGTTTGCTTTGGATGACGTACACCACATGAAGATCTGACCAGTTATAGTTGGAAATCGTGTCAGGGGTAATACGAGCTGCTTTTGACTCTATGACGTCAGACATTGATTGATCAATCTGCGTTGACGTTTTTAATAGGATACCAACAGTTCTGTACACCGCACGCCAAGAACTCGCACCAACAGTCCGCTTCACTGGCTAATCCCTCACATCAACCAGAATGCGGGTTATATAACAACTCTTTTAGATTCTAGTGTAGTAAAAAGGAAACATGATCTGTGTTTTAATCAAATTGCACTGTACTGTGCATGATTTAGATTACTCTAGATCTGCGTGTACCATTTTGAATATTCTGACGTAAAATTTTAGCTGATCCCATAAAAGCATTATTCAAGATAACACACACATCATGCAGTTGTTTTCTTAAAGTGTAGCCGTATCAAAGTTGAAACAAAAGCTGGATCATTTTGTTTTTTTACTTCACTGAAATGCTTCTAGGCGTTCGGATGGGACCACAAATAAAGAGTTCAGCTCTTGTACTGGTTGGCATGCACCTACAAGAACATTTGACAGTAGGAAACGCCGCTGTGTGGCAAAATGCCACTAATAGCAGACAGCATGGCCATGGCGGTGTATACCCGTTTTCAGTTAAACCCCATTTTATTGAAATTCATTTTTCTAGATCGAAGAAGTAAAATAAACCAATTCATTCTCCATGCACATTCATATTTTTATTTACAAATGTTCGATTTAATAGGACCTTGAAATAACTATAATATTAATATTTGAAATTTGTATATTTCGTCAATATATTTAACGGGGGGGGGGGGGGGCACCGTGGGTCAGTGAGTAGGTCTTTGTCTCGAAAACCAACGGTCCCCGTGTTGCGCCCCACCCCCGACCCCCGGTGTGGGCTGAGAGAGTTTATCGTTATTTCCAGCGTGGTTCTCCCTAGTCAGTAGTGCGGGGCACAGGCAAACATATAGTCGTTTGGATGGGACGACAAACTGAGGTCGCGTGAACGCATTACCATACACGTAGAACACCCTTCGAAATAAGAGTGGGTCGTAGTGCCGCTGTTCGGGCAAAATTTTCCTCATAGCACACTACAAGGGGTATGTCTGTCTTCATTAGCTCAGTCTGAGCAGATCAGTAAGACGTTGCACATCATTTCAATTCATGTCTTTTCATTTATGTTTATCAGATTTGGCAGGATTTAACACCTTTTATGATCATCCTACTGGTCTTTCTGGTAGCTTACTCTGTAGCGTCGGAAGCATTGTTATACCCAAATACAGAAATATCTTGGAAACTGGTTTACTACCTACCGAGAAAAGCCTACTGGCAGATATACGGTGAACTATTTTTGGATAATATTGAAGGTAAGAAGTGGTCGGACAAAAACAAACCATAATCGACACATGATTCAATTTACGTGGTTCATCCCGGTAATATTAGGTCTGTCGTACAGATGGCATGGTCGATAAGACGAAATACGCTTGAGATCTATGATTAAATCACTATGTCAAGGCCCTATATGTAGATTTTATCAACATTTCCTCCTTGACAACAATGCAACTTTTACTTTAGATGTTTGAAAATTACTATTCTCTTTTAGAGAGGTGCAGGTCCCAATAAACCAATTCCAGTTCTATCTATAGCCGATCCTGATTGTACTATTGATATCGTTTGGAGAGTTGCAGGTCCCAAATAACCAATACCAATTCTATCTATAGCCGATCCTGATTGTAGTATTGATATCTTTTGGAGAGTTGCAGGTCCCAAAAAAACAATTCCAGTTCTATATATAGCCGATCCTGATCGTAGTTTTGGTACCTTTTGGAGAGTTGCAGGTCCCAATAAACCAATACCAATTCTATCTATAGCCGATCCTGATTGTAGTATTGGTATCTTTTAGAGAGTCGTGGCTCCCAATAAACCAGTACCAATTATATCTATAGCCGATCCTGAGTGTAGTATTGGTACCTTTTGTAGAGTTGCAGGTCCCAATAAACCAATACCAGTACTATCTATAGCCGATCCTGATTGTAGTATTGGTATCTTTTAGAGAGTCGTGGCTCCCAATAAACCAGTACCAATTATATCTATAGCCGATCCTGAGTGTAGTATTGGTACCTTTTGTAGAGTTGCAGGTCCCAATAAACCAATACCAGTACTATCTATAGCCGATCCTGATTGTAGTATTGGTATCTTTTAGAGAGTCGTGGCGCCCAATAAACCAATTCCAGTTCTATCTATAGCCGATCCTGATCGTAGTATTGGTATCTTTTGGAGAGTTGCAGGTCCCAATAAACCAATACCAATTCTATCTATAGCCGATCCTGATCGTAGTATTGGTATCTTTTGGAGAGTCGTGGCTCCCAATAAACCAATACCAATTCTATCTATAGCCGATCCTGATCGTAGTATTGGTATCTTTTGGAGAGTCGTGGTTTCCGATAAATAAATATCATATCTATTTGTAGGCGATCCTGATTGTATACAGGATGCTAATTTAAATAGTGATTATAGCAAACAAAGATGTCCGACTGAAGTAGGAAAATATGCAGGCCCTGTTTTTCTTGGAATTTATGTTCTTTTTACAAATGTGTTGTTGTTGAACTTATTGATCGCCATGTTCAGGTAAACACGTGTTTTGTTTACAATGTTAATATATACCAGTATAAGAATAAGTCACACATTAGATGTTCTAGTGTATACATACCATGTACAGCATCAATAACTACTTGTCAGTAACACATTGTTTAGGATCGGTATGCTTACTCTTTTTAGACCATCTGATACCAGTTCTGATTTTTGGACTGCACATAGCTAACAATGTTTTGTTTTAATTAAGTTAGCCCTGTAACAAGGATCCGGAGTGATATGATATTATGTTTGTTTTAATATCTCTTATAATATAATTAATATTATTGTTGAATTTATAGTATTAAATCAAGATTTCCATACTTATCAAAGGGTGAAATAACTAATTTGTAATACTCGTATATCTTAGAAGTTAATATGGTTTTCATGCTTATCTGAGAAAATAATGAGAAGTTAATATTGGCTTTATTGTAGTAAATCATGATTTTCATAATTATCTGCGAAGTTAATATTGTTATGTATTTAATAGTGATATGTATTATTTTTAACAGTAATACATTTGCAAGAATCCAAGAACAATCGAATCTGTACTGGTGTTCTAATTATTTTCACCTTGTTCGTGAATATGATGGTCGTCCCGTTCTTCCTCCACCGTTGATCATCATTGAACATATCTACAGGATATTAAAATCTATAAAATGTCGATGTTCGCGATGTAAACAAGTTCAATCGCATTCAGATGCTAACGTCACCGATACAAAATTTAGTAAGTTTTATTTTTTTATTTTATGTCGATAGATTTTTTTTATTCATGAAAACAATGTTTTAGATGGACACCATAGGACTTGTGTTACAAACGTTTGGCACACAAATATGGTTTCGATATTCAATTTTTTGTCTCGTTGTTTGTATATGACACACGTCGAGTTCCCATTGACAGTGTGAACTTAGGGGATCTCTCGAGTTAGCTTGTTCGATCCCTGCATTGGCCGAGAAAGTTCATCTGGATTTTCCGACGTGGTTTCCCCCTGTCAGTGGTGCAGAACGGACGGCCGGACAAGGACAGCTGTCTAGTCATTCGGATGAGACGAAAAACCGAGGTCCCGTGTATACATTGGAATGCACGTAAAAGATCCCTTGGCAGTTGGAATTCGATATAAGAGTAGGCGATAGTACCGCTGCCCGGGCAAAATTTCCCTCATAGCACACTGTATGGCGTATGCCCGTCTTCATTAACCCAGTATAGGAGCAGAACAGTAGGACGTTAAACCCCATTTCATTTCATTTCATTTCTCGAGTTAGCTAAACAGACGGAAATACTGATTTCACTTTAAAAAATGTCCCCCACGATCCCGTTGTTAAAATCTCATTCTATTCAAATTAAATTTATTTTCAGAAATGACTCTGGGCTATAAAATAGATAATTACTGTGGTCGTTTTGAAAGGATGGCAGCGAAATTGTGTTTACAAAAGAGAAGAGAAGTATCTGTCGATAGTTCCAAATATGTACGACAGTGGTATGTTGGCCAATCTTATATTTAACGACAGTCATAGTGGTTAAATCTATTTGTTACGGTCGCCGAGATGTAAATAAGGTTAGGGAACAGTCCGCACGTGCTAACCATTCGGCCATCCAACCCCGCAACTTTATGGTGCACTGCGTCATGTGAATCAGCTGTAGTCATAAAGAAGTGTAGAGTTCAGTACTTGCTTCATCTTGTGAATTAAAGTTACAATTTTATATTTTTAAGTTATATTTTTAAAATGTATTAAAATAAAGCCTTAAAATAGATGGTATCTATAAACAGTCCTACCTTGTTAAAGAATAATCCTATTAATCCTATAATTCACTATTGCCAGTTGAGAAATTGGCAAAAATATCATTTTCAACTTCAAATTCAAACGTTTGAAGATAGCTATTCCATGGTTGGCAATAGAAAAACAAGGGAGGTAATTTGGAGGTAATTGAGTTATTTCCGGTGTGAAGATGTGGACACAGATCACTAAAGATTGCCCCATTGACTCCAATGTTAATTCTCGTATCTTAGACCGGCTCTAACTTTTTCCCAAATTTTCGTTGGGTAGAACGCTTTCTACCACAGATGGAGCAACATGTGGCAACCACTTGCCCAAAAGCACGTATGAGGTTCTTCATGAAAAACTTGAGATACACAAGCTGGAAGTAGAGACAAGTAAACATGCAATTTCAGGCCCTACATTTCAACGTCACCAACCTCTCAACTCTTGTATCCTTCCGCATCAAAATTATGAATATTCACCAAAACCTGGCAGAAAATGTATTTTCAAACCCTTTTCCTCGATTCTACACCAAAAAGTCAACAAAAATCGCCATGCAAAAGGGGGAAAAAGGAAAAGGGAGAGGAAGACTAAAAATAGCTTTGGCCCTTGTTTCGTGGGTGACGGCGTAGGAATATTTGGTGATCTGTGTCCATGTTTTAAGTGTGAGAAAGATAACCTATGATCGTATAATAGTGAGTTGACAACCTATTGGGAAAAAGACATAGAAATAATTATGTTTTGACTTTCTTAGAAAATATGAAATTGTAACTTTAAAGGTACAATATAGGGAATATTAAAACACACATGTGCTCCAAAAAACGTCATAATAATAACAGTATTGTATATTATATTTAAATTAAATAAGAATATTTAATTACAAATATTTATTAGGTTAGAATCAAATCAGTCAGAGTTAAAGGAAGCTTTGAACAGAGAGAAGACGATAAGTGAAAGTCCTGACCAGGAAAGATCAAGACGAGATATCAATGAGGATAATCTGACAGCCTTGAGACAAGAGGTAGATATGATGAAGGTTTTTATATGATTAAGTGCTATTGAAAATGCACTTACAAGAACTCTTTACAGATTAAAAAAACATACTTATTACTTGCACTTGTTCGGATAAAAACATTATAACTTGGTGGGGGGGGGGGTATCAGTAGGTAGCAACCTTTCAATGTGGAAATAATTCACGTCTAATTTGAAACAAAAAAAAATATTTTAAAACTGTAGCCACTATCGCTTTCAGATTGTCGTCAAAGGAGGTTACTCCTAAACAGAAGATTGCGTACCGCTAAATATCGCAGTCACGAAGTATTTGGCTAAGGGGCATAACTCTGAAACGAAAGGAAACCAGATGATCAATAGAGTTCGTCCCCTAATGATGTCAATGTTTCAAACCCTATTTGAAAAAAAAAATCTGTTTAAAACTATAGCCCCTATCTCGCCCACAAGTTTTCGGAGAATGGAGCATAATTTCAAAACGGAAGGTCACATGCGTACCGAAATAAAACTCAGAAGAGTTATTTTCATCCTAAGCAAATATATTAAAGGGGCATTTTGAAAATATTGGCAGTTCTCAAAATATTGGTAATGTAAAAGAAGTATGCTGAAAATTTCAGTCAAATGGGTCCACTCTGAACCGAAATATTTTCGATTGAATTTTAGGCCTAGCCTCGGTCATCATTACTAAAGTCGGTACGATAAAAAAAAAATAGTCCCGATTAATCATTATCAATGAGCGTTGAGCAGCAGATCGGATTCAAATCCAGTGAAAATGCATAAGATGGCATCGAGAGTTGATTAAAGTCTTCTCACGTTAATAAATGTCTAATTAATAGTTTATATAACATTTCAGGCCTAAAGAAAGACCTGCAGTAGACAAATTTAGCTCTTGCATAATGTATCTTTAAGTTCCAACATACTTCACGTATCTCCATAACGGAAGGTCAGATGCGCACCAAAATAAAACATGTTGCGTAAAAGTCAAGGGGCATAACTGCACAAGGGAGGTCCGATGTACAGGGAAGGGGTCATACACCTGTAAATCTGGCCGAAGGTGAAGATAACAAAGTAACAAGGCTGTCACGATCATTTCTATTAGATAAAATCGACTGAAAGGAATTATACATTATTTTCTTTTGACGTTTTAAATTTTGCAATTTACAGATTGATGCCAACCAGAAGAAAATAGAAGTCCAGGTTAGTTAAATGTCTAGTGGTTGGGGTGACTTACTGGTATAGAGTGCCGCACTTCGACCTCTAGCTGGCCGGTCAGCTCTGACTTACGGTTGTGGTATGTGGCTTGGAGATAGGGGCGCCTTCTCAACAACGTGGGTTTACTCCGGGTACTCCTGTTTCCAGCCACAGGAAAGACCCCTGCGCATGCGCTAAGATAATTAAAATGAAAAATAAGACTTTTTTGCGGTATCACCTTCGGTGGAAGCAGAAGTTAAACACTGAGAACAACAACAACTCTAAACATCAATCCTGTCCATAATAACATATTTCATGTATTGGACGCTAAATCTTTAATAAACAACTACAACAATGTCTAAACATCAAGGAGAATACAATCTTTTATTTAATTAAAAATCTATTTGAAGTAAAATAACCGAGGGTGTATGACCAAGTGTCATGTTTATCCAATTTATATTAACTTGTAATTTTACTCAAAATCTATTCATTTATGCTATTGAAAGTGCTTTGTTATTCCTATTGATGCCAAATGATTTATATAACATAAGACCTGAAAACGAAACTTTATCCAGATTAATAACAATAGTTTTGTTGTTTTTATTTTAGATGAAAGAGATCTTAAATTATATATCCAGTGTATCAGACAAAAACATCAACTAGAGTACCAATCTGTTTCACAGAGGATTACGAAAGTCTTCTAATATCTCTGTAAAGCTTTCATTTGTATGCCGAAGATACTCAATGATATATTTCATTTACACCTAAATTGTCCATCTTCTTTCAATTTGTCAAAATTGCAACTTGAGAACTGTATTAGTGAAATTAGAAAATGGATGTCAAAATACTTTCTAAAATTGAATGATGATTAAAACTGAATATTAGTTATTAGGCTCAAGGCATCAATTAAGTAAATTTGCACATGATAACCACCCTGTTGTAATTGACGTGGCAAGGAGTAGGGTCGCCTGTCCAACCTCGTGGGTTTTCTCCGGGTCCTCCGGTTTCCTCCCACTGCTAAAGACCCCTACGCGCAAGCGAATTATTGAAATAAAATTAAACCATGTGTTAGTCCCGAAATGACCTAGTTTGTGTCGAGTGGACGTTAAACCCCATCTCTCTCTCTCTCTCTCTCTCTCTCTCTCTCTCTATCTCTCTCTCTGTGTTGTAATTGGTAATTGTGATATATTTTCATCTTATTCTGCTCGTAATATTGGTGCAATCTTTGATAGTTTTATGCTTATGGGAGCTCAAGTAAATAATATTTGTAAATTGTGCTATTTTAATTATTTTATATAGGTAAAATACGTAAATTTGTAATTGTAGAGGCCATTCTTAAAAGTCACTTGTTAATTATCTGGTCACTTCTCGGTTAGATAACTTTAATTGGGTTACCTTTAAAGCTTATAGATAAATTACAAAAAGTACAGAATACTGCGGCTAGAGGTGTTACTTTAACTAAGAAATGTGACCACATAACTCCGGTTTTATATACTTTACACAGGTTACCTCTTAAATATCGTATTGATTTTAAGATTTTATTACATACTTTTGAATGTTTAAATAATTTAGCTCCTGTACGGACTATTTCTGTTGTCTCGTGTTCTCTTATCTAATGACATTCAATTACTTTATTGAATTGTCAGGTGTCCTCTTACAGTCCCATATAACAACTTTTGGTCTTCGAAGGAATTATTAGTGAGCAGAAATTCGGTCGTGTATCTGTTATCACTCGTCACATCAGTAATTATATAAGGGGTGACTCGTGTTTCCCTTTGTATAGATATGTATAGATACATATACAATAATTAAGGATACGGTATAGGAGATTAGATAAAGAGCTGATAGTTTTCACTATAATAGTTACAAACTAGATCATGTAAAGGGAACATGCTGACAATTTCAGGTAAATTGTTCCACTCTGAACCGAGATATTATCGATGGAATTTTAGGTCTAGCCTCAATCATAATTACTAAAGTAACGGAACCGTAAATAAAACATAGTCTCGATTATCCAGTTTTGCATTTAATCATCAATGAGCGTTGAGCATCAGATAGGATTCAAATCCAATAAAAATCGAACACATAAGGAGGCATCGAGAATTGATTAAGGTCTTCTCGTGTTAATAAATGTCTAATTAATTATATAACATGTCAGGCCAAAAGAAAGACTGCAATAGGCAGATTTAGCTCTTGTATAATGTACGTTTAAGCATAAAAACACAAATCATATTTGAGGGAGATTAAACAGTTAAATCATTCAATATGTTCTAATTTCATAAATTAGTAAATTAGTAATTTTTCGAACTCATTTGCATAAAATACAGGACACATAATTATGCCTTGATATCAAAACTAATTAAAAAATTGCTTCGGCAAGCATCTTATATTCCAGTCGTACATAATGATTTCAACAGTGTCACTTCTTTGAAATGGTTTAGACATGATGAATTGGTAAGTTTTGGACATTTCCAGGTTTAGTATATCATGAATTGTGCAGTAGATTCTTCTTCCTTGGAGTTTTACGTACGCTTCCACCAAGGGTGATATCGCAGACGAGCTGTAGATTCATTGTCACCCCCTTGAATTACTTTAGGATACAATTTAGGTTTTGGTTTGAAAATTAGGTTACAACACGACAATTATGTTACAACACGACAATTGGGTTACAACACAATTATGTTGCAATACGACAATTAGGTTACAACACGACAATTAGGTTACAAAACCCCAAAAAGGATCAGAAAACATGCAAATCTATTTGTGAGAATGCTATAAAAAACGTAACTTTAAAGAACTATAACAATGATTCCAAACCCCAGGAGATGAGAAAATAAGGCTAATTTATTTGTGAAAAAGCTAAAGAACAAACGTGGTTTTCAAGGACTAATAATGATAATAATAATAATATTAACAATAAAAATTACAATAGCTAATCCACTTACGGTTAATCAGGCATAAAACTTCAAGCAAGTAATTCTACACTATTATAGTAAACAATTTGGATCCCGTTGCTAGACAAGATAAACAAACCGTGAAAAGTTGGTTGAATTTATTTTAAAGGGATATCGACACTCTTGATCGTCCTTAGTTTGTTAAATTTATTTCGAAAGGGTATTGACACCCTTGATCGTCGTTCTGTGTAAAATACGGAGCCCAATTTGTGATACTGGATACTGGGTTTCCGGAGTGGCCTCGTGTCCCACGGCTAGATTGTCACAAATAATCAGGTCACCTTCCTCCCACTGAAAATAAATGCAGAACAAAATCCATGAATAATTAGCACTTAGAACAAGTTGAACAGAACAAAATCCATGAATAATTGGCACTTAGAACAAGTTGAACAGAACAAAAAAAAACATGTGTTCAGATTAAATTATTTCAGCTTGGTATAAGGGAGTCGCCGTAGCTCAATGTGTAATATGGTGGCTCGCTATCCAGGAGGTCCCGGCTCATTTCCCCTTGGAAGGACAGAAGGTCTGGTATGAAGTGTCTAGTTGTTCGGATGGGACCAAAGTCCGCAATCATTTGTACACAAATTGGAATTCAATATAAGAGTAGGCTGTAGTATAGCTGTCGGACACAATTTCTCTCATAGCGACAGAGAGAGAAAAATGGGGTTTAACGTCCACTCGACACAAACTAGGTCATTTCGGGACTAACATATGGTTTAATTTTATTTCAATAATAATCGATACTCCATTTTTATTTCCAATTTGGTCTGTAAAACCTGTAACGGAGAGAGAGAAACATGACGGGAAATAATTTAAAAATTCAGCTAATCCCACTCCCAGCGGATATCTCTCAACAAAAGAAAAAAAAAGGGTTTTTTTTTTTATCAAAACAAAGATTTGTACCGTTCGGTCGAAGTACTAAAACAATACATTTCAGCACAAAAACGAGAGAGAATGAGAGAGAGGGAGAGAGAGAGAGAGAGAGAGAGAGAAATGAGGTTTAACGTCCACTTGACACAAACTAGGTCATTTTGGGACTAACACATGGTTCGATTTTATTTCAATAAATCGCTTGCGCGTAGGGGTCTTTAGCAATGGGAGGAAACCGGAGGATCCGGTTAAAACCCACGAGGTTGGACAGGCAACCCTACTCCTTGTCACATACAACCGGGGAATCAAAACCACGCCAGTTGACTCAATGACATACCTTATGATACCGCGCGCACGTGCTAACCATTCGGCCATCCACCGCTCCCCCCACTCCAATTTGGGACGACGATCATGCAGAAACTAATGTATTCCTTCTAACAACCGTACCTTTCGTTAGACTGAGACTCGCCGTCTAAAACCTACCTTCTACAACAATCTACACGATCATGTCTCTCCTTGAATATATCTCGTCGTGTTTTACTAATGTATTTGTGAGCGTTATTCTTAAAGGACCTAAGTCCGTAACTCAAAATCCTCCAAAATCTTCGACATCGAAAACACGAATTATTGGTCAATTTAAATCAACATTGATGATGTAAACTTACCGGGAAAAGATGAGCTTCTGATATCCGATATTTAAGATAAAATAATTTTTTTAACATTGGTACATGAATCGTGTACCATAATGCGCTTCAGCCCCAGTTGTATTGAGAGACTCGAGGGACGAGGCTAGACACATTGCACCAAATCAAATGGAGTTATATAGACTAGAATAACTAGACGCTAGAAATTTGCACTCGATTGAGATTGCCGACTTATTTCGCCGAACATAACTGATTTGAAATTGGAGTAAAAACGGAAACCATTAAATGTAAATCAGTTTATATACATTCATATTACAGTATTATATGCGTTGCGACCCACTTTTGTGAATTTCTAGGTCCCAAATGTTAGCGATTTAGCTCCTTTAATTGCATTTTGACAGTGAAATGTAGCGTATCTTTTAATCCGTACTTGGTAGGTGTAAATATATACGTTTATTGTTATTTAAATGTTCCGTATACTATAAACTATCTCGTTAGAAATATGTCCATTGTAGAAGATTGTTTACTTGTCACCGGGACATGGGATCACGTGAGATTGGATCACGTGCACTTTAATAAATTGTGGTTTATATAAGATAAATGATGACGGATTCAATACAAAGATGACACGCGCAAGGTATAAACTAATTTATAATGTAGTTTGGAGCCGCGGTGGTTCAGTGGGTAAGACGTTGCCTAGCTAACCTGACGGTTCCGTGTTCGACCACAATCTTGGCGGAAAAGGTGCATCGGGGTTTTCCAGCGTGATTACCGCTTGTCTGTTTGACAAGTGATAGCTTATAAACGTTGGGTTATGTAAATCGACTCGTGTAATACTATAAGGGTTGTTTTTGTTCTATTATATGTGCTCAGTTTAATATATTAAATTGGTTAAACAAATGGGTGACAAAGCGGAATAGGCTAAGTAATTATTTTGCAATCTCATCATGATGAGACCGTAGAGAAGACATAATCCGTGAGTTCCTAAAGTTGAGAGGCTGGGGTAGAGACAAAATGTGATGTTTAATCCGTTAGGTCAGAGTTATAAAAAATGTTAAACTCAGACCGTGGATATTTTAATAACTCCTAAAGTATCTCTAATAGATGTTGTAGTTTTCCTGTATTTAGTTTGCTGCATTTGTTATATAAACTTAGTAAAAACATAAACGGCGTTCGAGAGTCAGTTAATTGTTAACTGAAATGATTGATCTTACAACGTAAAGTCAGAGAAAGTGCCACATCCATAGTGTCACACCAGTACGCCTGTGAGCAAGCCGTATGGTCTGGCAAAGAAAAATGTCTGGTCGTTCGGATGGGACGAAAATCCGAGATGCCTTGTACTCTAGATTCGGATATCGTCCCGCTGTTCTGGTAAGAAGAAAATCCCAATAGCGTGTATTATGCCCACCTGCATTAAGACAGGGGATAAATCACACAAAATCTAAATTGGTTTAAAATTGGTTGATATATTATCAGTTACATTTATATAAAAGTTAATATAGTCACTCATACTTGACAATTCTATAAAATATTTAAAACGTTATCCAAGTCAGATAAGGTCTTAAGTTATAATTACCCCAATGATTCAAATATGTAAATAAACTGGTTTGTCTTCTACCATAGTATATGTCTAACAGTATATAGGTCATAATTCATGGGTACATGGAATATGATCAATGTTTAAATGAGAGAGAGAGAGAGAGAGAGAGAGAGAGTGAGAGAGAGAGGGGGTAACGTCCACTCGACATAAACTAGGCCATTTCGGGACGAACACATGGTTCACTTTTATTTCAATAATTCGCTTGCAGTGTGGGTGGGGAAACCGTAGGACCCACAGAAAACCACAAGGTTGGACAGGCGACCCTATGCCTTGGCAAGTACATCCAATGGACTCAATGACAGCCTTATGATAATGCTAGCACGCGCTAACCATTCGCTCCCCCCCTCCCGCCTCCACTAAGACTAGAGAAGCCTTGTCAAAACGTCACATGGAGGCCTATAAGTCAGAACGACTCTAAGCAGTAAATATATTCCACGGAATTGTGACCTAAATACCACTGAATCATATTTATTCTATATCTTGACACAATCAGCTGACATGAAGACCCTGGATGTCTGACGTCTCGACTTTATACACACTTCAATCAATATATACCAACCTCGTGAGTTTTCTCCGGGTTCTCCGGTTACCTCCCACTGCTAAAGAACCCTACGCGCAAGCCAATTATTAAAATAAAATGGAACCATGTGTTAGTCCCAAAGTGCCCTGATTTGTGTCGAGTGGGCGTTAACTCTACCGGTTTCCTCCCAAGATCCCTACGGGCAAGCGAATTAGTGAAATAAAATAAAATCATATATTTAAGTCCCGAAATGACCTGGTTTGTGTCGAGTGAACGTTAAATCCCCCTCCCCCCCCTCTCTCTCTCAATCAATATATGACTACCTGACAGGTAAGTTGTGAACATCTCAGTGTGACTAGGTAGAAACCAAGGAGGTTATTAACACCAACGATATAAATGATACAATGTCTATGAAGATGACAGAAGATAATAGTTTGCACTACCATATATATATATTGTTGCTAACTGACATTTTAGTTCTGGGTGTGTTAGAATAGAATCTGAATGGAGATGGCACTATTTATTGTATATTATGTCAAATATTGTTATTACTAGATACATATATATAAAGATACTAGACAATAATTAAGTTGGTATTATGCTTTGTTCGGATCCCCAGGATTTTTTAGACCAGGTATTTTATTTTATATATAAGGCCAAACCCATTCAACCGAACAAATCGACCAGACCGACGAAAACGACCTAAATATATATATATATGTACATACTATGTCTAAATGTTTGTCCGTGTCCAAATGTCCGTCCACATTCATGTCTGTTTTGTTACAAATTCGTCTGTTTTGTAAACGTCCACTGGCACCTTTTTATTCTTTGCACCTGTTATCTCAGGTCTCTTGCTGTTATCTATTGTCTTCTGTACATATATATAAAAACCTAATTATCCTCTTTTTCACTAATCGCATTTTAAATTATTGCACCTTGTATACATACCATATTATTGTCTGCGATATCACCTCGGTGGAAGCGGACGTAAAATACAACTAACTAACAACAACAACAACATTTTATCATCCCAAAACAGAGACAATTACTACTGCTTAATAAAGATACATTATTGAAGATTAGATAAAGAGCTGGCAGTTCTCACTTTAATAGGGAAAACTAAATAAGGTAAAGGGAACATGCTGAAAAGTTCAAGTAAATTGATGCACTCGAGATATAAGCGATTGGATTTTAAGTCTAGCCTCGATCATCATTACTCTAAAGTCGGTACGATAAAACAAAAGATAGTCTCGATTATCCACCTTTGCATTTAATCATCAATGAGCGTTGAGCAATCAGACATGATTCAAATCCAGTGACGATCGAACACATAAGATGGCATTGAGAGATGATTATGATCTTCTCATGTTATTAAATGTCTTATTAATTATATAACATTTCAGGCCAAACGAAAGACCTACAATAGGCAGATTTAGCTCTTGTATAATGTATTTTTAAGCTTAAAAACACAGATCATATTTGAGGGAGATTAAACAGTTAAATCATTCAATATGATCTAATTTCATCAATTAGTAAATCATAAATAAAATACATGTCACAATTCAATTTATTTCATTTCTATTTTTCGTACTCAATTGAATAAAATACAGGACAAACAATTATGCCTTGACATCAAAACTAATTAAAAATTGCTTCGGCAAGCATCTTATATTCAAATCGTAATGCAAAAAAACAATATAATTCATTAATGGTTTGAACAGTTTCACTTCTTTGAAATGTTTTAGACATGATCAGGTTTTGAATTGAAATGCAATGGGGTTTAACGTCCTACTGGGCTAATGAAGACGGGCATACGCCATACAGTGTGCTATGAGGGAAAGTTTGCCTGGACAGTGGCACTATGGCCTACTCTTATATCGAATTCCAACTGTTTAGGGATCTTTTACGTGCACGTCAATGTATACACGGGACCTCTGTTTTTCGTATCATCCGAATGACTAGACAGCTGTGCTTGTCAGACCCTCCGTCCTGCATCACTGACAAGTGGGAACCATGCCGGAAAATCTGGGTGAACTTTACCGGCCATTGCAGGGATCGAACACCCGACCTCCAGGCTAGCGAGCCAACGTCTTACCCACTTAGCCACCGTGACCCCCGATCAGGTTTTGAACATTTCTAGGTTTAGTATATTATGGATTGTGCAACGGATTCATTGTCACATCTTAGGAAAGATTTTAGGTTTGGTATGAAAACATAAAATGAACTAAAACTTGATTAAAATGAAAGGCGTTTAAAACAAAGTAACAGAATATAATAGCATGCTCGACCTCATTTTGGGGTATGTTGGTTCGCTCCCGGTGTTGGCCGACAAAGTTCATCGTGATTTTCCGGCGTGGTTTCGCCTTGTCAGGGGTGCAGGGCGGAAGGCCTGACAGGTACAGCTGTTTAGTAGTTCTGATGGGACAGGAAACCGAGGTCCCGTGTGCGCATTGGTGTGCGGGTAAAATATCCCTTGGAAGTTGGAATTTATTATCAAAGTAGCCCATAGCGCCGCTGTGTGGGCAACATTTTTCTCATTAGCCCAGTCGGACGTAAAACCCCATTTCATTTAATTTCAAATTTCACTGGTTAATTGAAGCAATATTTCTATTCCATGTTTCCTAAATATGGACAGGGGAAACATGCAGAGCTTATCCAAACCCAGCTTCCCTTAATTAAAATAAAAGTAGGTATATCAATTTTAATTAGGGAATATGTTTTTGATGAACCTGTTTGTTTCCCAATCCTTAGTGAGTTCGGCATGTTTATTGTGAAACAAACAGGCGTTAAGCAAAAACATATTCCCTAATTACAATTAAGTTACAACACAACAATTACAACACAATTAGGTTACAACAATTACATTACAACACGACAATTATGTTATTAGGTTACCAGACAACAATTATGTTACAACACAATAATTACGTTAGAATACGACAATGACGTTACAGTACGACAATTACGTTACAACACGACAATTATGTTATTTGGTTACAAGACAACAATTATGTTATTTGGTTACAAGACAACAATTATGTTACAACACAATAATTACGTTAGAATACGACAATGACGTTACAGTACGACAATTACGTTACAACACAACATTTATGTTACAACACAACATTTATGTTACAACACGACAATTAGGTTATAAAACTCAAAAAGGATCAGAAAACATGCAAATCTATTTGTGCGAATGCTATAAAAAAAACCGCGACTTTCAAGCACTAAAAATAACAATGATTACAAACCAAGAGATCATAAAACATACACATTTAGTTGTGGCTTTCAAGCGCTAATATTAATAAGAATAATATTAATAATAATAACTACAATAGGTAATCCACTTAAGGTTACCCAAACATAAAAGTTCGAGTTTACACTTATATAGTAAACAAGTTGGAGCTCAATAAACTATAAACACACTTATGGAAAACAGCTACTGATTTATTTAGGCGACGTTTCGACGAGTATTCTCTCGACGTTTTCAAGCTAATACAATATAACAAAATTTGAAGCAACATATATAGACAAAATTACAACAAAAGGTTGAAACCATTCATAGCAACAACAAGATCAAAGGCCTATGAAACAATGGGGTTATGATATACAAAAACAAGATAAAAGGGACTAATTAATTGTCTGAAAGTGGGGGTTGGGGTTCGTGGCTAGACAAGATAAACAAGCTGTGAAGAGTTGGTTAAATTTATTTCGAAGGGGTATTGACACCCTTAATCGTCGTTCTGTGTAAAATACGGAGCCCAATTTGTGAAACTGGATACTGGGTTTCCGGAGTGGCCTCGTGTCCCACGGCTAGATTGTCACTAATAATCAGGTCACCTTCCTCCCACTGAAAATAAATGCAGAAGAAAATCCATGAACAATTAGCACTTAGAACAAATTCAACAGAACAACAAAACATGTGTTCAGCGTCGTCGTAGCTCAGTGTGTAAGACGGTGGCTCGCTTTGCAGGAGGTCTCGGTTCATCTCCCCCTTGTCAATGGTGCATCTATAAACAGGGTCTTGTCCTTTGGAGGGGACGGAAAGCCGTGATAATTTGTACACATTGGCGTGCACACAAAAGAACCCTTGAAAGTTGGAATTAAATACAAGAGCAGGGATCAGGACAAAATTTCTCTCAAATTACACTGCATGGTGTATGTCCTTCTTCATTTTCCTCCTGTCCAACCTCATGGGTTTTCTCCGGGTCCTCCGGTTTTCCCCCACTGCTAAAGACCCCTACTCGCAAGCGAATTATTGAAATAAAATTAAACCATACGTTAGTCCCGAAATTGCCTAGTTTGTGTCAAGTGGACGTTAAACCCCATCTCTCTCTCTCTCTCTCTCCCCCCCCCCCCCAATTAACTAGTGCATAGCAGAAAAACTAATTGCGTGACAAACGGGTCTATCCAAACGGAGACAATGTAAATAATACTGTTTGAAGACGAACAATACCTTAAATCAGATTAAACGAAGGGCTGTCATGTTTCGGTACTTGGGATAGATTTGATTGAACGGGAAGAATAGACACATTCCCTCAAAAGCTGACGTATCAGAAGTCAATCCAGCAATGGCCAAAGGGGGATTTCTCGGGCCATTGCGTCAGAAATATGAGAACCCTCCTATTTCAACTACCCCCCTATTTCGACTACGGTTTATAACAGATTATATGGTCTGGTGGTTTCATTGTCACTACTTATATACCTCTCTATAGTTAAAATAGATTCGTCCATAAAAAAAACATCCCATTTCATTCCATCCTTTTCAGAGGAACCTTCCTATTTCGGAAACACCCCATTTCGACTACAGCCTATACAGATTACATGGTTTGGTGGTTTTATTATCCCTACTTATATACCCTCTCCATAGCTAAAATAGATTCGTCCATAAAAAAAAGTCCCATTTCGACTACAGCTTATAATAACTGATTACGTCTCACGAAGTCCCGCCATAAATATACACATAAAACAATGCAATATCAATAAATACATTAAAACAAACGCAAAATATTTCTACTTCCGACGTCTTGAAATTGAAAATAAACACGACATTTATATAAAAAAAAATCCAATCCAGATTACAAAATTTTGTCTGAATGATAGGGATCTCGAAAAAGGATTGCACAAAATTTATCTCATATAGCTAAGCAAGTATTAAACTCAATTTTTCCAAGAAAATTCCATACCAATTTTTAATTATATTATAATGTGCATACAATAATGCACATAACAATATGTAGCTTATGGCTATTGATCAACAATGTTGTAGAATACACATAACATAAAATAACAAAATGTAGCTCGTGGTTAGAAATACAGCACCATGGACATTATATCTCAAAAGGCTCACTCTCGCAAATAATCATGAAAATGGACAATCTGATTAGAATACAGATCTATATTTTGTTTCGATTTTTTATAGTTTCGATGGCCTGTACTACATGAAGATCGGGCCAGTTGTAGCGGGACGTCTTACGAGCTGATTTTGATCCTCTGGCGTCAAACATTTGATTAAAGGACAATATTGGTGCCAGTCATTATCACATGTCATAGAGTTGGTTAAACACATTCCAAATATAATTTTAACACAGAGATCATTGCTACGATAGCTGAGTAATACAGGTTTCCTGAATCGGAAGTGACGAACGCCAAAGGAAAACACGAGTCATACCTCTATATAACTGACTGATGTGATAACAGATACACGACCAAATTTCTGCTCACTAATAATTCCTTCCAAAACCAAAAGTTGTTGTGTGAGACTGTGAGAGGATATATTTGGAATGTGTTTAACCAGCACTATCACATATGTGATAATGACTGGCACCAATATTGTCCTTTAAGCAATCACCGTTGATGTTCTAGTAGGTTACGCACAATTCCGTGCATCGCACGCCAAAAACTCCTTGCAACAGACCCTTTCATTGGCTAATCCCTCACATCAACCAGAACGCGGGATATATAACAATTTTGAACGATAACAGAAAACGAAACGAAATGGGATCTGTGTTTTATCAGATTGGAAAATGGAGAAAGTAAGACTCCCCTATCTCCTAGACAAGCCTCTAATCTACGACTGTCTCTTCATGGCAGCTTACTAGAAATCACTTGTCTTACATATCACCTTGGTGGCAGCGGCTACGGACCCCCCCCCCCCCAAAAAAAAAAAACCGAACAAATATAATACATACCTTGTGCTTATAAATAAGACCGTTGCTTTGCTTTATTTCTTTGTCAATATCTTTCAATGCATCTTCTGTTTCATCGTTTTTAAGGAACCTTTCATCTTTCCCGCCAAAATCAAATATACATTCTTCGATAAGTCCTAAATTGAAGCACATCGTCTGAAAAACACGGAATATTTCATTTTATTTGTGTATATTTTAAATACAAATGAAAAGAAAAGAAAATGAAATGGGGTTTAACGTCCTACTGTTCTGCTCTGACTGGGCTAATGACGACGGGCATACGCCATACAGAGTGCTATGAGGGAAATCTGCCAAAGGATCTTTTACGTGCATGCCAATGTATACACGGGTCCTGGGTTTTTCGTCGTATCCGAACGAATTGACAGCTGTCCTTGTCCATCTCTCCGTCCTGTACCAATGACTAGGGGAAACCACGCCGGAAAATCCGATGAACTTTCTCGGTCAATGCAGGATCGAAAACGCAACCCCCAGGCTAGCGAACCATCGTCCCACCCACTTAGCCACCGTGGCTCCCTATTTTAAATACAACAGACAGTATCTTATCTCGATTTGTTTATAACTTGTATATGTTGATTTGTTTTAAAAATAAAGATATGTTTAGATTTTAAACCCAACTTCTACAGACAAAGCCAATTATCAGACATAATCGATATTTGGACACCAAAATTAATCAACAGTATATTCATACCCACTTCCGCTTTATCGGTTTACTGGGGGTTGGATGCCCGAATGGTTAACACGTGTGCGCTGTATTATAAGGTCTGTCATTGAGTCAACTGGTGGGGTTTGGATTACCGGGTGTACGCGACAAAGAATAGGGTCACATGTCCAACCTCGTGGGTTTTCTCTGGGTTCTCCGGTTTCCTCCTACTGCTAAAGACCCCTACGCGTAAGCGAATTATTGAAATAAAATTGAACCATGTGTTAGTCATGAAATGGCCTAGTTTGTGTCGAGTAGACGTAAAACCACATTTCTTTCTTTCATTCTTTTATCTGTTGAATGCAGCGCACTCGGATGCAACCCGACCCGTCAATGTTCAATGTTGAAAGGTAGCTAATTAGCTATATTAAAGGTGTTTGTCACTTACCGGTTGATAGGTAGCTAATGAGCTGTATTGAAGGTGTTTGTTACTTACCAGTTGACAGGTAACGTGTTGGCTACCTGTTTGTCACTTACCGGTTGACAGGTAGGGGGTTGGATGGCTGAATGGCTAGCGTGCGCGCGCTGTATCATAAAGTCTGTCATTGAGTCGACTGGCGTGGTTTCGAATCCCAGGTTGTACGTGACAAGTAGTAGGGTCGAATGTCCAACCTCGTGGGTTTTCTCCGGGTCCTCCGGTTTCCTCCAACTGCTAAAGGAATCTAGGAAAAAAAGTCACAGGAAAAAAAGTCACAGTAAAAAAGTCACAACTTATATATATTGTATTGTAGAGTGAGTATATCCTTGCACCTTTAAGTTATTTGTCTTTGAGTTAATTAGGTTTGGTTAATCGAGTGGTTTGGTTAATAGATCGTGGGTAAATTGTATTTAATCATGAATTTATTATAAAGCTGTTTGTATGTAGGTATTCTTGTTAGGTCTGTACTGTTACTCTACATTATCTTGCTGCAAACACAATACAAACACTATGGAACGTACATGATGCAACCATGAACAGTGCCCCCTGTACCAACAACATCTGCGAGGGATGGAACAACAAATTCTACAATCTTGTCGGCCAACACCATCCATCCATCTGGAGATTGGTGGAGTGGTTCCAGAAGAAATCAGCCACAGTCCAGACTGTCGTCGCCCAGGATGCCATCGGAAATCCACCTGTCAGGAAGGTCAAGAAGAAGTTTGTAAAGATGCAGACACAACTACGAAATCTTTGCAGAGATTGTGTCAGCGGTGCCAAATCCATCCCAGAATTCTTACATGGAGTTGGATGGAACATTAGAATTAACAAAGAGTATTGATGTGGTAGAATGTTGAATGAGCTAATAAGTGCTAAACCGTCTGATGTACTGATATGTCAAATGTGCTATAATGTATTAAAATGTGCTATGATATCAAAGTGTGCTAATTTCTAAAGACTAAAACAGTCTGGTTACATCTGTGTAATGAAAGGTTAAATATGTATGTTATTGTTTATATTGTTATTGAATTTGAGATGTAATAAAAAAAACTGTGACTTTTTTTCCTGTGTTTTTTTACCTAGGCAAATTTGTGACTTTTTTACTGTGCCTTTTTTTCCTGTGACTTTTTTTCCGCGCACCTGCTAAAGACCCCTACGCGCAAGCGAATTATTAAAATAAAATTAAAAACCATATGTTAGTCCCGAAATGACCTAGTTTGTGTCGAGTGGACGTTAAACCCCCATTCTAGCTATATTGAATGTGTTTGTTACTTACCAGTTGACAGGTAACGTGTTTATCACTTACCGGTTGACAGGTAGCTTATTAGCTATATTAGAGACTTTTGGCAAGCGGAATTTTTACCATCCGTATCACGTATCCGTATGTATACGTGATACGTTGCGTCAATGCAGTTTTTGAGTTTTGGCAGATTTTCGCGTAGCGTACGTTTGCATCGCTGAGCCGAGCTTAGTTCTATTACAGCATGATGGCAGATATCTACCAAGGTCACCATCAGTGCTAGTCAAGTGCCTAGCCTACAATTTCTCGGTGCGAGTGAAGTCGCTCGATATTAAAAAAAATTAATATCGACTTTGGTTTCACTTATGTATCATTTCAGAAAGTTTAGATTTGTAAGATCCTACCTCCCTAAATTGAGCACGTAGATCAACCAGCATGCAGACAGACGGGAAATGTATGAAAATCCCGAGAAAATCCCAACAAAAATAAGGATTAAATTCCAGTCTTTATCATGGTTAAATCACATCAAATATACACCTTCGTGTTCTAGGATACACGGAGATTCATAAAAACGCTATGATACAACATTTCAGCGTCTAAAAGTAGCAAAAGAAGGCAGTAAAAAGACGACAATGTTATACGGACCTTTTCCGTATGAAAGCTGTTCGATACGTGCTACCGTATCCGTGTTCCGTATCACGTATGAGAAATACACACACATAGATGACGTCACACACAAAATCCATACGGATACGCGATACGGACCAAGAATTTACGCTTGCCAAAAGTCTCTATTGAATGTGTTTGTTACTTACCAGTTGACAGGTAACCTGTTGGCTACCTTTAAAGATGTTTATCACTTACCTGTTGACAGGTAGCTAATTAGCTATATTGAAGGTGTTTGTTACTTACCAGTTGACAGGGAATGTGTTGGCTACCTTTAAAGGTGTTTGTCACTTACCGGTTGACAGGTAACTGGATGTGGATAGATCAATGGATGTATATTTTCATAACCATATTGTCTGAATATTCCATGAAGTGAATTCCACTGTTCTCTCTTTTCGGGTGTTAGTTGATTGATCAAATCATTCAGAGAAATAAAGGCTGTAAATGATAATTTTCCTACTTCAGTTTGTTGACGTTTATTACCAATAATTATGTGTTAAATGATTATCACTGCCCTGGAGTTAATCATCCTGACCAAGTACTATGTCATATAAAACCGGGGAATGGCGGATTGGTTAGCGAGTATCATAAGATCTGTCACTGAGTCAATTGGTGTGGTTTCGTTTGCCCGGTTGTACGTGACAAGGAGTAGGGTCAACTGTCCGGTTTCCTCCCAAGCGAATTATTGAAATAAAATTGAACCATGTTATTCCCGAAATGACCTAGTTTGTTTCGAGTGGACGTTAAACCCCTCCATCTCCCTCTCTCTCTCGCTCTCTCTCTCTCATAAAACCGCTCATATAAACCCATGTTCACAAAATAACGTAATAACATAATAATACATTGCAGTACTAATATATATATTACGAACAGTACCTACCTGTACTGCCTTCTCTTGGTACAGATACCATATTTAATATACAGAACCTGAATGGCTTTTCTATAAAACTACCATCAATATGCCAACCGTCTCGATTAAAGCCCACACATCCTTCCGTGCTATCATTAGAAACACGAAGAATATCAGGATGGGGTGATCTTTTGTGCTTTATATGTTTGGAATCCAGTTCTCCGAACCATCGACTGATTTCCAGATGGCGTTCAGCGGTGATTTCACCTTGGTTTTTAAATATCAGGAGTTTATGTTCATGTATATCCTTTTTAATCTTCTCAAGAATATTGTCTGGTACTGTTTTCTTGAGATCAATTCCACGTACTTCAACTCCAAGTTGGCCATTAGATCGATACTCCATTATTATTTCCAATTTGGTCTGTAAAACCTGTAACGGAGACAGAGAAACATGACGGGGAAATAATTAAAAATATTCAGCTAATCCCTGATTTTAGTACCGTTCGGTAGAAGTACTAAAACAATACATTTCAGCACAAAAACGAGAGAGAGAGAGAGAGAGATTTAACTTCCACTTGACACAAACTAGATCATTTCGGGACTAACACAAGGTTCAATTTTATTTCAATAATTCGCTTGTGCGTAGGGGTTTTTAGCAATGGGAGGAAGCATGAGGACCTGGAGAAAACCCACAAGGTTGGATAGAAGACCCTACTCCTTGTCACATACAACCGGGTAATCAAAACCACGCCAGTTGACTCAATGACAGATCTTCTGATACAGCGTGCACGTGCTAACTATTCGGCCATTCACCGATTCCCCCGCTCCAATTTGGGACGAAGATCATACACAAACCAATGTATTCCTTCTAACAACCCTACCTTTCGTTAGGCTTAGACTCGCCATTTAATACCTACCTTCTACAACAATCTACACGATCATGTCTTCCCTTGAATATATTTCGTCGTGTTTTATTAATGTATTTGTGGGCGTTATTCTTAATTGCACGATGACAGAGAAATGTTGCGTATCTTTTAATTCATACTTGGTAGGTGTAAATATACACGTTTATTGTCATTTAAATATTCTGTATGCTATAAATTATCTCGTTAGAAATATGTCCCTTCTAGAAGATTGTTTTCTTTTCACCGTGACATGGGATCACGTCAGATGGGATCACGTGCACCTTTATAAAATGTGGTTTATATAAGATAAATAATGAAGGATTAAATACAAAGATGACACGTGCAAGGTATAAACTAATTTATAATGTAGTTTGGAGCCGCGGTGGTTCAGTGGGGAAGACTTTGCCTAGCTAACCTAAAGGTTTCGTGTTCGATCACAGTCTTGGCGGAAAAGGTGCATCGGGGTTTTCCAGCGTGATTGCCGCTTGTCAGTGGGGCAGGACGGAGGGTCTGACGCTGGGTTTGGACAAAACGTCGAGGTCCCGTATACACATTGGTGTGCACGTAAAAGAACCCTTTGCAGTTGGAATTTTTCTATTCTAATGTAGCCAGATTGCTAAGAATACGTATTTCAACGGAGTATTTTATTAATTAAAGGGGCTAAGTCTCTAACTAAATCTTTTACATAATATTCGAAATGTTGTTATCTTGCCGTGCAACTAGATGATCCTAATATCCAATATTTAAGACACAATTAACACTTTACAATCAGTACACGAGTCGTGTACCGCATGCTTTCGGTGCAATTTTGTAATGAACAAATAAAAATATATCCTAAAACACAATGTGGAAATAATAACTAAAGACTCATTCACAAACGACAAAATAATAATTTTAAAAATGTGTAGAATGCACTAAGCAGGCGTAAACGACTGCCATTTAATTTGAACTGTTCAGGTATATCACCGAAGATAATTGATCTGAAATCACTTTTTGTTCAAAAATTGAATATTAATCACTTTACATATATTGTCATATTACATAAATATGTGCTTTTAGAACCATTTTTGTCTATTTCAAGATACCTAAAAATAGTGTCATATGCCCTTTAACTATTCCGTTAAACCATTAACTAATCTTTTACAGTAAATATTTTACAATCATTTATATACCATTATATTATCAATGAACATAAAGGACATTTTATAATGGGGAGAGACGGGGGTTAACGTCCACTCGACACAAACTAGTTCATTTCGGAACTAACATACGGTTCAATGTTAATTCAATAATTCGCTTGTGCGTAGGTGTCTTTAGCAGTGGGTGGAAACCGGAGGACCCGAAGAAACCCACCAGGTTGGACAGGTCACCCTACTCCTTGTTACGTACAACCGATGAATCGAAACCACATGCGCGTGCTAACCATTCGGCCATCCAACCCGCCTTGTTTAAAAGGAGCTGTGACATTATGTGTTTAACCCTAATACAACCCTTTGTATTTATGAGAGAGACAGAGAGAGAGAGAGAGGGGGCGGGGTGTTAACGTCCAGTCGACACAGCCTAGTTCATTTCGGGACTTACATACGGTTCAATGTTATTTCAATAATTCGCTTGTTGTTATATAGGGACCTTGTCTCGTATAGTGCGGAATCGAAACCATGCCACTTGACTCAATGGCAAACCTTATGATCTAACGCGCACGCGTTTAACCATATTTGCTCCCCATCTTTCAATTATTTTAGAAACTGAATTATTAACTCAACTTACCTCTTCAGACTAGTCCAAACAAATGTGAACCAGACTGTCGTCTCCCCTGCTGAAAAATAAATAAATATGTTAATATCACCACATGAATGCGGTGGTTTTCTTTGCACAGTCATGCCTGACCGTTGGCGACAAGGAGTAATAGCTTACTGTGTATGGTGTCAATTTGATCTCGGTGTACCAAATATAAAACGAAGTTGATTGTACAGAATATGCTCATGTCCGACATATAAATTCAGTACATTATTACGAGACCTTGTCGACAAACAATGTCATTTGCCTGGCTCATATTATTTCTTTAAATATTGTTGTGCAGACTATTGCAAGGGAGGTAATCCATGCACGGAAGCAGACCGTCATTAATTTCCCAATTGCCACTGACTCCAATGTTAATTCTGGCTCTTTTCAAGGCTCCAACTTTTTGTGGGGCTGAATGATATTCACCACAGACAGCGAACCAAATGGTCATGTCTTTGCACCAAATTTTGAGAAACGCAAACTTGAAGTAGCATACTAAATGCATGTATCTTTTCGCCGTGCATATCGCCGGAACAAACCATGATGAATGTTAATAAACACTCTCCTCTTCCATTCTAGACTAAACAAGTATGAACGTATTATGGACCAGGAACTGACAATGTTGTCAGATAGAATTCAAAAATCTAATTCACCAAAATTGTGCAAAGAACAAGCGAGCCCCCTTCCATGTCGATCAGACTTGACGGTGAAATTTAATGATCATTTTCTACCAGGTTAATCATAGTGATAAACAATTTAGATTGGTCAGTACCTCTGAGAACACTATACTAGCTTTGGGTATAAATGAAGGATAGGGATGCAACTGGGTGTTTCATTACTGCATCAATACCCTGACTACGTTCGATTATTTTAATTACCTGTCAATGCTTAGTATTTCTGATTCCAATCAGAAAATCGGGTGTTATTTTTAGATTACAGTAAAATACTCTAGCTTTTTTGCTCTATTTATGCCATTTTCCAGACCAAATGCAAAGACATACAAACTGGTAATATCAAACTGTTCTAATTTGAGTCTAACTGAAGAAGGGTGGTGCAACTTGGTATTTCATTACATCAATACCTTAGTACTATTGATTCAAATCAGAACAAATCAGAAATCGGGTGTTATTTTTGGATTACAGTAAAATTTCTCTAGCTTTTGTGCTATATTTATGCCATATTTCTCTGCCATTAAAATGCAAAGACATACAAACTTGTAACATTATTATATTTTATTGTTTTAATAAATATCTAAGACGAACAAGCGCCTTGTGATTTACTAATTACAATTAAGTTACAACACAACAATTACGTTACAACACAATTAGGTTACAACACAACAATTACGTTACAACACGACAATTAAGTTATTAGGTTACAAGACGATAATTATGTTACAACACAATAATTACGTTACAATACGACAATTGCGTTACAGCACGACAATTACGTTACAACACGACAACTACGTTACAACATGACAATTAGGTTACAACTCGACAATTAGGTTATAAAACTCATAAACGATCAGAAACATGCAAATCTATTTTTGCGAATGCTATTAAAAAAAACCGCGACTTTCAAGCACTAAAAATAACAATGATTACAAAACCAAGAGATCAGAAAACATACAAATTTAGTTGTGGAAATGCTATAAAATAAACCTGGCTTTCAAACACTAATATTAATAATAATTACAATAGGTAATCCACTTAAGGTTACCCAAGCATAAAACTTCGACTATGTAATTCTACACTTACATAGTAAACAAGTTGGAGCTCAATAAACTATAAACACACTTATGGAAAACAGCTACTGATTTATTTAGGCGACGTTTGGAAGAGTATTCTCTCAACGTTTTCAAGCTTATACAATATCACAAAATTTGAAGCAACATATAGTCAAAATTACAATAGCAAGGTTGAAACCATTCATAGCAACAACAATATCAAAGGCCTGTGTCACAATGGGGTTATGATATACAAAGCAAGATAAAAGGTTGGAGCTCGTGGCTAGACAAGATAAACAAGCTTTGAAGAGTTGGTTGAATTTATTTTAAAGGGGTATTGACACTCTTGATCGTCGTTAGTTTGTTAAATTTATTTCGAAGGGGTATTGACACCCTTGATCGTCGTTCTGTGTAAAATACGGAGCCCAATTTGTGATACTGGATACTGGGTTTCCGGAGTGGCCTCGTGTCCCACAGCTAGATTGTCACAGATAATCAGGTCACCTTCCTCCCACTGAAAATAAATTCAGAACAAAATCCATAAATAATTAGCACTTGGAACAAATTCAACAGAACAAAATCAAGTATAATAATCACTTAGAACACATTGAACAGAACACAATCCATGAATAATTAGCACTTAGAACAAATTCAAAAGAACAAAATCCATGAATAATTAGCACTAAGAATGAATTCAACAGAACAAAGACTATTAATAGTTAGCACTCAGAACAAATTCAACAGAACAAAAAAAAACATGTGTTCAGATTAAATTATTACAGCTTTTTATAAAGAAGTCGCCGTAGCTCAATGTGTTATATGGTGGCTCTCTATCCAGAAGATCCCGGCTCATTTCCCCTTTGCAGGACGGAGGGCCTGGTATGGAATGTCTAGTTGTTCGGATGGGACCAAAGTCCGCAATCATTTGTACACATTAGCGTCTACGTAAAAGAACTCTTGAAGATTGGAATTCAATACAAGAGTAGACTGTCGGGACATAATTCCTCTAATAGCACACAGCGTGGTGTATGTCCGTCCTCATTTACCCAGTCGGTTCAATGTGGTGGAACGTTAAACACCATTTAATTCACTCCTATTTCATTCATTCCATTTCAGAGGAACCCTCCTATTTTGTTTATTCCGTTTCAGAGGAACCCTCCTATTTCGAGGAGCCGCGGTGTCTAGGCAGGTAAGACGTTGGTTCGCTAGCCTGGAGGTCGGGTGTTCGATCCCCGCATTGGACCGAAAAAGTTCATCCAGATTTTCCGGCGTGGTTCCCCCTTGTCAGTGGTACAGAACAGAGAGCCTGGCAAGAACAACGGGCAAAATTCCCCTCATAGAACACTGTATGGCGTATGTCCGTTTTCATTATCCCGGTCAGGAGCAGAACAGTAGGACGTTAAACCCAATTTCATTTCATTTCCTATTTCGTCTTCAGCCTATAACAACAGATTATACGGTCTGGTGGTTTTATTAGAGACTTTTGGCAAGCGTAAATTCCTGGTTCCTATCGCGTATCCGTAACGATTACGCGTGTGACGTCATCAATGCGTGTGTATTTCTGTAGCACCATGGGTCTTTCTGTCTAACGTGGAGAGCGGGCGAGAAAACCGATCGCCACATCCTACATACGACCCATGCATCTTTTCTTACTACATATTTCTGTAGCCTTGTGATCGTCTAGAATTTGTCTCTACTTCTGCTTCACGTTGTGTATTTACTTCTTACAGTTTCTTAAGACGTTTGTCTTACCAGGAATAATAATGCATAGTTCGCTTCTACATTTTATATAGCATATAACTGAATACAGGTATACAAGCATAGCACAAATTACAATACTATATAGCTAAAACCACTTCTCCACCCTATCCAGCCTCTCGGCTGTCTAGGAACTCGGATGTACCCTCGATCTATGGAATCTAATGCAAGTCTGACATACAGGGTTCCACGGTTTCTTTTAAAGATATATGAATATCATGCACAATAAAGCGTGATCATGGCCCTGAACTTGTGTAATTAACAAAATGATTGGTTACTTTAAATCAAATGATGCAATTAAAATAATTCCACTCACGTGTAATTCTGGTGGTAAATAATTGACATATTTTTGTTAAAGAGCTCTTTTTTATATGTCAACTGTCAATTACAGACTAAGTTGATTTAGTGCACACTATATATGCGAATATATTTGAAATTACTAACTTGCCAAAGATATTAATTAATGAAATATAAAGCCATCTTATTTCAAGAGCAAAAATTCTAGCAATATTATTACATTTCTCATACGTGATACGACACACGGATACGGCAGCAAGTATGGAACAGCTTTCATACGGAAAAGGTCCGTATAACATCGTCGTCTTTTTATCGTATTTTTTGCTTCTTTTATACGCTGAAATGTTGTGCCGTAGCGTTTGTTTATGAATCTATATCATAGAACACGAAGGTGTATATTTGATGTGATTTTAACCATGGCAAAAACTGGAATTTAATCTTTACTTTTGATGAGCTTTTCGCGGAATTTTCATATTTTTCCTGTTTGTCTGCACGCTTGTTGATCTGCGTGCTCAATTTAGAGAGGTGAGACCTTGGAAATCTATAAAAGGGGTATATTTTTAATAAGATTCGACACTAATTTTTATTTTTTTTTAAATAAATCAGCGACTGTCGAACGACTTGACTCCCTTCAGGAATTTGTAGGCTGGGTACTTGACTAGTACTGATGTTGATCTTGGTAGATAACTGCCATCATGCTGTAATAGAACTACGCTCAGCTCAGCTACCCATACGTAGACTGCGCGAAAATCTGCCAAAACTAAATTAACGCAACGTATCACGTGACGATACGGATGGGAAAAATTCCACTTGCCAAAAGTCTCTATTATCCGTATACCATCTCTATAGCTAAAATAGATTCTCCCATAAAAACACCCGATTTAGGCGACAGCGTATAACAGATTATACGGTCTAGATTCTTCCATAAAAACAATATCGAAACAACAAAAGAATGAAAAGGTAATCTATGCAGAAATCATATAATATAAGTAAAAAGTAAGGACGCCCATTAGGGTCAATCAAATGAAAACAAATCTAATTGCTAGATAGTTATCTTGTTATTACAAGATACGGGGAAGCCCATGAGTAACTTATTTTAAGGTCGCCATACACCGATTTATCGCCAACAGCTAGGCCAACACCATATTCTATTTTATGTTACAGAATCGGTACATTTATGTCATGCTCCCATAAATATCATTCGCTGTTTTCATTTCTCCATTAAAATCATAAAGTTCATACTCCCATTAACATCATACTCCCACCAACTTCATATTAATATCATAATTCATCAACTTTAATGCTGCACTTGCAGCCACAGAACGCTATTTACATTTTTCGGAAAACTTCTTTAAATTTTTCGTTTTCCTTTGTGTTGGCTTTATACAGTTTTTATTGTCTGCAGTTATCGAGTTTAGCGATTTTGTTCATTTCAACACGAACGAAAACAAAAATCATTTTTATGGTTATCATCAACGGCCGATGAACAGCAGATATGATTCAAATCTTGTAATGTTAATTTAATGCATAATTAGCAGTTTATATAACATTTAAGGCCGAAAGAAAGACCTACAATAAGCAGATTTAGCTCTTGCAAAACATATGTTTAATAAGAACCCACTGACGTATGCTTTAAACAGTCATATAAGTTTTGGTTGTTTGGGCTTAGCGCCGTTTCGTCTATATCCCTTTTAAACACGCCGTTGCCATCTTTACATTTCGCTGAACCTCGTTCATGCGCCTCTAGTAGTAGGACGTTAAACCCCATTTCATTTCATTTCATCTCATTTGATTTCATGCGCCTCTATTTAATTATATTGAATCAAGCCTACAAATTATCTATCGTTGCTATCTTGATTTTGATTTCTTTAGTTACATGAACTTAAAACGTCAGTAAAATATTAAAACATGCAAAACATTTACTGGCATGATAGGGTAACATGTGAAATAGACATGCATGAAGTTTGAATTCTACGAAAATTGCATGCAAATTTTAAATCATTTTATATAATGTATATAAAATAAGGCACATTAATCAACAATGTTGTAGAATGCACATAACAGGGAAATAACAAAATGTACATTGTGGTTATCAATCAACAATGTTGTAGAATGCAAATAACATAAAACAACAAAATGTAGCTTGTGGTTATACATCAACAATGTTTCTATAATACAGATGAATGGACCTTAAACAGCACCATGGACACTATATCTCAAAAAGCACGGTTGTGCAAATAATCATGAAAATGGAGGCAGTGCAACTCCTCTATCTCCTACCCACGCTAGACAAAGAGAGAGAGAGAGAGAAAAATGGGGTTTAACGTCCACTCGACACAAACTAGGTCATTTCAGGATTAACATATGGTTTAATTTTATTTCAATAATTCGCTTGCGCATAGGGGTCTTTAGCAGTGGGAGGAAACCGGAGGACCCGGAGAAAACCCACGAGGTTGGACACGCGACCCTACTCCTTGTCACGTACAACCGGGGATTCGAAACCACGCCAGTCGACTCAATGACAGACTTAATGAAACAGCGCGCGCACGCTAACCATTCGGCCATCCAACCCCCCCACGCTAGACAAGCCTCTAATCTACGACCGTCTCTTCATACATGTTTACTAGGAATCACTTGTCTTAGATATTACCTTGGTGGCAGCGGCTGCGGAGCCCCCAAAAACGAACAAATATAATACACACCTTGTGCTTATAAATAAGACCGTTGCTTTGCTTTATTTCTTTGTCAATATCTTTCAATGCATCTTCAGTTTCATCATTTTTAAGGAACCTTTCATCTTTCCCGCCAAAATCAAACATAAATTCTTCCATATTTCCTAAATTGAAGCACATCGTCTGAAAAACACGAAACATTTCATTTATCTGTGGGTTTTTTTTTAAATACAACAGACAATCTCATCTCGATTTATTTATAACTTGTATATGTTGATTTGTTTTAAAGATAAATATATGGTTATATTTTAAACCCAACTTAAACAGACAATATCAATTATTTGATATTATCGATATATGGACACCAAGAAAAATGACCAAATATATTTATACCCACTTCCGCTTTATCTGTTGAGGGGGGTTATATGGTCGAATGGTTAACACGTGTGCGCTGTATTATAAGGTCTGTCATTGAGTCAACTGGCGGGGTTTCGATTCCCCGGGTATACGTGACAGGGAGTAGGGTCACCTGTAAAACCTCGTGGGTTTTCTCCGAGTTCTCCGGTTTCCTCCTACTGCTAAAGACCCCTACGCGTAAGCGAATTATTGAAATAAAATTGAACCATGTGTTAGTCATGAAATGGCCTAGTTTGTGTCGAGTAGACGTTAAACCCCATTTCTTTCTTTCATTCTTTTATCTGTTGAATGCAGCGCACTCGCATGCAACCCGACCCGTCAATGGTCAACATAAGATCAACCAATTGGACTTTTAGGGTCACGTCTTCTCCCTTATAGAATGTCTCAATTTGCAATGTCCCCTTTTTGAGTAATATAACGCTCACAGTCTGAACAAATTCAGTCCACATCATATACCTTGAAGATGTTATTAAACGTGTTGGCGATCTTAAAGTTGTTTGCCACTTACCGGTTGACAGGTAACAGGGTGTGGATAGATCAATGGATGAATATTTTCATAACCATCTTGTCTGAATATTCCATGAAGTGAATTCCACTGTTCTCTCTTTTCGGGTGTTAGTTGATTTATCAAATCATTCAGAGAAATAAAGGCTGTAAATGATAATTTTCCTACTTCAGTTGTGTTGACGTTTATTATCAATAATTATGTGTTAAATGATTATCACTGCCCTGGAGTTAATCATCCTGACCCGGTGCTAGTTCATATAGTTCTGTGTTAAATTCTGGTGTGAAACTGAATAACAACATGGTTCTCACTGTCCTGGAGTTAACCATCCTGACCTAGTACTAGTTCATATAAACCCGGGGTTGGGGGCGGGGATAACCGAATGGTTAGCGCGTGTGCGTTGTATCATAAGGTTTGTCATTGAGTCAACAGGTGTGGTTTCGATTCCATGGTTGTACGTAACAAGGAGTATGGTCGCCTGTCCAACCTCGTGTTTCTTCTTCAAGTCCTCCGGTTTTCTCCCAAGCGAATTATTGAAATAAAATTGAACCATGTGTTAGTCGCGAAATGACCTGGTTTGTGTCGAGTCGACACCACAAAATAACGCAATAACATACAGTACTATATAGCGGTACTAATATATTACGAACAGTACCTACCTGTACTGCCTTCTCTTGGTACGGATACCATATTGAATATACAGAACCTGAATGGCTTTTCTATAAAACTACCATCAATATGCCATCCGGTTCGACCAATGCCCACACATCCTTCCGTGCTATCATTAGAAACACGAAGAATATCAGGATGGGGTGATCTTTTATGCTTCTTATGTTTGGAATCCAGTTCTCCGAACCATCGACTGATTTCCAGAATGCGTTCAGCGGGGATTTCACCTTGGTCTTTAAATATCAGGAGTTTGTGTTCATGTATATCCTTTTTAATCTTCTCAAGAATATTGCCTGGTACTGTTTTCTTGAGATCAATTCCACGTACTTCAACTCCAAGTTGGCCAATAGATCGATACTCCATTTTTATTTCCAATTTGGTCTGTAAAACCTGGAACGGAGAGAGAGAAACATGACGGGAAATAATTAAAAAATTCAGCTAATCCCACTCCCAGCGGATATCTCTCAACAAAAGAAAAAAAATTATCAAAACAAATATTTGTACCGTTCGGTAGAAGTACTAACACAATACATTTCAGCACAAAAACGAGAAAGAGAGAGAGAGAAAGAGAGAGAGAGAGAGAGAGAGGGGGGTTTAACGTCCACTTGACATAAACTAGGTCATTTCGGGACTAACACATGGTTCAATTTTATTTCAATAATTCGCTTGCGCGTAGGGGTCTTTAGCAATGGGAGGAAACAGGAGGACCTGGAGAAAACCCACAAGGTTGGACAGACGACCCTACTCCTTGTCACATACAACCGGGTAATCAAAACCACGCCAGTTGACTCAATGACAGACCTTCTGATACAGCGTGCACGTGCTAACTATTCGGTCATTCACCGATTCCCCCACTCCAATTTGGGACGACGATCATACAGAAACCTATGTATTCCTTCTAACAACTGTACCTTTCGTTAATAGGCTTAGACTCGCCATCTAATACCTACCTTCTACAACAATCTACACGATCATGTCTCTCCTTGAATATATTTCGTCGTGTTTTATTAATTTATTTGTGAGCGTTATTCTTAATTGCATTATGACAGTGAAATGTAGCGTATCTTTAAATCAATACTTGGTAGATGTAAATATATACGTTTATTGTCATTTAAATGTTCCGTTAGAAATATGTCCCTTTTAGAAGATTGTTTACTTTTCACCGTGACATGGGATCACGTGTGATGGGATCACGTGCACCTTAATAAAATGTGGTTTATATAAGATAAATGATGAAGGATTAAATACAAACATGACACGTGCAAGGTATAAACTAATTGATAATGTAGTTTGGAGCCGCGGTGGTTCAGTGGGGAAGACGTTGCCTAGCTAACCTGAAGGTTCTGTGTTCGACCACAGTCTTGGCGGAAAAGGTGCATCGGGGTTTTCCAGCGTGATTGCCGCTTGTCAGTGGGACAGGACGGAGTGTCTGACAAGGGACAGCTTATAGACGCTGGGTTTGGACAAAAAGTCGGGGTCCCGTATACACATTGGTGTGCACGTAAAAGAACCCTTTACAGTTGGAATTTTGCAATAAAAATGTAGCCAGATTGCTATGAATACGTATTTCAACGCAGTACTTTATTAATTAAAAGGGCTAAGTCTCTAACTCAATCTTTTACATAATATTCGAAATGTTGTTATCTTGCCGTGCAACTAGATGATCCTAATATCCAATATTTAAGACACAATTAACACTTTACAATCAGTACACGAGTCGTGTACCGCATGCTTTCGGTGCAATTTTGTAATGAACAAATAAAAATATATCCTAAAACACAATGTGGAAATAATAACTAAAGACTCATTCACAAACGACAAAATAATAATTTTAAAAATGTGTAGAATGCACTAAGCAGGCGTAAACGACTGCCATTTAATTTGAACTGTTCAGGTATATCACCGAAGATAATTGATCTGAAATCACTTTTTGTTCAAAAATTGAATATTAATCACTTTACATATATTCATATTACATAAATATGTGCTTTTAGAACCATTTTTGTCTATTTCAACACTGAAAAAACACTTGTGTTGGATCTCAACACAAGTACTTGTGTTAAAACTAATCTACACAAGTTATGTGTTGTTTTGCATTGCATTAACACAAACTTGTGTCGATTTATAAAATCTTGTGTTTTTTTCATATCATTAACACAAGTAATGTGTACCTTCCAAGATTTGTTTTCTTTTTAAAAAAAAAACTCCATACAAAGTCTGAATTCGGGAGTCGTCAAGTTTTAAGAAAAGTAATAAAGGGCTTAATTCACATCTCGAAAATCACATGCTGTTCTTCACTGGAAGGGTGTGAGTACCAATTAATCAGACAATTGCCAGACAGACTTGAATGTTAATTGATGTTAAGTTGTCTGTAAAGTTAAAATGTCTGTCTTTTTTTATTGACCCAATAAACCGATAGATCAAATGAATATATAGTGTACATGTGACTTTCAGCACCCTGGTGTTTTCGAAAATTGATTCAATGTACAATGAACAAAAAAAATGAGTAAAACTCTTAATAATGTAATTGGTTGATGTGATCGAAATTGGACAGTATTGGTTAACTGAAAAGTAACCAATCAAATTTAATTGATCATCCACGTGTATCTCATAATCGACTTATTGATATAATGGTTCTCCAAGTTATCTATACTTTTTGTCTGCGATATCACTTCGGTGGAAGCGGACGTTAAATACAACTAACTAAGAAGAAGTATCTATACTTTAGTCATTGCGACAAATTCTTTCTTTGATATTATATCAGCGACATTCAGTTAGATAGATGTAGTGAAGTTAGCATCAACAGGGTGCTTTAGCCGTGATATTTTAAAAAAAATTATAATGGTCACATAGAATACCAGACCGCAGGTTTGTAAATTTTTACAAAAAATAAAACCGTGTATTTAATTTAGCATGTATATATTGCTTCTATGTATATAATAATTCGTTTCGTTTAAAACAGTCAGATTTAGAACTACTGCCACTGGCTGCACCGGAAGTCTATTTATATAATGGCGCCACAAAGAAATTTTTTTTGATGTGTTCTAAAAGTGTTCCGCTAATTCAGCAATCTAATGAATCTGTCTTAATTTTTCTGAAATAGTGTTTAATTATTATTAGCTAGTCGGCGCTACACCGTTGTTCAAATACTTATAATTGCAAGAAACCCCCGACTAGGACCAGCAGGTAAGAATCTGTCTTGATTTTATAGTAATACCCGGTTGCAATTATTGGCCGCCATCTTTGATTTTTATAGACGTTCAGGCAAAAGGAGAAATGTATATCCAGACATGGACTATAGCTAGATACTAACTTTTGTGTTAGTTGTTTAGTTGAAATGTAATCTTATTTCTGTAAAAGAAAAAAACAACAACAAACAAATCAGCCTTTTTTTATATCAATGTCATCAATGTGTAGGCCTAATATTAGACTTTCAATGATTCAGAAGTTTCTCTACAGTTTCGTTATTTTTTTTCCCAGTCATTGATGTTAGCATGTACTACACAAAGAAAAACAGGTAACAGAATTTCATTTCCTTTTAATATATTTTTTTAATAATGGCCAATAATTGTTATTGTATGTAACACGAAAAGTATTTATCTCTGTAGAGAGAGGGCGAGTAAATGGGGTTTAAAGTTCACTAAATTCACGTGACACAAACTATGCCATTCATTTCCTTGTATTAAATTGGTCGAATCAAGTAGGTCCATGCTATATATATATGTCCTAGAATCAAGTAGGACAGGTAGTCTTCTTCCGCCCTTTTTCTGAACACTGTCTCATTCTATTGCCATCTGTGTATGTTGTGTTATATTAATTCTGCATAATTAACTCTAGTTAACCTAGTTAACTCTATAATAATAAATGAATTTAATATATAAATAAATAAATAAAATATAAATAAACCAATAATATATTTGTAGTTTAATATGTTTTATCTTATCATTACAGGCAAAGCATGAAGCCAAAGGAAATGTTTTTACCAAGGCATGTTCCTCAATAGCGGAGAGAGTTTTATCCAGTGTCGGTTCTGCAGAAGAACCCATTCATAGCAGACCACCCATTGCAGCACTTGTAAGGTCGCTATAAAGAACCCGACAGACTCTGCGACCAAAAGATCCCACTGACGTGTCGTCAAGCATAAGTACTCATGCAATTAAATACCCATGTATATAAGAATTTATTAACATGTTATTAAATGTACAATTTTATTTATTTATTAACATGTACTTAAATGTACTTTTTTTATTTATTTTTTGTTTTAGCTTGACGAAGATTTCAACGATCATAGTGCACCAGGATTTTATCAAAAAAGAGTAAAAGTTGTGGAAAGGCGCCATCACATTTTTTGTACTGATAGACAGATGCAACTACTCGCACGCGCAAAAACTTGGTATATGGATGCAACTTTTCGGGTGGTGAACAAGCCATGGTCTCAGCTGTTTTCCATACACGCCTTCATTAAGACTGGAGAGACCACTCGACAGTTACCATTGGTGTTTTGTGTAATGTCGGGTAAAAGCCAAGACGACTATTATAAGGTAAATAGCACTTACGGATTGAATTACTATTAATAGTAAAAAAGGACTATTATTTGGGACCTTGAAATTGTCACAAATGGGTCGCACTAACAGCGACATTTGTTTCAGGCATATTTGTTTCATCGGTGACACGTCTGGTGTCATGTGAATGCAACGACAACAGCCTGGTTGATTGATTTGTTGATTGGAGTTCAGATGTCTACATTAAAATCGACCACTTTCAGGTTGCCGTATTCACGGCCAGGCAAGACCGACTTGAAATTTCTAGAAATTTTTCTGGGGGAGACAGGCCCCAACAAATCCCCCGACGGTGCGTTTCACGACTTTGGCGCAAGACGGTGACCTTGAAGAGACGTCGAAAACCATTTAATAGACATAGTAAAAGTCATATCTTACGAGATTATCGCTGGTCTTGTCAGAAAATGCTATTTTATATATGACCAGTTTGTGTTTGAAAAATTTAATTATTTATTCTCCCACCATTAAAGCACACTAATTACGAAATATCGCTCTCAGAAACTTCATGGTTTCTTTTGCAATTTGTTTGGGGTAAGACGTTATATAAATAATATCAATCTGTCTACCACACAAATTTAACAGATACAAATGCATGTTATTCCACAGGTAGACAGACAGGGCCTCCTTTGAAGGGACTCAGTGAAGAGAACGCGGTTGGTTTAGAGTTTGTCTGACCCCTTTGAATATTTGCGTCTCATCTCCAATGAAAACAATCATGTTGCTCTCATGCTGTTCTCAACCAGAATCAAACATATATCGTACCTGAGATTTGTTAGCATGTTCCACACAACCCAACATTTATCGGCACCGGGATTAAGGGTGTATATCTTTGTTTCTAACGCTTATTGGGAATACGCCACGGAAACTACAATAAAAACTTATTTACAAAAACATTCTAAAGAGGGAAAACTGACATATTTCAAGCTTTACTGTATTTAAAGAAATAATTTAAATCAGCCGGCTGAAACCCCGTCTCCGCTATTTGTTCAGTCATTCTTTAGGTATAGTGCCAGTTTCCACCGACAATGATATTGCAAACAAGTGTCCAATCTATAAAAGCATACATGCCTACAAAATGTTTCTTTAGTCAAGTGAAACAATAAATTCATAACTATGCGAGGGTGTGGTGAGTAAATTCGTGGTAACAAGTGTGAATAGGCTAAAGTAACATAGAACAAGGTCACATTGATGTTGACAAATACGTAAGACGATATGAACATCAACTAAAAAGATATGTAATGTGATTCAGCTGCAAGGTGATATATGCAGCATAGATAATTAAAACTTCTATTCAAGTTAAACCAACTGTATCTATTTATTTAAGTCTTACGTCGAGCTGAATACATTTTATGATTTATTTTCATCTATTGGTGGTTAACAGTGTGTAACTAAAAACTAAAGTTGGATCTTATTATTGCCAATGATATAATGTACATGTAATAGCAAGTGTATATATATTTTTTGTTCAGTCTGTACACAGTAACATATCTGAGAACCATATTATTATCATTTCTGCCCAAGGCTCCCTGTGCCTTATAGTTAGCAGTGATACAAGGCAATTACCAATTTTCCATGTTCTTGGCCTGAAGAAATAAAATAATAAAAGTCAAGTTTTTATTATTATGCAAGTGGAAAAATACAATTATTCATAGTATGATTTGAATAAATACAACTGATTTGAAGTTGGAATTATTATTTGTCTAAGATGACTGGGCATTTACAAATTGAAATAGCTACTCTTCATCAAGAAAATACATGAATATTTTTCCCAATTCACCTGGATTTTATTGTAGGTCTTTGTACGTGAAATAGCTTTATTTAACGTCCGCTACCACTGAAGTGATATTGCAGAAAATTAACAAATTCGGATTCCCTTTTAAAGGAAATTGACTGCACTATCGCTGGATTGTATTATATAGGTCATGTCAGTTTTTTTCAAAATGGCGCCCAGAACACAAAACAAACATTGCAATTCAGGGCTGACTGGTGTCGAGGCTATATCCTAAGAATGATTTTTTGAATATTTAATCACACAGAAACACAATTATGCACATGCAGTTATGATATAATATTAAATTAGCTTACCTCAAATACCTCGAAATATACTGTTTGGTCAGTTTGTCCGCCCGCCATATTGCTATTAGTCACACATCCTTCGGTCAATTAAAATGGACGTATATTTTGTTTTAACCGAAACGAAAAATTTGCGTTATAAATAGTAAACGAGCTTGATTGACCGACCACTGCTAATGTTTTTTCGTGAAACGGTATAACTGCAATCAACACACGGCCGCCATTCTCGATGATTGACAACTCACATTTTTCCTCATCCACCAAAGAACCGTTAGGTTTCTTTGAACATACTGTAATAACATTGGGATTATCAGTTAATCAGCTTTAATTATCCCGCTTTGATCGTTGCCATTTCTTATATTTTCCACAAAAAAACTTTGCCTTGTACGCACTAATTTATCAATTGGTATTGCCATCTACGACAAGCATGTCAACGTGCAGCTCACGGATTATCGTTAACAATTTCTAGGGGCTTGTAAAAAAAGATTGCATGTCGTGTAAATATTTATTTTGTTTTTTGTGTAGGTCATTTTCAAATAAATTCATCAGCATATTATTCGTTTTAAATAAATATAAAACTTTTATGAGAAACGATGATTATCAAAGAACCGTAAGTGCAACTAATGTTTTATCGTTTGGTTGAGCCTTTTACTAACCACGTGTTTCATGTTAATAAATATTTTCTTTCATGTTTTGTTTGAATTGGCCTATTTCTAATAAATTATCCCGAGTCCCAAACGTCGTTAACCCGAGTCCCAAACGACGTATACCAAAGTCCCAAACGTCGTATACCGGAGTCCCAAATGTCGTGGTCATATTTTTTTGAGTCCCAAATGACGCGAGTCCCAAATGACGTGAGTCCCAAATGACATGTAATCAACCTAGAGTTGTTGTTAGTGTTTGTCGGATAGATCCTTTATACTTACTGGCGCTAGGTAATTTCGAGGCTAATATTGTTCAATTTTATTTGAATGATTTGCTTGCGCGTACCGTAGGAGTGTATTAGAAACAGTGTTTGCGCAGGTTCGAGAACGGCTGAAGAACATGAAAACACTTTCATGAGTCTCGAACATGAGAGAACGGTATCCATGGTAACAAGATGAATTAAATTTATACAATCTGTTACGATAACTTGTTTAGTATTTACTTCGCTATTAAGCATAATTTTGATAAATTATGACACCGTTTTACTCCTTTTCAATTCTTTGGATGACGATTACATCACCTTTTAATACGCCCTCGTCCGTAGGTTTGTCCGTCGTCTACAGAACTGATTATTTTAAAATCGATATGTTGTTTATTTTAATGAGATGAATCCTATTTAATTTCAATAATTTCTGTTAGTTTCTTCTGGAGTTATGGCCCTTGTTTCACTTTGTGAAATTCATTTGAATCTTTTAAATTAGTGAAACGAAGACGTCTATTAAATTTCTGCGATTTCTGTGAATTATGTCTAGAGTTGTGGCCCTTGTTTCACTTTTTCGAACCTTGTGAACGCACGAACAACAAAATTATCATCCGATTTGTATGAAAATTGTATGCATTATTTAAATTAGTAAAACACAAAACAAAAAAATCTGTCAAATTTCAACAATTAAGGCCTTTGTTTCAGTTTGTTGAACCTTTGTAAACCCACAAAGGACGAAAATTATAATCTTGTATGAAATTTTCTTGTAAATGCCCACATTACCTACAAAAGAATGAATATGCGACAATCCCAGTTGACTGCGCAAACGATTAAACTGCTGTGGGCATATGTTTCGTTGCCTGGCAACCTAACTTACTTCATGTTATACTGGCCACATACTACATCCAATTTTCGAACGGTATTAAACTTCTAAATTAATAAATGCACCCATGATGCTGTTTTCTCAGCAGTTATCGATGCGTCGACCTTTGTAAACCCACAAACGACAAAAATTATAATCTTGTATGAAATTTTCTTGTAAATGCCCACATTACCTACAAAAGAATGAATATGCGACAATCCCTGTTGACTGCGCAAACGATTAAACTGCTGTGGGCATATGTTTCGTTGCCTGGCAACCTAACTTACTTGATGTTATACTGGCCACATACTACATCCAATTCTCGAACGGTATTAAACTTTTAAATTAATAAATGCACCCATGATGCTGTTTTCTCAGCAGTTATTGATACGTCGACCATGTTTGTTCTCCCTCACACCAGCTATGAGGTAGTGTGGGATTTGAGAACGGGAATGTGTTCGTGAACGCATTCCAGACTGCTCAAGTCCGACAAGAACCCATTCTCCGTCCATTCTCTGCACCGGAACACTGTTTCGAATACACCCTAGGGGTATTTAGCAAAGGGAGGAAACCCGAGGACCCGGCGAAAACCGACAAGGCTGAACAGGCGACCCTATTCCTAGTCACATTCAAGTGGGGAATCACATAATAATGGCCTATTTCAAATAAGATATTTGCATATAAAGAAAGTAGGCTTACAGCCTCTTCCAAATGTGATATTTGCATATAAAGAAAGTACAAACTTAAATCGTCAGTGCTGGATAAACTAGCCAAAGGATTTGGCTGAATCAATTGGCGCTAAACTTCACCTAGTTTATCCACTGACATACGCCCGAATCAAACATGTTTGATATATTTGGCCGAATTGTATTTGAGTGGTGTGTCTGCTTCGCCGAAGCATTCGTCTGATTTTAGAATTCATTAGCCAATCACCACTCATTCATATCGAGTGGGTATCGCAAACTAGCAGTCGAACTGTGACACGGGTGCTACAGCCAACAAATTCCAACTACCATACTATCGGCTTAAATGCACGCCAATGGGACCTCAGGTTTTGTGTTCCATTGAAACGACTAGAAATGAAATGAAATGGGGTTTAACGTCCTACTGTTTTGCTCCGAACTGGGCTAATGAAGACAGGCATACACCACACAGTGTGCTATGAGGGAAATTTTGCCCGGACAGCGGCACTGCGGTGTATCGAATTCCAACTGTCAAGGGATCTTTTACGTGCACGCCAACGTGTACACGGGACCTTGTTTTTTCATTTCATCCGAATGACTAGACAGCTGTCCTTGTCAGGCCCTCCGTCCTGCATCACTGACAAGGGGGAACCACGCCGGGAAATCTGGGTGAACTTTCTCGGCCAATGCAGGGATCGAACACCCGACCTCCAGGCTAGCGAGCCAGCGTCTTACCCACTTAGCCACCATGACGACTAGGCATGGAATCCATGCTGAAAAATTTAAATGAGCTTTCTCGGTCAACACTGGGAGCGAACCCGCAACCTCCCGGGTACCAAGCCAGTGCCTTACACACTAAGCCACATGACTCTCTTCTAATTACTGTGACAGTCCAGTCACATGACAAACAAGGGTTATTAAAACAGATTTTCAAGGCTTGGGTAAGATCTTCGGGATTCAAATGGTTTTAGATATCACACAGTTTGTATATGGTAAGGTATCTTAAACAGTTTATTACATGTCACATATTCATATTTTTCAGTTTCCATATTAGATGCCATAGCAAATCAAAGATCATATAATAAAATAAGTCAAAAAACCCAAATATGGAAAAAGAAAGAGCTGAAGAAATGGTGATTTGAGCACCTATGCCTTCTCATAGGTGTTTTTGGAGGGTGAGTGTTCAATTCTAATAGAAAAGATTGTTGTTATGGTATTTTAGAATCTCACCATAATGTGTTTGGCACAATATATCCCGGTTGGAGCTGATGTGACATAAACCTCCATTTCATTTTATTGTTTTGAAATTTAAAATTCAGTTTATTATAGTAAATTTGTACACGTACATGTATGTGCACAAACAGAATCTTACTTATGTCCAGATACATGTAGATATGACTGTCTCATCTGTCGGGGACCACGGTGGCCAAGTGGGTTAGACACTGGCTCGCATATTTTAAGGTCGCGGGTTTGCAGTAAGACATTGCAGTACGGAGGACTGGGCTAATGAAGTTGGGCATATGCCATACAGTGTGCTACGAGAGAAATTTTGCCGGGTACCGTGACCTTAAGGCCTTCTCTTGTATCAAATTCTAACTGCCAGGGGATCTTTTACATGCACACCAATGTGTACACGGGACCTTGTTTTTTCATTTCATCCGAATGACTAGACAGCTGTCCTTGTCAGGCCCTCCGTCCTGCATCACTGACAAGGGGGAACCACGCCGGGAAATCTGGGTGAACTTTCTCGGCCAATGCAGGGATCGAACACCCAACCTCCAGGCTAGCGAGCCAGCGTCTTACCCACTTAGCCACCATGACGACTAGACAGGGAATCCATGCTGAAAAATCCAAATGAGCTTTCTCGGTCAACACAGGGAACGAACCCGCAACCTCCCGGGTAGCAAGCCAGTGCCTTACACACTAAGCCACATGGCTCTCTTTTAATTACTGTGACTCTCCAGTCACATGACAAACAAGGGTTATTAAAACAAATTTTCACGGTTTAGGTAAGATCTTCGGGATTAAAATGGTTTTAGATATCACACAGTTTGTATATGGTAAGGTATCTTAAACAGTTAATTACATGTCACATATTCATATTTTTCAGTTTCCATATTAGATGCCATAGCAAATCAAAGATCATATAATAAAATAAGTCAAAAAACCCAAATATGGGAAAAGAAAGAGCTGAAGAAATGGTGATTTGAGCACCTATGATTTCTCATAGGTGTTTTTGGAGGGTGAGTGTTCAATTCTAATAGAAAAGATTGTTGTTGTGGTATTTTAGAATCTCACCATAATGTGTGTGGCACAATATATCCCGGTTGGAGCTGATGTGACATAAACCTCGATTTCATTTTAATATTTTGAAATTTAAAATTCAGTTTAGTATAGTAAAACTGTACAGTACATGTATGTGCACAGACAGAATCTTACTTATGTCCAGATACATGTAGATATGACTATCTCATCTGTGGGGACCCATGGTGACCAAGTGGGTTAGACACTGGTTTGCATATTTTAAGGTCGCGGGTTTGCAGTAAGACGATGCAGTACAGGGGGCCTTACAAGGACAGCTGTCTAGTCGTTCAGATTGAACAAAAAAACGTGGTCCCGTGTACACATTGGCGTGCATGTAAAAGAGCCCCTGGCAGTTAGAATTTGATATAAGAGTAGGCCTTAGGTGTTACGGTACCCGGCAAAATTTCTCTCGTGGCACACTGTATGGCATATGCCCAACCTCATTAGCCCAGTCGAAGCTGAACAGTAGGACGCCAAACCCCATTTCATTTCAGTTTTTTCATTTTGTCTCATCTGTGACAAAGCAAACCAACACATTACAATACAATTTAATTAAATTAAAACTTTCGTCTATTTAAATATTGAATCGATTTAAGTCAACTAAAACATAGTATGTTGTTTTTCTCAGTTAACTACATCAGAAAGATCAAGACAGTTGGAAATGGCTATTCATATTATGGAAACTTTTTCTCACAGAGCTTGATAATCAGGTAAATGTAAGTAACATACATATTTGTATTTTTAATCATCAACTAGTTCTATACACTTGATTGGTAATCTAGTTATTCTTCTTGGGGCAATGCCTAGGACTCTCCTATTCAAGTCGTGGCATTCTTGATTTTTGACAATCACATCCATTGATTTTCTTCAAGTTGTGATAGACCCTATGTGTATTTTTACAGTAAATAGCAGTATAAAAATGGACAATATTTTACTTTTCAAATAGATTTTAATAGGTAATATCCAATTTGTTGTCGATGGAAATAAAATATAATAATCTGCCTGGGTCTGTTACTGGACAAGACACAATAAGTGTTACCCAAAGATGAAACAAAATAGAGACTCAGTCTCGATGTGGCAAAATAAATTGTTTATTTAAACATTGTGAACCATAAATAGTAAGAAAGTATTCTTATTGCCTACTTTTTTTTTTAGGCTGGAAGATTATTTGATGTATGATAACAACAAGAGATCCCAAGCATCAATTTATTTTATAATTCTGGAAAAGAATGCATTTGACCCAATTTTTGAATATTTTTTTTGTTTTTACTGTTAAATATTCATCCCAAACACAATTAGATTTTAATTCTCTACAGAAATTTATGTATAATATAGAATGTAAAGTGACATATAAATCACTTAGAATTTGGTCGGAAATCATAAAGTATTTAATAGGCATAGTCTAGAAACCAAATGTAGATCAAATATACATTAAGGTGACTTTCCCTTGCTTATGAAATGAAATAGGGTTTAATATCCTACTTTTCTGTGTTATTATGGTGATTCTGCCCTACAACCTACTCTTATATCAAATATTTCAACTGTCAAGGGTTGTTTAAAGGCAACCCAGGAGGGCCGAATGGTTAACACAAGCACATTGGATCAGAAGGGTCTGTCATTGAGTCAGATAATTCAATTGTCAAGGGTTCTTTAAAGTAAACGCAGTGGGGGTAGTTTCAATTCTGGGCTTATACCCACGTGTGGGAACTATGTCGGAAAATCCAGTTGCAATTTCTCGGCCAATGCACTCACTGAACCACAGTGGCTCCTCCTTGCTTTTGACTTGTGATTATTTATATATATGTTGTACATATTATTTAATGTTTGCGATTTTCTCTGATATTTTTTTATTTTTCAATCCTGTAATCTTGATGCTTTGCTCCTTTTATGTACAAAATATTCATTTTGTTTGAGGAAAAGGTTCTACATCATTTTATTACTCCTGCAAAATAGTGCATTTTTCTTTTGTTAGTTTTCTGTGTATGCTAGTTATTTCTAGATGCCTCACAAATCACTTGTAATATGACTTTGTAGCACTTTTCAGTTTCTGAAAGTATTTCAATTTAGTGCATAATTAATCTAATTAGGGCTTGGTTTGGATGTTATTAAATTTAGATATATTTGAATTATATATTTTTGGGGTATGGGGTAGGGAGCTTTCTTTTCTCAGTTCTTGTTTTTGGGTAAAGAAAAAATTAAATAGCTATTTTGTATTTTGTGATGTGGGGGGGAGGGGGGCAAAGTATAACAACATTTTTATTAGTATTAGAATGATGTCTATTTAGTTTTGATTTGGTGGTGTTAATTTACTTTTTCCTATCATTTTATGAATAAATGATAATTTAACAAATAAAATTGTTGTTACCTCATTTATCAAACTTTACAGGTTAAACAGAGCAAAAGGGGTGGGGGGGGGGGCTGCATGGGAAAGATTGCTAAATTGAAGGAAAATAAAACACAAGTTTGTGTTGGTGGTTATACACAAGTTTTTATGAAACCACACAAGTTTCAGAAATTTCAACACAAGTTTCAGAAATTTCAACAGAAATTTCAACACAAGTTTCAGAAATTTCAACACAAGTTTCGACACAAGTATTGTGTAGATTTTCACACAAGTTTCAACACAAGTTTGTGTTGTTTGGTAAATTTTAACACAAGTCTTGTGTTGTTTCAACATTTAACACAATTTTGTGTTGTTTCAACACAAGTTTGTGTTGTTAAATAGAGACACCTAACTTGTGTTGAAAACAACACAAGTTTTTTTTCAGTGAAGATACCTAAAAATAGTGTCATATGCCCTTTAACTATTCCGTTAAACCATTAACTAATCTTTTACAGTAAATATTTTACAATCATTTATATACCATTATATTATCAATGGACATAAAGGACAGTGAGGACATTTTATAATGGGGAGAGATTGGGGTTAACGTCCACTCGACACAAACTAGTTCATTTCGGAACTAACATACGGTTCAATGTTATTTCAATAATTCGCTTGTGCGTAGGTGTCTTTAGCAGTGGGTGGAAACCGGAGGACCCGAAGAAACCCACCATGTTGGACAGGTCACCCTACTCCTTGTTACGTACAACCGATGAATCGAAACCACATGCGCGTGCTAACCATTCGGTCATCCAACCCGCCTTGTTTAAAAGGAGCTGTGACATTATGTGTTTAACCCTAATACAACTCTTTGCATTTATGAGAGAGAGAGAGAGAGAGAGAGAGAGAGAGGGGGTGTTAACGTCCAGTCGACACAGCCTAGTTCATTTCGGGACTTACATACGGTTCAATGTTATTTCAATAATTCGCTTGTTGTTAGGATCGTGTCTCGTAAAGTGGGGAATCGAAACCATGCCACTTGACTCAATGACAAACCTTATGATCTAACGCGCACGCGTTTAACCATATTCGCTCCCCATCTTTCAATTATTTTAGAAACTGAATTGATATTAACTCAACTTACCTCTTCAGAGTAGGTCAAACAAATAAAACTTTTAGCGGTATTCTGTGAATATCGATGGGTTAGAAATTTGGGAAATTTGTTATTGTTGAAATTAAAACGGTTGGGTACAAAATCTCTAAACTGTGTGAACCAGACTGTCACCTTCCCTGCTGAGAAATATATAAATATGTTAATATCACCACATGAATGCGGTGGTTTTCTTTGGTATACACAGTCATGCCTGACCGTTGGTGACATGGGGTAATAGCTTATTGCGCACATCTAACAATACTAGACTCTTTCTATAGGCCTTTAAGAATAGACAGCTATTCGCGATGTATATTCGAGAATAAAGATCAAATATCGCCTTTATATAAATTCGTTTGCTTTCCTTATCTGGTTTTATTTGCCCATATTTTCATATGTACGTATATTGTCGTCGCCCCTATTGTTGATAATCTACAGGTCATGATATTTATCCGATTTTGACGAAGTCTGAAATATAGATCTCAGTTCCTTTCGATGGATCATTCCTCCTTATTGTACGTAAATCACTCTAGATTTTATTCGATAGTTTATAACCCAACGATCTCGGTGGGTTCCTTTCGATATACGCGCATATCGGGCCGTAACTGTCTTGATTATGGCCCCTTACTGTAAGAAAAATGTCCTTTGCAGGCTGTGTACCCTCTAGGGGTCACAATTTTTATCAGATTTAAAAACTCGTTCGAAATATCAACGTTACACTATAATGATGGTTAAGTTCAAATTTCGTGAAAATCGGACCGAAACTGCCCGACAAAATGGCCGCTCCTTGAACGCAAACAGTGTTAAAGTATGTGATATTAAGGTTGTGAATCCTCTAGAGGTCAAAATTTTGATCCGATTTTGATGAAACTTGCATTACATGTTTATACCCCAAAGATCTCTATTCTCGCATATCAGACCGTCACGTCATGAATTATGGCATCAACAACCCCCATCTCGTGATCTCACATCGATCTCACCCAACCTGAAATCCTCACGTCATACTATCGACCCAATGTGTCTGGCAACGGTTTATATCCTACCCCCAAATACTACCGTCAAATAATAAATTAAATGAAATGGAGTTTAATGTCCTACTGTTTGGCTCCAAACTGGGCTAATGAAGATGGGCATCCGCCAAACAATGTGCTATGAGGGAAGTTTTGCCCGAACAGCGACACTACGGCCTACTCTTATATCGAATTCCAACTGTCAAAGGATCTTGTACCTGTACGCCAATGAGTACACGGGACCTCGGATTTTCGTCCAATCTGAACGCCTAGACAGCTGTCCTTGTCAGGCCCTCCGTCCTGCATCACTGCATCATCCAAAATCATTAATTATTTCCTGACGAATTTGTAACTGATTCACCTCAAAATCTATTGCTTTTTTCGATCTACTAACCGGATGTCAGTGATCTAAATATTAACAGTATCCTAGATTCACTCGACACAGGCCGTTGATCGAGAAGTCGACATTAAATTTCTAGACAAAGGGGCTTAAAAGCGTATGGAAGTGGAAATGGGTGGAATGGGAGGTAGAAAGAGAGCTATGTATTTACATTATAATTCAGTCCTTCATGTTTAAGGGGAGCCTTCGCTCCTGCTCCTTTCGACGCACGTCGGCTTTCCTTCGAAGGAGTCATTAAAGACTCCAGCAAATTAGCTAAATCGCTCTCCTAAATATTGAGATTAATAAACTACTTTCAGTTTTTGTATACTTTTAAACTGCATATCTTCAAGGTATCAGGAGCTTTTTATGGCTCCCGCACAATTTTATAAACATGAAGGACTGATAATTCATGAGAAAATTCAGTTTGCTTTTAAAATATTTAGAATAGAAACCGGGCCCCGACTTAAGTTAACAATTTACTCAAAATTGTTTGCCTTATTTTAACTAAAATATAGCTCTTTATAAATCTTTTGTTTTAATGTATCAAATACATCAAAAATAAACTATGTGTAAAGTTTTGTGTTTCTAGATCAAAGTTGTTTCTCATAAACAATGATTAAAAGTTGAGTAAATTAAGTTTGAGATTGATTTGTGAACTCGGGGCCGGATTGGTTAATTGCAATCCCTTTGCAGATGTAGATGCTGACTAGAATATGATATTCTTGTTATCCATGGATGGCCAAATGGTTAGCGCGTGCACGTTGTATCATAAGGCCTGTCATTGAATCAACAGGTGTGGTTTCCATTCCCGGTTGTACGTGACAAGGACTAGTGTCGCCTGTCCAACCTCGTGGGTTTTCGCCGGGTCCTCCGGTTTCGTCCAAGCTAAAGTCCCCTACGCAACAGCGAATTATTGAAATAAAGTTGAACCATATGTTAGTCCCGATATGACCTAATTTGTGTTGAGTGGACGTTCAACCCCCATCTCCCTTTAATTTGTAGTAGGATCGATGGTACGAAATGTTACCCACATGGTTTATTAACAGTCAGAATATTGCGATAGATACTGTTAAGGATATCTTCGCTATGTATGGTGTCAATTTGATCTCGGTGGACCAAATATTAATCCAAGTTGACTGTACTGAAAATTCGCATGGCCGACATATAAATTCAATACATTATTACGAGACCTTTTCGACAAACAATGTCATTTGCCTGACTCATATTAATTCTTTAAATGTTGTGCTGACTATTACAGACCGTCATTAATTTCCCAATTCCCATTGACTCCAATGTTAATTCTGGCTCTTTGCCCGGCTCCAACTTTTTGTGGAGCTGAATGATTTTCACCACAGACAGCGAACCAAATGGTCATGTCTTTGCACCAAATTTTGAGAAACGCAAACTTGAAGTAGCATACTAAATGCATGTATCTTTTCGCCGTACATATCGCCGGAACCAACCATGATGAATGTTAATAACAAGTCTCCTCTTCCATTCTAGACTAAACAAGTGTGATCGTATTATGGACCAGGAACTGACAATGTTGTCAGATGGAATTCAAAAATCTAATTCACCAAAATTGTGCAAAGAACAAGCGAGCCCCTTTCCATGTCGATCAGACTTGACGGTGAAATTTAATGATCATTTTCTACCAGGTTAAGCATAGTGATAAACAATTTAGATTGGTCAGTACCTCTGAGAACACTGTACTAGCTTTGGGTATAAATGAAGGAGGGGGATGCAACTGGGTGTTTCATTACTGCATCAATACCCTGACTACGTTCGATTATTTTAATTACCTGTCAATGCTTAGTATTTCTGATTTCAATCAGAAAATCGGGTGTTATTTTTAGATTACAGTAAAATACTCTAGCTTTTTTGCTCTATTTATGCCATTTTCCAGACCAAATGCAAAGACAAACAAACTGGTAATATCAAACTGTGCTAATTTGAGTCTAACTGAAGAAGGGTGGTGCAACTTGGTATTTCATTACATCAATACCTTAGTACTATTGATTCAAATCAGAACAAATCAGAAATCGGGTGTTATTTTTGGATTACAGTAACATTTCTCTAGCTTTTGTGCTATATTTATGCCATATTTCTCTGCCATTAAAATGCAAAGACATACACACTTGTAACATTATTATATTTTATTGTTCTAATCAATATCTAAGACGAACAAGCGCCTTGTGATTTAATGTGCAGGGTTCGGTGTGTACATCTTTGTTTCTCAAATTCACACCTGAAAAATTAAAGATACATTATGTAAGATTCTTATTATAATAGCTCAAAAATAGATAATGTAAAATGAAAATTTAATTCAATTTACTTCATTCTGAGCCAAGTTATCACCGTTTGTAGTTTTGACAAGATGTGTATATTGTGGTAACCAGGGCACTGTTATATTCGAGACTTAACCCCGCTTTCCCATTTTTAAATTAAATTTTTAAACGGCGAACAGTTCTAATCTAGTTAAAATCTCCAGTATCCGATGCCACCGAGAGTTGATTATGGTCCTGCTTTGTTAATAAATGACTAATTAATAGTTTATATAACATTTCAGGCCCAAAGAAAGACCTGCGTTAGGTAGATTTAGCTCTTGCATAATGTATGTTTAAATGCCACATTCCGTTTTTTTAATGTTAAATTTTATTCATTAATAGATGATCTAGGCAAATAACATCAGTAATGTTGAACTCCATATAACCACCCAGGAGAAAACGTTTCAGAAACAATGTTGTTTTAGGCAGAATGAATACAAAAGTGTGGTACCAGCAAACCATTCTATAATTGGAAGTCGAAATAGACATTAGTGCAGAAAATTCGGACTTTAAACCCAATTTTATTATATCGTTTATCAAACAAATTTAATAACGGATCAATACGTACGGTGCAGTTCGCTGGTGTGGGTCGGGTCGTGGCGGGGGATGGGCGGGATGATGGGGATACTACTAATAATATCTAATATTATACTTACAAGTTTTGATAAGTGACATTATCTGATGCACAGACTTCATCAACCGTTGTTGGACATTCCTGATGTGAAAGTTGAACACAGAGATAATCTAAAACTGCTTGATCACCATCAAAACCAGGCAAGGTCTGGTTATTGCTGGTTGGTGTACAGCTACCATAATGGGCTATGTCTGCATGAATCCCTTGACATCTAGCTTTAGTATAGTAACATCTGTACATATACCAATAAATTCAGATTAGCATTTCTAAGCAGCCATTAAAAATGATTAATCCTCACAAATTGGCGTAAAAATTTGTGGTTTCGAATTAAAATTAGTAGTAAACAAGTTAAAATTCGGATAGTAATTATGTATAGTAGATGGTCTGACGTAAAAATGTGTCTGAGAATGCTTTGTGAACTCGGGGCCAGATGTCACTAATGGAAACATTACATAAATAAATAAGATTGGGCCCTTTCTGATTTTATAAATATTTATCCAAAAACTATTATTCTTTGAAGAAATTCTTTACATTTTGTATATATATATCTATATATCTATATGTAGAATTCCTGTATTTATAACACCTGTATTTATAACACCTGCGGCCTTGTCCGTCAATACTTCACAATACCTCGCCCCTCCCTCTAATCGCTGAGTAATGCATATATATCATGATCTGATATTTCTAGTTTAATTGATATGGGAAGTGGCATGGTATGGGAGGTGGCGCACTTGAAAGGTTACCAGTGAAACCCGACAGCTTGACTTCTCATTCTAATTGCACTTATTTTGGTTGAATGTCTATTAATATCTAATATTCAGTACGATCATAGGCACTTAAGTATTTGAATTGTGTCTTTCATTCTGTAACGAATTAAAGCAAGGAATACGATTATGGTCAACGCTAATGGGTACTTTTCCGTGCGAAGAACCCGACAAAAACAAACGGAAAAGCCTAAAACTGCGACCACCTCATTTAATTGCCGAAATACGACGTAGATTAACATATTAAATCAGGTACACGGGGCTGCATGAGAGAGGGGGAGGGAGGGAGAGAGAGAGGGGGGAGGGGGCGGTAACGTCCATTCGGGTCACCTAGAGATAAGTAAGTTCCTATAAAAGTGGAAGAGGTGCTATGTATTCAGAACAACCTACTGGTTATCGTAGGTAACACCATCTGTACCACACTGCAAGTCTTTAGGATCCAAGTCACAGTCTCTGTTTGATAATATTCTACAATAGAAAGATCCGAAGTGGCCACTAAACTGACAATTGGCAGCAACTAAAAATATAGAAAGCATGGTGTTTCAATCATGTTTAAATCGTTTTCCGTTTATAACAAATCCATGATATTTAAAGCAACTTTGCTACTACTATGAAGGAAGCATAATATTTCAATCATATATTTAATGTCCTTAAACGTTTTCGTTTGATTTTTGTCTATTTCCCCTGGAGGTCGGTTGTTCGATCCCTGCATTGGCCGAGAAAGTTCATCCAGATTTTCCGGCGTGGTTTCCCCTTGTCAGTGATGCAGGACGGAGGACCTGACAAGGATAGCTGTCTAGTGGTTCGGATGGGACGAAAAACCGAGGTCCCATGTACATATTGACGTGCACGTAAAGGATCCCTTGGCAGTTGGAATTCGATATAAGAGTAGGCCGTAGTGCCGCTGCCTGGGCAAAATTTCCCTCATAACACACTGTATGGCGTATGCCCGTCGTCATTAGCCCATTTCATTTAATTTAACCCGGTCGGGGTCTTAGTCGGTGTCTATATAATAGACACGTGAACATGCAGCTCTGCCAGATTTACTTACAATGATTCATTGATAAGATTACTAGCGAGACAGTATAGACTATATTACTATGTCACGTCTCATATTATTATGCGACGTTTGTGTGCTCCAGCTCGTCTTGGTTGGATCACTTAAATCTATTTTGACTGTCCCAAGGAGCGCTTTATATACTATTCAAAAAAGTAGGGGATATTTGATTTTGGGGGCATAATACTAAAATATGCAAATGACTACGAAAAAAGTCACTATAGAACCTAACGGAAAAAACATTTCCAGTTACATGTGACGCCCAAACGCACCAATAGCTACCGCATGGAATGCAGGTGATGCTTGGGATCATCATGGGGGTCCAACCCAAGATTTGCACGACTCTGACTTTGAATGTTACAGTCATTGTGGCATTGAATTCCAGGGTGGAAACATCAGTTTAATTGTTTTAGTGACCAGAACACAAATTTTGATATGCGTCGGCTTACCCAAAATGAAAGGTTACGTGCCCTTGGCATGCTACAGATCGGCACAACACAGGCGGTTGTGGCGCGGACGATGAATGTTTCTCAGTCTGTCATAAGCAGGCTATGGTCCAGATACCGTGATACACAATCTGTACAGGACAGACCACGCTCAGGTCGACAACTCAAGCCCAGGATCGATTTATCCGTACCTTGGCCTTGAGAAATCGTGCCATCACAGCAAATCAGATCAGCGCTCGTCTTCAAACAGACACTGGTGTGAGAGTGAGTGGCCAGACGATTCGGAATCGACTGCATAGGGGTCACCTTCGCGCCCGACGTCCTCGCGTGATCCCTTGTTTGAGAGATCATCACATTCAGGCAAGACGTCGTTGGTGTAGGGATCGTCAACACTGGGATAATCGACGCTGGAGCAATGTGATGTTTTCAGATGAGTCAAGGTTCACTGTTGATTTTTTGGACAGACGTAGGAGGGTGTGGCGTCGTCGAAACGAGCGCTTCCAAGACGTTAACGTCATCATACATGATCGATTTGGGGGTGGTTCTGTTATGGTGTGGGGAGGCATCACTGTTGCTGGAAGAACGGCTTTACATGTTGTTGCAGGGCGTGTTACAGGCCAGTACTACCGGGACAACATCTTGGCAGTCCATGTTGTGCCGTTCGCACGACGTCATGGCCGCCGTTTCATCTTCCAGGATGACAACGCAAGATGTCACAGGGCCAGGATCGTTACAGGTTACCTCCAACAACAGAACATAACCACATTACCTTGGCCATCACTGAGTCCCGACCTCTCCCCCATCGAGCATGTCTGGGACATGCTTGGACAGAGGTTACGTCAACGTCAACAACGTCCTGCCAATGTCCAAGAACTTGCTGCTGCGTTGCAACAGGAATGGGACAATCTGAACCAAAATGAGCTTAGACGTCTCATTAGGAGTATGCCACGTCGGATCAATGCTTGTTTGGCAAACAGAGGAGGATTTACCCGTTACTGACTTGGTTGTGATGCTGTGGTAACTTTGCTGTTTGACCCCGGGTATCATTTTACCCTTATAATGGTCAGTCTGTGCCTTACTTAGTCTAACGATCATTTGGAATAAATCGATGAATGTGAACTTCATTTCATTTTGTCATTTGTTTCTTCGTCAGTTTCATTAGGTGACTTTAATAACACTTAAAAATCAAATATCCCCTACTTTTTTTGAATAGTATATTACAGATTTTTGTTTAACATATTCAAAGATAAATCGTTTACATGTATAAGAAAATAAATTAAGTAGTTTACCTGATAGTGCCAGCAATAATAAGATAGTTCGCGACATGACCCCGTGTCCTGTATGTATGAAGTGAAAAGACTATTTGTCTATTTACTGATTATAGTTTTAAGATAAGAGATTGGCAGAGATGTGTTCCCACAAGGGATGGTCAGTGTATGTTGTGGTCAATTACACGTAAGTGGCCTAAAATAACGGAAGAGTGGCGAACATTGATATCAACTGTTCCTTCAAACTTGATGTATTATGCCGTCAGCAGTGAAGAGCTAGATGGGAAGTTTCACACAGTCCATCGAAGAGGGGATTCAGTATAAAGCATGGGCGCAAGTTCACAAAACATTATCAGGCATAAGTTAAGAATTTACTCAAAATTGTTGGTCTTATTTTAACTAAAATATAGCCCTTTATAAAATTGTTGTTGTTTTAATGCATCAAATACATCAATAAGGAACTATGTGTAAAGTTTTGTGTTTCTGGATCAAAGATATTTCTCATAAACAGTGATTGAAAGTTGAGTAAATTCTTAACTTAAGTCTGAGAATGCTTTGTGAACTCGAGGCCTGTTTTCTAATGCAAGAGTTTCACCGGTTACAGTTACATAGACACTGTCCCATTACATTTGCATTATCCCGACTTTTTCTCCGGCAACAACGCGTACATGGAGAATGGGCCTTAATTCTATATGTCATGTATTTGGCGATTCACTCCATTAACGTCTAGGTCTTTCAGAACACACGTGTCGTCGGTTGTGATTGGTAGATTGGACTAAACATTCCGCGGATTACTGAACCGGCCTTGTGAAGAAATATATTCATACCATGATCAGATGCAAACAACCGTTTGCTTCTGAACAACTAGTGTCAATGAACTCCGATAACTGAAGGGGGTTTCCCTTTGTAGTCTTAAAGACAGTTGAAAGTTTTGAGGTTTTTTTTAAAAAAAAGGTCAGTTGGAGAACACAACACATTTTTTCTAATAATGTTTATTTGATATAATTAAATATACAGAATACGTTCCTAAAATTTAGTGGGAATGACATTATACAGGACAGGCTTGATAGGTCTGGATATTAAGGGTGTTGTCGTCACATCGTGCTTGTTCAAAAAGGCATCTGTAATAAGACGGGGGAGTAATAGATAATAATGTTTGCGAAAAGCAAGGCTGTAACTATCTAAGTCGAAGAACGGGGTATTTTACGTTACAGAATCAAGCGGATTCTATTTTCCCCATGGTAATAAACATTAGTCAGCTGCACCCATCCGCGCTTCTCACGACAGACAATTTTAAAGAGAGAGAGAAATGGGGTTTAACGTCCACCCGACACAAACTAGGTCAATAATTCGTTTGCGCGTAGGGGTCTTTAGCAGTGGGAAGACCTGGAGAAAACCCACGAGGTTGGACAGGCGACCCTACTCCTTGTCATGCACAACCGGGGAATCGATATCCCGCCAGTTGGCTCAATGACAGACCGTATGATACACGTGCTTCCCCCTCCCCCGCAAAGTTTAACTCCATGTTTTAAAAGTATATACTGTTATATACGTAAATTAGATGAAAAGAAATACTTACAAATTATCATATGTTATCATGTCCGTTCCACAAACGATTTCCAGATCAGTTCCACACTGTATATGTTTTAGATTGGCACAGAAGAATGTGTAGACCAGATCGCTACCATGAAGATTAGGATCAGGTTTATCAACGGTGGGATCACAGGTACCATTGTGGGAGAAATGAAGATCTGGTTCAAGACAATGGGCTTTAGCAAATTCACATCTACAAATGTAATAACATTTTACAGCTTCATGTAATTTAACGATTTCTATGGAGACCTTATCAATATAGATAATGCAAATGGAATATACTGAAAGTTCTGCGCAGATTGTCCAATTTTTAATTAAATGATTTAACTTGCGATCGTGTTTAAATCTGTTGAAAATCTCGGAGATCCGTTTGTCTAGAGGGTTGATTATGGGATTGGCATGTGAAGAAATGTCTTACTAATAATTTGTATAAGAGTAGGCGGTAGCACCGCTGCCCGGGCAAAATTTTCCTCATCGTACACTGTATGGCGTTTGCCCGTCTTCATTAGTCCAGGTTAGGAGCAGAACAGTCAGACGTTAAACCCCATTTCATTTCAATAATTTGTATACCATTTGAAGCTAATATAAATTCTGCAAGAGGGAGATTTGGCATTTATATAATGTATTCTTTATACTTCTTTGACTGCAGTCTTTATCCTCAATACATATAGACATCGACTGACAGCATATTCAGATATCCCGTGAGAATTGTTTCCAGAAACATTCATCATTGAGATATTTTAAGAGAAACACATTTTACTCTATATCGATTTTAACCCAGTCGCCATTATAAAACTAAAAATACCACATAATTTTTTTTTGGTCTCCTAGGTGACACAACTATTCTCAGAGAACATAATTATCTTTAATATGGTCACCTAGATTTAATTGTAAAGTTCCCTACTTTTAATTTCATATTTAGATCAGGACCCTTATATTTACTAGAAACTAAACTGGCCATGCTCTTTAATTCGTACCAGATTTGGAATATGTTAGCTACTGTGTGTTTTGAACCATAAAGTATGACTTTTGAAGGTATCACCACAAAACAATTGAATTAGAAAGGACCATTGCTGTCTCTTTTCTTCAAAACTGACCTATTTTTGTAGGTTTTGGCATCAGTAGCACACTGTATATGATCAGCGAATATAGTACAGTCGGCACCAGCTAAATATGCGCACACTGAGGTACCATCATTCTGTTCACCAGCATCTAATTGGCCATATGCAGCCACTGTAACAGTAATGTTGACAGGAAGGTAATACAAAACAGAAAAACAGATTAATTCAGCGTATTAGTAAATCTCGACCCCACCCCCACCCAAAAGAAATTATTTTGGCTATTGGACAGAAATGGAGTTTAACGTTCACTCGACAAAAACTCGGTCATTTCGGTACTTACGCAGTGGGGAAAACCCACGATGTTTGTCCTGCGATCCCACACCTTGTCACATATTACCGGTGAATTGAAACCTCGCCATTTAACTAAATGACTACCGCCGTAAACCCTACGGTCACTTAAAGCGCAAATGGCAAATTTTCAAGTTATATTTTTAAAATAAGATGGTATCCATAAACAGTCCTACCTTGTTAAAGAATAATCCTATTAATCGTATAATTCGCTATTGCCAGCTGAGAAATTGGCAAAAATATCATTTTTAACTTCCAATTCCAACTTTGGAAAATGGCTGCCCCATGGTGTCAATAGCAGAACAGGGGAGGTAATTGTGTTATTTCCTGTGTCATAGATTCTTAAGGGTGGGAAATAATGCCCATGATCGTATAATAGTGATTTGATAAACTATTGAGCAAAAGACATAGAAATAATTATGTTTTGACTTTCTTAGAAAATTTGAAATTCTCGCTTTAACTTCCGTGATTCGACAGCATATAAAGACATGGATATGAATCTGCTTTCACAGGTTATCTATATCAGTATCTTAGTTTGAATCAAGGTTCGAAATACTAGTTTGGTTTTGTGAGTTGCAAAATCAATTTTCTTACCTGCCAGAAGACCAAGGAAGAGTGTAAGTTTAAACATGTTGTCAGATGTACAGATGGAAGTAAAAGATGTTTTTTCAAAAGTATAAACGACTGTCCGTTTTTTTTTTATCTATGTAGGTGTGTAATAAGGTCACGCGTGGGAGCACCCTGTCGCTGTTATAGATAGTAGTTAGTGCTGGAGAACCACATTAAACGCCAGACAAAACCGATAAGAGAGAAAAGAGGGGGGGGGGAAGAAGTCCACTGAACATAAACTAGGTCATTTCGGGACTAACATATGGTTCAATTTTATTTCAATAATCGTGCTTGTTAATCGAACAGTCAGGGCGGACATAGGCTTATGCTCTGTCATTTTGTAATCTCAAACACTGTGTAATAGCAAATGTTACCTATTTTACGTTCTGGGGGGAGTAAATGTGATTCTGTCGAGGTCAATAATATAGGCGGCAAATGGGCAAAACCAAACAACTATTGTTTGTACAGGTCAAGGTGTTATCAGCTTCGTCTTTATAAGAGGTGTTGGAGAATCGCTAATCCATCTAAACCGTACACTCTTTAATTAATACTCTTTCTACGTTAGGAGTTGACAGCCTAAGCTCTTCATGATCTTCTATATCATTGTAATCTGAAGAATTAAAGGAAAGGTCCTCCAGTTCATCAAGCTGCTTCACTACGAATGGCAAGCTTGCTTCGGCGATCTGCCCTGAACTGTTTATATTTCCCACTTTCTCCGCCACGTCCCTAATCCTGCTGTCAATCACGGTAATTACAAACTCTTGAGCACTTCGAAGCCACCTTCCAAGCGTAGCCTCCGCTGATGTGGATCTTCTGTTGAATTTTCCTCGCTGAATGAAAAGGACATTGGATTTCAAACTGTGTTTGTCTGCGCCGTACCTGGTGTGATGCCTGATCTCATTTGTCACGATTCTGCATTGTTGGGTCCCTCTAACGGATTTTACAACCATGAACGCCCCTGATATAGTCAATTGAATTCAGATCAGAGTAGTAACGAACTCCTGGTGCTGTCGGCCATAACGATTAGCTGTCAAAGGGGAGCGCAGTCATATGAAGTGCAAACCTATATATTCCTCTGTATATAAATGTATGTCATGTTCCTATGTCGTTATACCCGTGCTCTACCACCATCATGAACATGACAAAGTATCTCTGATCCGACCATTTAGTTTATTACCATGGTGCCATGTTCTAATGATGACGTCTTCGGCACTGTCATTCGTGCAGCATTACCGGCACGTGACGATAGGTCGCCTGGCAGGTCTTATAGCGCTATAACCGGCCAATTCGAGCTGCCTGTGACGATCTATTATGTGAGTTAAGGGTGGTCAGGTACCCATTCCCTTTTCTATATAGTGTTTGGCGCAAAAGGATGTGCTTCATCTCTTGCAGACATATTGCGAGAACGGCCACGTTCACATGTATATAGTTATTCACGTATTAAACTTCGTTTAAGCGCATACATTTTTCTCGCTGTGTATTTTGAGTTGTATAAGGATTTTATTTCGTTAAATATTACTGGCAGCACTGATTTACATATATATCTTTAGTTCAACTATTTTTTAATGTATTGTAAAAGAAAGGTTTACCGTTTCCCTTAATCTTAAATTGTGGATATACGGCTAAAGGCTATCTTGTTTAGGAAGGTCATGATATGATCGATTGTCGCATGGAAATCAAACCCCCTGCATTATGTTAACAATGCACAGGCGCCTGTAACGTGGAAAATATTTTACAAATAACACCAAGCTATGACTAAGTATATATCTAAAGTCTGATACATCTATATCAAATAACTGGTCTGATTCCGATTTTCTCTAACATGATCTTAGAATTACAATCTGATTGCAAATACAGATCTATATTTCGTTTCGTTTTGTTTATACTTTCAATGGCCTTACCACGTGAAGATCTGACCGGTTGTAGCGATAGGTCGCGTCAGAGGTCCTACGGGCGGCTTTTGACCCTATGACGCCAGACATTTGATTAACCAATCAACATTGATGCTACTAGTGGATTACCCATAGTTCCGTGGAAAACACCCCTAAAGCTCGCCGTAACAGACCGTTTCAATTGGCTAATCCCTCACACCATTCAGAACACGTCAATGATAACAACTCTTCCAGATCCTAGTGTACTAAAGACAAGTAAAACGAAATTTTGAACTATAAAAACGAAACGAAATAGGATCTGTGCTTTAATCAGATTGTTAAAATTGGAAATACTGTGGAAAGCTATGTGTTTTGGGGGATTTTTTTTATAATTCAATAATTAACAATAATATATGAATATGAATTATAGCTAATGCAAGAAATATATGAAGATAAACTTGTATGATTATGTTTATTGATATATATAGATATATTTTTTCTACACGTTACTGAAACTGACATTATACAGGACAAGCTTGATAGGTCTGGACTTGAAGGTTGATGTTGTCGCATCTTGCTTGTTCAAAAAGGCACCTGTAATAAGAAAATGAAATAAAATGGGGTTTAACGTCCTCCTATTGTTCTGCTCCGACTAGGCTAATGAAGACGGACATACGCCATACAGTGTGCTATGAGAGATTGTGCCAGGACCCAGACACTACAGCCTTCTCTTATATCGAATTCCAACTGCCAAGGAATCTTTTATCGGCCCGCCAATGTATACACGGGACCTTGATCTTTCGTCCCATTCGAACGACTATATGTTGTCCCTTGCCATGCCCTGTCCTCAGTCACTGACACGGGATCAAACACCCGACCTCCATGTTAACGAGCCCTAATTGCTCGCCAAATAAGAAACAATTCCTACAATAATTGAGACCACCAATTATCTGTTGTGAAACACACTGTTCGATCTATTTAACAGATAAAACAGTTTATTTCCGTGTTAAAGAGTGGTTTGTTTGATTGCCGGAAGTCGGACTCGTTCTAGTTTCAGATATCCCTCTGTGTCTTACAATGTTCAGTTATGAATCTATAATTCCCGGATGATGAGATAATCCATGATGGAGGACAAATTCTAAACCCATTTGTCTTCCGCTTATCAACACTTGTGCCTTTTCATCTGGCTTGAAGATGACCACATAATGAAAGCGCATACTGGCAAGACTACATCTGCAGTCACTATCACTGGAACGTTGATATCTTTGACTAAGCAACAAATAACTGTTATAAATGAAAATATACGACACAAATAATAGATCAAAGTCGTCAGTTTATATACATAATGTGTATTAGTCGGCTAATAAGTGTTAGTAATCAGGCAGTAGTCATTAAGTAGGTGTTAAAACTTTGACTATTGAATGATATACACCACTATTGCCCAGTTTTGTGTATTCAATAGTGATGGGTATTATAAATAGTCACACTTTTACATCAGTAGTCACATATTTTACAGCTAGTTAACCACCTGCTACTTAATGACAACTGTATAATTTCTATCCACTTTCTATACATACTAAACATTAGGTTAGAATACTGACCACTTATATGATTTAATGACACAAATTGTCATTACTAAAAGGCCGAGCTTCATTAATCAACGGTATCAGCTTACCAGTGTATATAGATGGTAATAGTGTGTAATCCTGCGGCTAATAGTAAGAATATTTCAGCCCGTTGTCGTCAGAGAATGGCCATATGTGGTTGTCATCTTGAATTTGACAATGGCTATTTGTTTTAGTGGCTAGATTGACCCCTACCATTCATCTGATAATTAGTAGTACAAAGCTAGATCTAATCTGTTTCATAGAAATATTGCAAGAGTCTTCTTAGAACTCTGTGTAAGATGACTGACTCGATAAGCGCGTGCATTGTTTACTTAACACGTTATTGCGTTAACTGGTCCGGGCAGAATGGTGGCTTTTACTCAATTTATATACCCATTTATTATCCAGATATATATACTTCAAACACCTTTGTTCATTTTTTTAATACTTACATAACATGTTCTAGAATTTGATTTCTAGAAGGAAACAAGTTAAATTGACTATGGCGGCATAGCGAACATTCACTGCTAATCAATCATTGTGAGCAAGTTCCTCGATGCCATTAACAGAATCCATATAATATTACGTCATTTGTGCTGGGCCGTCTTCGATATAGCGTTCTCACATTACCAAATTAGAGGAAAACGAATACTTACAAATTATCGTAAGTTTTGCCATCAGTACCGCATACGATTTCTAGATCCGCACCACATGTTTGATGTTTTAGATTGTTACAGAAGAATATGTAGACCAGGTCGTTACCATGGAGATTAGGATCAGGTTTGTCAACAGTAGGATCACAGGTACCATTGTGGGAGAAATGGAGTTCCGGTTCAAGACAATGAGCTTTAGAAAATTCACATCTAAAAATAAGATGACAATATTTTAAAAGAGCCCACTTTTTTAACACGATAACTCTGCTTTAAACTGGGTTAGATTGTTCCACTCTTAAGTAGGTGTCTCGTACTTAAGTCCTTACAAAGATGAGAATATTCTGCTAAAGTCTAAGCAGAACTACGCAATAGGATTAGTCGGTGCTAACAGAAAAAAGTTTCATTACATCAACACATTGATTCAGTTCGATGATGATCATTAAGTGCACAAGTTGAGCAGAGTGATTAGCAATGGATTGGCCGACTTTCGAACTCGATAAAATTGATAATATTTCAGTATGAGTGGTGAAATTTTGTGTATAGTTGTATTACTCCAGTTGCCAATCAATTTGATTGGTTGACTTTGAAGCCCAATAACCCTTCTGCTAATTTAGTTGGCGTGGTGCTAATGTGTGTATCGTTTCATTCCCTGGGCTAAGTTCAATGATCATTTTCTATCATTTGTTGATTGGGAGACTTTGAAGTCCGATAACTCTCTTGCTAATTGGGATAGAATGATCAAACTCAGTGTAGGTATTGGTTAGGAGAGGGTTGGTCCGATGATGAGTGTTTTAAATTATGGCTAAGCAATGATAAGCAGTTTGTTTCACTTGGTTGGAATGCGAACCTTTGAATTTAATTGGGCGAGACGAGGATTTTAGTCTCATTACATCAATACCATGACTAACTTTAATTGCGAAAATTATTTTCTGATACGGTGTAGTAGCCATAGTAAAGGTAGAATGTGCATTACCTTGACAGTGTTCGATAATGATTTTTTTTGTGCCCAGGTTATGCAGAGTAATAAACAATTTTTTGTCTCAAAATTATTAATGTTTTTTTTTAATTCGAGACATCTGTCATAAATTCTTTTTCTGGGCAATTGTGTAATATAATATTACAATCTATATTTACGAACCAGAAACTACAGTAGCGTGCATTTTTATATCTTCCCCAAAACAATTTGAATCATGGCTCATTCTATCTGACACTATTGTGCTCGAAAACAACAAGAGAATCATTGTAGAAACTTAGCTCCGATTAAAATATATTAATCGCTTTCCATAGAAATGTTATGTTCAATTACTAAATGCCTTTTAAGCAGTATATCGATTGCAGTCTGTTTTTCCTTAAAACTCACCTATTGTTGTAAGTCTTGGCATCAGTAGCACAAAATACATGGTCAGCGAATATAGAACAATCAGCACCAGCTATATATGCGCACACTGAGGTACCATGGTGGTGTTCACCATGATCAGTATGTAATTGGCCATAGACACTCACTGTAACATGAATATTTTCGAAAAGTTACTACGAAGAAGGTGAGAGAGAGATGGGGTTAAACGTCCAATCGACACAAACTAGTTCCTTTTAGGACTAAAATTTTATTTCAATAATTCGCTTACGCGTAGCGGTATTTAGCAGTGGGGGGGGGGGGACCCGGAGAAAACCCGCGAGGTTAGACAGGCGACCCTCCTCCTTGTCACGTACAACCGGGGAATCAAAACCACGCCAGTTGATTCAATGACAGACATTATGATACAGCGCGCATGTGCTAACCAATACCACGAAGAAGATAATAGATGGATTCACGCAAACGATTAATGCAGTGTTGAATTCCAAAGGATACCTACTGAATTTGTTCTGTTTTTGTTAAAGGCACACGTCGTGGGTAGCCTGAATGATTTTACGGGCTGATCATTTTCAGATTTAGAGCCACTGCCGTAAATATTAATGATGCCACAACTAATCAAAATGTAACGCGGTAGGTATTAAGGATTATACGTCCGTTCCCACCTTGGATCATATCTCAGACAACATTAATCTTTATATAATTGCTCTACACATTTGTTACTGTACTTGCTTGAAAACGTTGAGAGAATACTCTTCGAAACGTCGCCCAAATAAATCAGTAATTGTTCTTCCATAAGTTTGTGGTATAGTTTATTGCTCTATCCAGTTACTAAATGCCTCTAAAAGATCAACATTAATCTTGACCTAAGACAAGCATTTTAAAGCCTAGACGGGGTCGTTGTTTAATGATCCGTAACACAATTGATCTGTCCACTGGCTATAGTGTAGTAGCTGCTTCTCAACCATCGCCCAGCTTAAGTTTGGTCGTGCTCACTCGTGATGTAACTGGGTTTCTTGATTGATACATCGCCATCGGTCCATGAAAGCTGCCCAGTTCAAATCGCGGTTCGATACAGATTATATATAAATATATCCTAATATATACACACTTATCAAATAAAAATGTTTCAGATTACAAAATGAGCTTAATATTTCACAAAATGAGCTGAATATTTCATAAAATGGGATTAATTAATATTTCACAAAATGAGATGATTATTTCATAAACTTATCTTACCTGCGACAAGCACAAGACAAAGGGTAAGTTTAAGCATATTGTTGGGTGGCCTGTTGTACTACAATGTGTTGAAAAGAGTTAAAAGACTGACTCGATCTGTTTTATCTACGTAGATGTATGTAAAAGTCACGCGTGTAACTGGAACACCTTACTAGTTTTATAGATAAGAAATGTATATTTAAAACAAAGTCAAATTTTATCTTCGTAGATTGACTGAAATTCATTTTAAATTGCAGACAATCATAAGAAACAATACAACCATTTAAGGGTATAATTAAGTTATTCCCACTCGACACAAACGTGCGATTTATTTTTAAATTCAGACAGTTGCACGGAACGGGACACTCATTTAAAGGAATGATTAAGGTATTCGTGCAATCCAAACTGAACTGAATAAATCCTCGGATAAATAAAAACACCTCTCGGTTTAATTACAGTTTTATTGATGTAGTTTAGGTAGGACATGCTTGATATGTTGATATCTGTAGGTTGATATCATTACATCTTTCTTGCTCAAAGAGACATCTGAAAGAAACAACAGAAAACAGAATTAAAGCTGGATTTGAGTTTGCCAAGATTTGTTTCACAAAGAGGGGGGGTCACGTTAGCTGGGCGGGTAAGACGCTGGCTCGCTAGCGGAAAGGGGTATGAATATATTGTTATTATTTATGATATCCAAACATCGATTATATCTGATAATTGGCTTGTCTGTAGAGTTATATATAAAACGAGATAAGATACTGTCTTGTATTTAAAAAAGGGAGCCACAGTGGCCAAGTGGGTAAGACACTGGCTCGCTAGCCTGGAGTTCAGGTGTTCGATCCCTGGATTGGCCGAGAAAGTTCATCCAGAATTTCCGACGTGTTCAGCTATGCAGGACGGAGTGGCTAGACAAGGACAGCTGTCTAGTCGTTCGGGTGGTACGGAAAACCGAGGTCCCGTTTAGACATTGGTGTGCACGTAACAGATCCCTTGTCAGTCGGAATTCTAAATATAAGAGTAGGCAAAATTTCCCTCAGCACACTGTATGCCCATCTTCATTATCCCAGTTCGGAGCAGAACAGTAGGACGTTAAACCCCATTTCATTTCATTTCCCAATTAAAACACTGAAACAATATATAATTAGTCTACATTTATACAAACCATAACACCCTCCAGGAAAGCAAGCCAACATCTTACTTACTGTGCCACAAGATAATTGGACAGAAATGGGGGTTGGTTTAAAAATATTTATTTACCATATATTACATACTGTATACAATACATAATAATTTATTTGGATTGGGAAACAAGAAATGGGGGTTACGATCTGGGGGCCTAGCGAATATTCACTGCTGATCAGTGAGTGTGAGACAGGTCCTCGATGACATTAACAGAGAAAGAGTGAGATGGGGTTCACTCAATAACAGACCCTATGATACAACGCTCACGTGCTAACCATTCGGCCATCCATTAACAGAGACACGTTACCAAATTATAAGAAATCTAATGCTTACAAATTATCGTAAGTTTTCCCGTCAGTACCGCATACGATTTCTTGATCAGTACCACATGTTTGATGTTTTAGATTGGCACAGAAGAATGTGTAGACCAGATCGTTACCATGGAGATTAGGATCAGGTTTGTCAACTGTAGGATCACAGGTACCATTGTGGGAAAAATGGAGTTCTGGTAGAATACAGTGAGCTTTAGAAAAATCACACCTGAAAAAGTTATTTTTTTAAAAATCGAATGTTGTCAAAACGGTGTTGTTTCTGCATTAAACATTTTTGATGGAATATAACATTCAAAACCCAACAACGTTTCTACTCAAATCAAAACCTAAAAACTTATCTGCTCAGATCAAGACTATGATGAGGGGTGTTCACTGAACTATTACATCCCAATATATGTTCTAATGTCCGCAACTTGTTCGTAATATCTAACTCAGCATTGGATCGGCATCTTCGTCTCCAATTTTCCATGCATAGACGAAGACGGCTGGAAGAAAATAATTTAGTTATACGGCTAGGGGGCGTCCAGAAATGTATTTTTGTTCATAACCTTACCATTTCTCTAACTCGGCATTTGATCGACCTTCTCGTCTCGTCTCAATTCACTTATTTAAACACTCATACAAATATGAATTCGTACTACATTGAGTAAAATAGAGCACAATACAATTCTAACCACCGGCGAGGTACCCCCAGAGTTCTGATGTCCCTTTAAATATGTACAAAACTCACGCATATTTAATACATCAAAGCTCTTGCAATTAAAGTATATCAATTGTGATTTCATAAATGATACCAGCGGCTGCCAGGCAGGATACGCCCACATTGTCGAGAGATGGATAGAGAACAAGCTAAAAAGAAAGTGATTTTTCGTACAATAAGGAGCCATAATTCAGGAAGTTACTGTCCGATATGCGCGAATATCGACAGGAACCGAGATCTTTGAGTTGTAAACTTACATTTCAAGTTTCATCAAAATCGGATTAAAATTGTGACCTCTATAGGTTCCACATACCATATTTTTACGCTATTTGAGAACGAAGGGCGGCTATTTTGTCTGTCAGTTTTGGGCCGATTTTCACGAAATTCGAACTCAGTCGTCCTTAGGGTGTAACAGTGATACAATAATACGTTTTTTTTTTAAATCGGATAAAAACGCGATTTTCGTACAACCAGGGGCCATAATTCAGAAAGTTACGTTCCGATATACGCGAATATCGAAAGGAACCGAGATCTTTGGGTTATAATCATACATTTCAAGTTTAAACTAAATTGGATAAAAATTGTGACCTCTACAGTGTTCACAAGCTAAAAACGTGATTTTTCGTACAATCAGGGGCCATAATCCATGAAGTTACAGTCCGATACATGCCAATATCGACAGAAACCGAGATCGTAATGTGATAAACCTATATTTCAAGTTTCATTGAAATCGGATACAAATTGTGACCTGTAGACTGTTCACAAACAATTGTGGACGGACAGGGGCGACGACAATATACGTCCACATGAAAATGTGGGCGTATAATAAAATGTGTTTTCTGCATCGACAGGCCATCCAGTTTGCTATGCGGACCATTAAATTTACAGTTTACTCTTATATTTCATGTGTCAACGGTTATTTTATGTGTAGGACAATGTTTAATCGAGACCTCGGTTGTTCGTCGCACCACTTCACCACTGACATAGTGGGTCCATGCTGGAAATCTGGTAGTGGGAGGAACTGATGAACCTGGAGAAAACCAAGCAGGATTAATTACAAGACTATTGTCCAATGGCGACACTTGACTCAATGACATACCTTATCTGATAAAGATTATGAAACTAGTTATTCGCCCAGCATAGATTATGAAACTCGCCTTACAATCTGGTTACATTGCTTGTGACAATCAACATGTGGCAAGGCACTATCAGATATGAAATAACCCCAAAAAGTGAGGATTTCTGTAACAGGGTCACTTTGTGCAATGAGCCCTTGTAATTCTACACTGCAGTGATGTGAAAACCTTTTGAAAATTCTCTGTAAGATGACTGGTACCAGAGTTCACGTGCAGTATAGGTGTACGTGTGACGTCACATCACTCGACATTGATAGCTCATGCATTGTTTATATCGTATGTAGTAACAAACTTTCCAGGCGTAATTTGAGCCTTTTTACTCATTCTGCGCGTCTTATGAACCCCTTTACACAAAATATATTTTTTTTCAAAACAGATAAACTTCCAAAACATTTAATTTATTTTTTAAAATAAATAAACAAATTGATTCAGAATTTAATTTGCAGAAGAAAAAAAGTTAATATTGAGATCTGATTAGATCGCACCGATGTCATCCTTCTCAGTGATATAAACGAATATTTACTGCGGATTAGTTTGTAAAAGAGAGAGAAATGGGGTCTAACGTCCACTCGACACAAACTAGGTCATTTCGGGACTAAAATCATGGCTCAATTGTATTTCAATAATTCGATTGCGCAGTGGGAGGAAACCGGAGGACCCGGAAAAAACCCACGAGGCTGGACAGGCGACCCTACCCCTTGCCACGTACAACCGGGGAATCGAAACCACGCGAGTTGACTCAATGACAGACCTTATGATAGAACGCACACGCGCTAACCATTCGGACATTCAACCCCTCTATAGTAAAAGTACAACTGGGTCTGGTAATATTCAGTAAGGGATATGAAACGAACGAACAGCAACAGAATAAAAGTTAAATAAAGGCGCAATACCCAGCGTATATTCATGTAAAACTCTAGAGTTAGCAACGAAAAAACAAACAGACGTAGAGGGGTGGACAGATCCCCAGAACAGTGTTAGTTCGCTGAGATACGGCTTGCGGGTATGCAGGACAAAATCTTTTTAAAAGCTATTTTTTCGGACTATTATAGAAAGATCGACCAGCTGTTTATCTAAATTTTACCATAGACTGCTTCGATTCTCTGCCGCTCGCGCCAGACACGACCAAATCTCAATGTCAATGGTAAACCAAGCGACGTGATTTTTGACATTGCGGGATTTTATGCTTAGAATTTACGGCATTGTTATGGTTACACGATAATTTTTCAACCGTTAAGTATTTCTATCTGGTAGTCACAAATTTCTCCAGTTTAGAACTTTGAAATTTCTAAATGCAGCAGTTGAAAATCATGAAATGATAGATGTCAGTATGTTCGTAGTTTTTGTAAGCATTTTGGTTTTGCTTAATAATCCAAATTCCCGCACGTCTGAAGGACTTTAAAATGATCAAAATAAAATTCAGGTATAATAATATCCGGAATTATGATTAATTGTGCAGAAGTTAAAAGTAAAGGGGTGTTTTAGTAGATTTGCTTTAAACGAAAACTCCGAAGTCCTAAGTAAACAAAGGCGTTGTTTGGATACATCTACACCCCAATCATAAGTAGTCGATCTATGTACGGGTAGAACAAGAAAACAGAGTAGCAAGATTAATAAACAAATTTTGAATTAATTTCTGTTTATTTGCCTGTTATCTTAATATTGGTAATTGGACGAGGGGAGGTAATCTTAGTTTAGTCACGATTGTCAGGTCTAGTTTTTGCCGCGGCACAGAATT